AATACCTCAAGCTTTTGATCGTTGGCATTTGGATTTTGTGGGTGAATTGCCTACAACTGGAAACGGAAACAAATGGTTGTTGACGGCTGTGGATTACCTCACAAACTGGCCTATTGCAAGATCAGTACCAGTAGCATCTATGGAAGCGGTAGCGGATTTTATCTATGAGGAGATTGTCATGCGATTTGGTTGTCCCTCTGAAATTGTGACGGATCGAGGTGCCAATTTTACTAGTGGTCTTGTAACAGCTTACACCAAACGTGTTGGAATAAATCACAAGCTCACCTCGGCATTTCACCCGCGCACCAACTCCAAGGTAGAGCGATACAATGGCGTGATCAAGCAAATGCTTCGTAAGTATGTCAATGGTGCTATTCATCGCTGGGATGACTTTGTGAATGCGGCTTTGTGGGCAAGTCGAATTCGAGTGCACTCAACAACAGGCTTTTCCCCTTATTACTTGGTGTATGGACGTGAACCTAGACTGCCTGGAGATGTTTTGAGACCCTATATCACCAAGGAAATGCTGTTGGACAAACGAACGGTAGCTGACCTAACCTCGCGTGAACTAGAACTACTTGGTCAACATCGTGCTGCTGCTGAATTTCGTTTGAAAGCCATGAGCGAAGCGGACAAGAAGCGTTGGGATGCCAAGATTAAACCCACGCACTTCGAAATGGGTGATATGGTTATGCTGACTCATGAAGGCAAATTTGGCCTAGAACCTCGCTACAAAGGACCCTACATTGTGACAAAGGTGTTCCCTGATTTTGGTACTTATCAACTGGAAACTATTGCTGATGAACCATTGCAATCGTTAGTACATGTGGACAGATTGAAAGCAGCGAAAGGTGACAAACCCAGGGAGCCGTGGTATGATCCTACTACTAGTCGTCGTGCTGTTCGTGAAGCCGATTCTCTTCGTATGGCCTCAAATACTAGTTCCACTGACCCCAATGGTACCACTGCTACTTCCTCTTCACCATCACCTTCGATTTTCTCATCAAACCCAAGTCTAAATCAACCTCAAGATGATTTTATCGACATGCCAATTTCTGATCAGAGCACGCCAAACAACAGCTCCACTACACAACCTACTACCACTAATAAACCGCCAACTCACTCTCAATATCATCACATACTTACACAACAAATATCAGATGAGGATAGCTCTCTACATGGGAGTAGTGTGATGGATGAAACAGAGGACAACGAACGTGGATTGGGTCAAATCATGGATGGATACGACTTTTTGTCATCTACTGATAGCGATATTGAAGACACAGATCAACCACCAACACTATCCCCACCACATACCATGTCTCCACCACCATCTCCTTCTACAGAATCGTCTTATTTGTCATCTCAGTCTACAGTATCGAATATAAGTAGTGGTGATGCAGCAATCAATGAAACAGTCAGTGTTGATACAGATCTTGAACTGGATGAACGTGTATCAGAGCCAGAAAACACAGAAATGGTGCCAGGTCTTCGAAACGAACCTCATGTTGTTTCTCCTGCCAGCCCACCTTCCGTTATTCAAGCTACTCCAGAACCTGTTTCTCCTACTACTGTGAATTTTTTTCCTCCTGCTGCTACAAACCAAACTCCCATTGCACTTACTTCTCGTCCTGGGCCACCAAAAAGTACTTTTGTCTTCAAAACTCCTGCCATTCCAAAGATCCACACGCAAAATGAGACCACCCAACCTGCAAAAATCGTCGATCTCTCTTCTCATATGCCAAACACTGCCACTGGTTCATCAAGTTCAAGTGATGTTCAGGGTCGAACATTTGTCTCAAAGGGGGGTGATGTCAGGGTTGAAGGGTATTCTGACAGTGATTTAGATCTGCAGGATATCATTGACAGACTAAACACAAACAAGAATAAGAAGCGCAGGTTTAAACCTAGAGCGCCAGCTACCAGGAACATTAAACAGCGATTAACCTGGATAGCGCACAACATTACACAAACTATATTGGATAAAATCAATGTTCAAATATAATATTAATAAAGCACCTTTTTATCCATTCAACTAAAAGGCTATAACATCTTCCTGCACACTCTCTATATCTACTTCCATTTATATCTCGATCAGATCTCAGATTGCATATACTACCTCTAAGTATCAGCATCTGACAAATCATCCGAAAGCGCGGTTGGTTAAGTGGTATAATCTTCGCCTGCCACGCGAAGGGCCGGGGTTCGATTCCCCGACCGCGCAATCCTTTTTTGATTTTTACGGTAGTGTCTGTAGCTGTTTTATAAAAATTATTTGGTGTCGTGTGTATAGATATAGTTTTGGAGTAAACTTAGACTAACGTATATAAAAGATGGTCTTTATTGTTGTCTTTAATAGAGATACGGTTATTGAGTAGACCTTGGCAAATGTATATAAAAGAATAGAATTGAGATAAAAGATGATCTTTATTGTTTTGCAAACTGATGATTTGATATTTATACTAAATTAAAAGGCTACACACAAAGTCTGTGTGTACCTGACAAGGTACTGTTTCAGGCGAGTCGGTAGTGTTGTATTCACACATCTAACTGTTCCTGAATCACAAGATCGTAGATTGAATTCAGTAATAAACTATGCACATATGAGCATATTATGTAAATAAACTGTATCAACATGTAAACGATAACCATGATATTCACATAAGCTAAGTTTCAGTAAGCTATTCTCTATATGTCAAAAGATAGCAGATAAGGAATGTAAGTAATTAACGTTGCCAAGAGCAACTAAAGATATTTAGACTGATCATCATCTATATCTGAAATAATTACCATTTAGCATAAGTGAGGATTGACACTAAAACTTAGCATGAGAACACCATTCTAGACGGGTGTGTAAGCAATCCATAAATCATACATATAAATAGCAGTAGACATTCACCCTTCCCTTTTCTCTCTATCTGATTTTACTGAAAATAAAAAGACATATCCATTCTCACGTATTTCAGACAGTTACAACAAAAATTCTTATATTATAATGGATATAACGTAGAGCTATCGAATGGTCTTTGTTTTGGGCGAATCCGGTGAGTATTTGTCGAGATATGGTCAAAAAAGTGTATCATGCGAAATCATCGATTTTCCTTCAAAATCTGCCTGTGATAACAAGCAAAAAATCTGGTGACGATTTTTTGGTCAGGACAATATTTTCAATATTTCACGATAGAAGCATGCTAGAGCTTCAAGAAATAGCTCATTCGATAGGAAATGTTTTGACCTACAATGTCTAGTAATGCTTGACAAAATGTTTTGATGACAGATACTGATTAATCTTTAGAAAACAGTGAGAAAATTGCAAAATTTAACTTATCAAATATTAGCTGAATAATGTACAGCAAACACTTGATATAAATACCATTGTATTCTCCTTTGAATTCTCTACAAGTTTGATATAAGTTTGAAGGGGTGTTTACTATCAAGAAACGCGTAATTTTAAAGTCGATAGATTTCGGAATCCCATAGATCTTCATTCAAAATATTAGAAATTGAAGCTTCGTTGAGCTTCCGCATGTGTACATTGTACTATTATGCATTCGACGAAGCATTTTAAAAATCGGAGTGTACGAAAAGGGCCATATTAACTTGTCATCTTCCAGTTATCAATATATACTAGACATGTTAGAGAATCTTGCTTTTAAGATTAGACAGTTGTCGCTTGCTTTGTTCGATTATAATAAGATTTGCAATCTTGGGTATGCACATTCCTCCGCTTAAAAATAGTATATCTAATGTCAATTGCCTCACCATAGACAAGACTTTGTCTAACTGTAGTTTCTATTAAAAAGGTTGAGATTTTCAAATTATTTCGATTTTTTCAGTTTTCCTTATTAAGTTTGTAGCAAATGGCTTTATATATATATATATATATACATATTCCCCCCCCCGTTAATAAGCGTATTTTTTTTGCCCTAGTCGTTAAGCGCCTGATTGTTAACTGGAGGTTTCTTCGTTCGATTCTGGGCAGTAGCATTTTTGTTTCAAGTTTTTAACCGTGAGATGTTGGTAGTCTTTGTCGTAACTATTTACATCTTTTGTTACGCAAGTCAAATAGTATAAATATTAGAGCTAACTATCAAACTCAATAAACGTGGTCTTCTAACTGATAACTGATTCATTATATATCTTATATTATTAACATGACGCTTTTCAGTCTGTTTTCCATTTCTGTAGCTGAATGTAGCAAATATGTACCAGATGGTACACTCTTATAACGAGATAACTCTTGGTACTTTCACTGATTTTGAATAGTAACACTTAAAAAATTTATGAATGGCAGATTACAGATTGACCGTTGAAGAAGGAATTATAGGATTCTCTCATCAATACTTGAGCTGAATGAATAACATGTGGAATTACTTTTCCGTAGTTGTTTAAGCAATATTTAGGATATAGGCAAGTTCAACAATCAATTCAAAGCTAAACTACTTTCATGATTGTGCTACTCCATGACCCTGACTATCCTTCAAATTGTTCCTGCGCAGAGACTGAAGTTTTATCAATGTACTGGCTCATGAAGGCGACAAAGACATCAACTGATCTTGGCAACAGATTAATCGCTTCTCTCCCTGAATTTCATCAAAATGGGCATGAATGTGCTCATGTACTATCTCGATAACATAATCCCAGTAATTGGGACATTTCTAGTCGATCGATGGGGCTCTTTGATGTGTTGTTTCCTTTCTATGAAACTGTATTTCGGAACAATAGTCATGGACAAAGAAAATGCTGATTAAGCAACGCCCTCCTCCAATGTTCGTAGTGAGTGTGAGGGAGTTTATTAAATACATGAGCTCCTGATTGCACACTAGAGAATGAAGCTTTCTCTTGATTAAATTGCTCCCATTTATGTACATCAGTGGTAATATCCTGAGTTGAAATGTTCAATGGTTCTGTACAACGCAACAACAAAAAGGAGCAAATAATATGCCTCCATTTCTTCCTTTCTCTTCTTCCTTTTGGTTCTATAATTTATATCCAACACAATGTCTACAAGACATGCTCGAGTAGCAGACAAAGAGCTGAACGACAAACATACAAAAATACTGACCGACTTATTGCAGAAACCAGAAAATAAGAAATGCGCAGATTGTAAAAAGAAGGGTAACATTGAAAATGTGGAAGCTTTTATCATGGCTTGATCTTAAATACGAAACCTAGATCCTCGATGGGCTTCCTGGAATTTGGGTGTGTTCATCTGTATTCGATGCTCAGGAACACATAGATCTTTAGGTACACACATTAGCAAAGGTATAAGGCAGAATGATGATTGTGGGATTATTTCTTACAGCTAACATATAAAAACTAGTAAAATCAGTTGATCTCGATACATGGATTCCTGAGCAAATCGATAGTATGGTAAAGTGGGGCAACCAGCGAGCCAACGTGTATGTATCGCGTATTATTTTCGATGCTTTTATATTGATTACATCCACATATAGTTACTGGGAATCAGAGTTGAACGGTAGATTGCCAACTGAGAATAATATGGAAATGTGGATCCGGGCGAAATACGAGCAGAGAAAGTGGGCAGCAAAAGGACCAGTACCAGATCCAACTACTATTGTAAGAATGTCTTTTCATTTTTTTTTTTCGTAAAGACTGGGTTGATCTAAGCAACTGTATAATAGCAAACACACAGCAAAAGTAGTTCTACGACATCAACAGTGTCACAAAAACCAGAAAATGGTAATAGTTACAAGCCTAAAAGCTCTAATAGAGAATTTGGTCATCATTACCATACTGCAGCCTCAACTAAGGAGGGAACAGAGCGACCTAGTAGCATCAAATTGAATCATAGTAACGAAAGCATCACAAAAACTGCTATTGCAACACAAAAGAAAGCAGCGAGCTCAGCATTGCCGTTGCCACCAGCAACTGATACAAATGCAAAAATCAATATGGCTTTATTTCAGACACAATTATCTGGATTATCATTAGGAAGGTCATCCACTGGTTTGATCCCAAAAGCACCCCCAGGAAGTAACATGTCATGGACTAATTTTCTAACTGCTCATAAACCCACTGATACAAATACCACACTGGCCCAAACTTCAACAGAAGAGCCACTGATTCCCTCCGCGTAAGTGAGACTTTTAACGATTCATGACAATTTGGCTGATATTTACTGTATAGTGCATTTGCAAATCTACTCAAACAATAGTCCTATCAATGCCCATCACGTATAGAGTCTGCCATTTTAGCTTTGTTTATTGCTCCTCCAAACGACATGCAAATTCTGGATGTGTATTTTAATTAATAACCAGCATACTGATTGTATTCTCTCCAAATCTGCAGCAATAAAAAAATGGTGAATATATAAATTTAAAGCGACTCTATCAGACAACTTACAACGGGTGCTGAAGTACACGGGATGATGCCTATCTCTGTAACAACAGCAGAAATGTACTTTGAGGGTGTTACATCATACATCAAATTCAATATGCTGAGGTTTTGCTGTTGTTTCCAGTTGGCCAAAACGGGAGTTGCTCTATCCTCGGTTTGAACCAAGCTATATGGATCCCCCTTTTCATTCATCACCAACGAGTCAACTTGAGTACGGTTGACAAATTTGTAAGTTTCGCAGCACAAGATGACAGGAATTTGATTGTCTGTTGCTGCCATTGCAATTGCAGCTGATCCGATGCGAGCATACGATGATCCATTGTTGAGAATCGCATGCGATCCCATGAATACTTTGGTTGCTGTTTTCAATGCATCATATATACCAGATATCAGTATGTATTTGCATTTGATCCCACTCTTGACTAGTTTGACGCACAGGTTCTTTCCTGACGTCCGCTGTCAGTAAGCAGATTAACCACAAAGTTCAATACGTACCCTCAAGCAATGGCCTGCTGTCAATCACAATGACCTGAAAGTCTCTTCCAACCTTTTTAGCCTCCAAAAAGATACGCTCAACAACAGACGACTTTGCAAATGTCAGTATAACATCGCCATCTTCAATTTTCGTCAATGCATTGTGCGCAATCAGTTCATCTGCCATGGTGATACGTTCTCGGATGAACCGAGCAATCTGGTTTTGCAGCATTTGACGAGCATCTTCATCTGCAACCGGCGGGTGCATGGCTACTAAATCAGCCATGATCTTCTTGAGCCATCGAATGCACTCCCTTATACTTAATGACATGTATCTGAATTTGAGCAGGAATGCAATGTGAGGATCCAAATGCTTTTGAATGTGACGAACGAATGTAGCGTCGTCAGGAGGCTGATGATCTTTGATAACTTGAGAGAATGTTTCTAAAACAGCGACACAGCGAGCACTGGATCCTGCTATCTTGTATTGGGAAAACAGCAAGGCTAAGGACAGCACTGTTGGATGCAGGTCTTTGTTTTTATCTGTATCAGGCTTTTTGGGTAGCTCAAGATGATTCAAAATACTCTTTCTCTGTTGGTCACTCTTTGCTGCCAATGCTGTGCTTTTAGGCCTAGTGGGATTGTTGATTGGCGGTTTCTTGTCTGCATTGCTGGGTGCACTTGTAGAGGCATTTGCTGTAGATACGCGTTTTTGTTTCTCTGCTCTTTGCTTTTCTTGTAATGCTCGTCGTTCAGCTTTGGTTGATTGCTTTTTTGAAGACGATTGATTTCGTCCCCTTGTATCTTCTGAATTGCTTCCTCCTTGGCTACTTCTCCTGCGAAGTCTATCTTCGATTGAGCTATTAGCTGTTGTTGGAGTACCTAACCATTGAGTTTCATACGAGACTATTGGCTGGCCTATAAGAGGGGAGTTTACGGCAGATGTTGATAGATTTGGTGTGGCCATCTAGTATTAAATAATTAGGCAAGGGCAATTACATGCTTTTCATGTTAATACCAGACTAAAATCTCTATTCTTATATCACAAAATGAAAAGGTATAATATGAATTACTATGATAGTAGCTTGCGAAAAGTGTGTCATGTTGAGTCTTCTTCAAGCGGCGGTCAAATATGCCCTTTGGTACCTGGATTTGACCTACCTACTTGCATTAATCTTAGATTCTAGAAATCATCCACTATTTGATTACCAGCATGGGGATGAACTGAGATGGTCATCCATGCTTTAGGTCGCATCCTCAGAGCCCAAATCGACATTGTAATTCAGTACGGTATATCTGTGTTATAGTCTCTTCATGAGACAGATCAAACTGATAAGCTATTTAACCCTTTTTGCCACCTCAAACATGTAATGCTCGCTGCACCATACTAAAACAACAGACTACAGAACCTGCAAGGTACCATACGCACCACGTCTTTAAAATCAAGTTCCAACATCACAAATGCCAATACAACGAACTAATTTTAGGCTTCCATTAGCATTGATACGCATAGCATTCACCTAGCCCCTTTTATAACGATAAGAAGAAATGACGAGTAGCGATCATGACTAATAACCGACCAGCTGCACCAAGGCAACATTTGAAAGCCTGACTGCATACAAGATGCCAATCCTTGCATATTACAGGTCTGCAATGTCGATAACAGTGGTACAGTAGTCTCGACTCTTTTGACGAATGACGATAACGACGCTGCTAGTCTAGTCGTCGTGGGATAAGAGTCAGAAGATGAAGCGCAGTTGCAGTGGTTGCTAGAGTGATTTATTCTGTCGAGAACACAAGGAAATGATACAAGTACCAAAAAAAGTAACTGTATGGCCAGTATATCTGTCCCCTTTCAAGTTTGTGCACATACATACGGATATAGCAAATTCGAATTGAGAAGAAAAATGTCCACAACTAGAAAAGAAGAAGAAAAAAAAAATGTCAAATTATCCAATATCTTTTTATATGCTCTGACTTCATTCAATTTAATAAATCAAATTGTTCTCTCCTTCTTTCTTGTTATACAATACAGCAAAAAAAAAAATCGTATCATATTATCAGCCAAACAGAAATCTTCCCACCAACAGCTAAAGGATAGGGAGCACAAAGCAGCGTTATAAAAAGAAGGCGGGAACTTAGTTTTAGTGCAAATCTGAGGCGTGTAACAATTTTGTGTCAAGTTGGAAATAATTATAGATTACAAAATAAAGCTACATGTCCAGTGCACACACAAATGTCTTTTATAAAGGTTTATGATCTTTACAGCTATATGTGCATCAGATGCCACTGATCATAATTCTTTATTATTTGTTATGGCTAGTTGACATTATGAAATAGTATCGCATTTTAAGGTTCATACGAGTGCGTGCCATTATAACAAGGAGTCAAGGGGGGGATTGCCAGCATCAGGTCGCTTCAACGATGGGTTACCCATTGCCTAAAGCCCAATCTTTTTTTTGCTAAAGTTCTTTATTAGTATAAATCACTCTTTTTGTGCTTTTATTTATGCGATACAGCGGCATCAGCAGTAGTATATACATGTTCAAAACAAAAACCGGTTTTTTTGTTTGTACATGTATGAATTATAGTTCAGTTGCATTAACGTCATATTATGTGGCCATGCTATGATATGTATAGGAGGGTGTCCATTCTGTATCCTGGTGTAAGCCGTATTATGATCGTTTCAGATGCGTTATTTTGAGCCATGTATTACAGAAAGCTTAATCACAAAAAGCCAGAATCAAACATTTGATACGGTGCCTACACCAGGCCTCCGTGTACCTTGTATACCAAAACATGGATCAGCTCTTTACATCAAACTATATATATACACTTTAAACGATTAGCAATCCCAAAATGCACATACCTCCCCTAGCTATTGTAAGCTATCTTACATGATAAAACAACAACAAACACTTGTTGTCTTGTCTGGATAAAACCATCAAATGTAAACAAGTTTAACAACGAGCATTGACGTATACAAAGTAGCCGAAAATACAGAGAAAGAGAGAGAGAGAGAGAGAGAGAGAGAGAGAAAGAGAAGGTTCAGTTTCTTCTTTTTCTCCTTTCTTTTTGGCCACCTTGACTTGTCCCCTTTGATTCCATGGAACGTGGAGATGTTGATCCCGATAGTGTAGTCGAGGAAAGAGAGAGAGAGAGAGAGAGAGGGATATTCTAGTATCTTGATCAGGGGAACATCTGGTTACTGAGCTTCTCTTGAGCCTATATTTCACAGCAAATCATTTGTCATTTGACGCTGTGTGTATATATGTATGTATGTATGTATGTATGTATGTATGTATGTATGTATGTATGTATGTATGTATGTATGTATGTATACAATCGAATGCCAGTGATTTTGTGATCGATATTGTTGTTGTTATTGTTGTTGTTTACCTTATCATCATGACCATAGAGCTCATGGGTGGCAAATAGAAAAGCACAGATACGAACGGGGACAATTGAGGGGATATTGTCAAATACTAGATTTTATAAGAGAAGGGGGGGGGGTTGCAATAAGAAGCAACCAGTATATGACATACATAAATGATTGACAAGGATCCGCTTTAGTGGCAAAAAACATCCAGGGCGGCAATAGTAGGGATTAATGGATACAGTATCGATGGATACAAAATGAATAGTGGTTTGACATTGCTTTTAATATAATGGTATCCTAAAGCCCCAATAACCACCATAACAACAACAACAACAACAACAACAACAACAACAACGACGACAACAACAACAACAACAACGGATAATCTGAGATTATACACACACAAAAAAGAAGGCTGCACAAACAACGGTGCGACAACAAGGTCTTGTTAAACAGGTTTTCTAGAGCCATTTGTATCCATCTCAGAGTGTATGGGTATGTTATTTATAACCCATGCAACCCACTAAAACGACATTCAAGACAAAGAAAGTAGGGGCCGTACCTCTTCCGGTTTCTACAAGGCTGCATTAATTCGAAAAGCAGGAGTGGGTGCTGTTCAAAAGGAACGACACTTGGGTTGATGTGTGTGATACAATTGACGAATTATACAACAAACAGTTTCATCTAAAAAAGATGTTGAATTTAGACTAAAAAAGCTAGGCATTTCTGCCGCTGCTGCTGATGCTGTTGCTATTTCATGGAATCTACTAGACCTGTCATCCTGGAAAAAGAGCGCCCAGGCAATACCATGTCATGTATGGTACCATCGATAATCAGCCATCCTGTGACCAGACTGCGTCTCTATCTATATATCAATACTAACAGGAAGAGGAGCGTATATAGCATCGAGATTATGTATGTGTTATGTATGTGTGAATCACTGAATGAGATAGACACTGTCTTTTCTTGTGTAATTTTAAGGGAGAAAAGGGGATGGTGTAAGATTGCTGAACCATATAAATACTGGTTTGTAAACTGGAATTGCAATCAATCATCATCTCTTCTCTCTCTCTCTCTCTCTTCCTCGCACAATTCAAAAATGACATACATGTATTATGCTTCGGCTGCCCTTTTGGTGACATTTTCCATTTATCGACCCTTTATTACAAAATTAGATAAAGTGAAATACGGTGCACTCGGGGGCGCTTCATTTCTTGCCCCGTTTGTTATTGATTACAACAACAGAGCAACAACAACAAATCAACAACAGCATCATCAACAGCACAACATGACATCCATTCTACACTTAATACATGTCAATGCATCAAATATGCCTGTTTCATCTGCCGCATCATCACAGAGCTTGGTGTCAGATGCAGTGGTATTGTTTATGCTTACTGCTTTTATTGTGTCTGTCTGTGGTCTGTTTACAAGATGGCACTTCCCAATCACCTTTATAAAGCCAAACGCAAGCAGTCTGGTGTCTGGCTTTGTTCGCCACGGCCTGTCTATTTTAATCATTTTGATGGCCATCACTAGGTAAATTAAGCATCCCGCATTCTCTCCTTTTTAATTCAAATCTAATTAATTACCATTAAACACAGCCAATACGCCTCTCTGCAATCAGTCTCATTTGCACTGACCACCATCGGCTTATTGTGGTACATTGCTGGACCGTATTTCATTCGCAGAGCTAGAGTCATTGCTGCAACTGCCATGATTTCAACTCTTTTAGGCTTTTTTGTTTGTTGCACAGCATATACCCACAGCAAACTGTATGCAACATCCATTTTAGACTGCACTCTATTTGTCCTTGTGCTAGTGCTATCTTGTAGTGCAATTGACTATCTTGATACCATCCTTAACACTTATCCTCATTTGGTCCAAAAAGACAAATCAAAGCAAGCAGCGCTGCAGAATCAAGCTTCCTTTGCATACTGGATGGCCGTGGCTCAATTAGTCGCTAACATGCCCAATGAATCTGATCTCCATGCATCCCCTATTGAGGATCTCGAAACCGCTATTCGTGTGTTGGGTCCTGCCTCAAGATCATGGAAGACAATGGCCGCTCTGTTTCCTGTTAACTTGCGCCAAGATCTCTGCCTCTTGTATGCCTTCTTCCGCACTGCTGATGACTTGGTGGATGATGCTCCTACTCCAAAGCAATGTGAGCAAAATTTGATTACTATCCGTAAATTCCTTCGTGAGGTCTTTTTCCCTGCTCAAGCCAACAAGCAGCACTATCTACAACAGGATTTGACTCTCCCTGGCCATATCAATTGGAATTACTATGCTGCTCTGCTCCCAAATGAAGACGTTCTCGCTATATTTAGAAACTTTGCTCGTATCTCACACTACCTGTGTCCTCGTGCTATGTCTGAGCTGACTGATGCCTGGGAACATGATCTGCGAGGAGAGCCTGTGAAGAAGCAAAAGGATCTTTTGAACTATGCTGCTTTGATCTCTGGTACATTTGGAGAGCTCTGTACATGTGCCATCATGTACAAGACCGGTCGCGGCAGCTGGGGAAAGCAAAAGAATAACAAGGCCCGCAATGAAGATGTCTTATCAAGAGCTAGAGCTACAGGACAGGTAAGACATGATACCAAGGATATCAATACCTTGTACTAAGCAACTTTTTATTCTTAGTGTCTTCAATTAATTAACATTGCTCGTGATGTGATTGCTGATAGTTTTGTGGGTCGTTGTTATGTTCCTCTTCAATACATGCCATATCCTCCTCAAGACATGTACCATATCTTGAAGGTTGCAAGAAATCCTCTATTGGTGGGCGAACAAACCTTGAAATCCTTCTCTATTCGAATCTTGGGGCTAGCAGATCAAATTTCGGATAAGGCTCAAAAGGGCATTGATGGCTTACCAGAGGAGGTACAAGACAGTATCAGAGCTGCTTTCGAGATCTATATGGCCATTGGACCCACGCTTGTTAATGACCCTGGTTTCCCTTTGCGTGCAAAAGTGCCCAAGCGTCAGCAGCAATGGATTGCTTTGCGCTGTATCTACGGTTTCCGTGGTCCTGTTGCTCGCGCTATGTCAACTACATTCTATGAAATGGTATCCATCTACTCTCGTGCATTTGCTCGTCTGTCCAACACAAGAAAGACAGCAGCAGCAGCAAGAGCCGTGGTAGCAGCAGCCACAGCAAATTAATTCACTATTTTACCTCTGTATCTATTGTAAACATCTATTTATTATTAATATATTTATTATTTCATCGTATATCCCTCTGATACTCCCTCTTTCATATGAATAAAGTAAAACAAAACTACACCATGAATCAACCATGAGCAGTAAACATGAAGAGGTGGTTGATTTCCTGAGCTCCATCTATCAGTGGTCTGAATAGACGATTGATAAATTCGAGTCAAAACAATGCCGAGTCATAACCCTCAAATCTTGGTAGTCATTGTAGCATCTAAAATATATATACTGGAAAACTATGAAAAAAAAATAGACAAGCCAATCATATCCTTTTAAAATTTAATAGTATTAAAAGCCAGAACAAACGAGGGCATAACCACCGGCGAAGCCGGCAATGGGGAGGGGGTTTGGGGGAGGGGGCTTAGCCCCTCCACCAAGAATATAAGGCACCAAAAAAAAAATTTGATACATTGCTTTTTGTTATTATACGTACGTAATAATATGCCTCCTACTATTCAAACAAGACACTGCACGACCTGTAGAGCTGCTCTTCCAGTAGACTATGCTTATCGGAAATGTGATTCATGTCGAGTAAGTAAAATAGCTTTTAACGCCTAATAAAACCCTGAGACGCAATGGTTTATTTTGTTTGTACTCAAATTCAGGAACGAGCGCGAAATTACGCCAGGCAAAGAAGATTGGCGAATCGAAGAACACCAAGAGCACCTGCAGCGTTTGTATCAGAACTTGGAAGAGTACAACGTTCAGATTTGGGCAGAATGGACAACCAATGTGATGGATGTGGAGCTTTGCATTGGGCCGCAGAGAGGGCTGTTCAACAGCGAGTAAACGACAACTGCTTTCATGCTTGCTGCAAAAAAGGTAGAGCTGTCTTGCCCCTTTTGCAAGAGCCTCCCGAGCCTTTAAATAGCTTGATCAACGGAAGCCATCCTCGATCCTCTCATTTTTTGCAGCACATGCGACAATACAACACTTTGTTCGCATTTACATCATTTGGCACCGATGCTACGCCTGAGCAGCTCCAAAGGGATAGAGAGAATGAGATGAGAGGCGGCATCACGCCGGTTCGTGTTCATGGGGAACTCTATCACTTGCAAGCACCACTAAATTTGAGCAATGTGCCAAAGTATAGCCAGCTGTACGTTTACGACCCAGAGTATGCCGCTGCGATTCGCTGTGCAGACCCCAGAAATCAAGGATTGGACGACACGATCATTGAGCAACTGAGTGAAATGATTGCTGATCCTGTAGTTTGTGGCAATCCATTTGTAAGCATCTACAAACATGCTCACGAAATCCTGAAAGAAGAAGAGGAGAGGCAAGCTCAAGATGGTGTTAGCGAGAATGCTCACATCAGGCTCAGTCCTCAGATGCAAATGGAATTGGTTGTTGGCCAGGACAGACGCACTCAAAATCTGCCAACTGTCAACGAGATTGCTGCCATCATTCCAAACGAGTGTTCTGACAGGAGTTTCAGAGATATTTTGATCACATATCGTAGCAATTCCTCGGCCAGGGCTCAAGGCCAGTTTAAGCGTATCAATGAGACGCATGCTGCATATATGCCTCTTCATTATGCTTTGCTTTTTCCTAGAGGTGAATATGGGTGGAATTGGGGCCAAAGACTGCAATCGTCAGCGCAAACTGCTGATGCCATGATTATTGAGAGCGAAGAAGATGAGACACCAGCAGAGCAACAACAACAACAACAACCACAAGTGTCAGATAGCCGACTTACCCAAGGCGTGTTCTACAGATTTCGATTGCATGTTAGAAACAACGAGTCAAAGATCATTTTTTTGTCAAGACGTCTATTTCAACAATATGTGATTGATGCCTGGGCAATCTGTGAGCAAACAAAACTGAACTGGATCAAAGTCAATCAGACGAATCTTCGCGCTGATGTGTATAAAGGACTTGCTGATGCTACCTCTGCTGCTGACTCAGACCTCGAACAGGTGGGAAAGACGTTCATCTTGCCCAGTAGCTTCACTGGTGGACCGCGATTCATGATGCAGCTATATCAAAATGCAATGGCTATCTCTAGATTCTTTGGTAAGCCAACGTTATTCATCACATTTACTGCCAACCCAAACTGGAGGGAGATCCAAGATGAATTGTTGCCAGGCCAAACAGCCGCTGATCGCCCCGACTTGGTTGCTCGAGTATTCAACCTTAAGCACCGAGAGCTGCTTAAAGACTTGAAAGACAGAAAGGTCTTTGGCTGTTATAAAGGCATTGTAAGGACTATTGAGTATCAAAAGCGTGGTCTCCCTCACGGTCATATGCTATTGTTTTTGGATGCAGAAACAGATAGATTTGATACGCCAGAGAGGATTGATCAGATCATTTGCGCTGAGATCCCAAATGTTGAAGAAGAACCTGAATTGCATGCAATCATCACTCGCAATATGATGCATGGCCCATGTGGCGAGCTAAACTCAAAGTCTCCGTGTATGGTACAAGATGCTTTTGGCAATGATGTATGCTCAAAAAAATTTCCCAAAAACTACCAGACAGTAACGGTGACCAGTGCTGATGGTTATCCTACTTATAGAAGAAGAAGAGATGGTCGTTCTCATCAGGTGCGCGTCAAGGACAAGTTGGGTGTCTACCGCGATTTCCACATGACGAATGAGTGGGTGGTGCCATACAACCCTTATTTGTCAAAAAAATACAATGCCCATGTAAATGTCGAAGTATGTGGTAGCGTCCAGGCAATTAAGTACATCAACAAGTATATTTACAAAGGCTCTGATCAGACAACGCTCAAAACTACAACCACCACCACAGCCACTGAAACAGCAAATGCCACTACCACAGCAACAACTCAGAATAACGAAGTGGCCAAGTATCTAAATGGCCGTTATATTAGTCCTGTTGAAGCTGCATGGAGGTTGTTTGAATTCCCAATGCATGAGGAAAGCCCATCTGTTACTCCACTTGCTGTGCATCTTGAAAACGAGCAACCTGTTTATTTTGATCCCCAATGGCCACAGGAGAAAATTGACAAAGTATTGAGAGAGAGTCGCTCTACTTTGATGGCTTACTTTCATTACAACCATGCAAATCACGGCAAACCCGGTTTTCGACCGTTGCTTTATCAAGAGTTCCCTGAACATATGACTTGGCAGCAGAATGCAAAAAAGTGGAAGCCTAGGTCTTCGAGTAGAATGTCAATTGGGCGCATGTATTACTGCAATCCTGCTGCCGGTGAGAGGTATTATCTGCGTCTGCTGCTCACAGTTGTCAGAGGAGCCATGTCGTTTTCTCATCTGAGAACTGTCAATAATCACGAGTACGCCACCTTTCGCGAGGCCTGTATGATGCTGCATTTGATCGAAGATGATGGAGAATGGACCAGAGCCTTTGAAGAAGCTGCTACCTTTGCCTCTGGCTACGCAATGCGTTCAATGTTTGTCTCTGCGCTCATGTTCAACTCATTGGTATCGCCTGTTCAGATTTGGGATCAATTCTGTGAAAGTTTCTGTGATGATCTTGAGCATGCAATCGTGCAAAAAGGGTATTCGCTGCTGCTCAGCGTGCAACCTGACGCTGAATTTTACCATGGAACGCGAAGTCTTGATTACGGCTTATATCTGTTGCAAACATCTCTTGGTGCACAAGACAGATCTCTAGGTCAGTTCAATTTGCCTTTGCCTCTCTTCAACTGGAATGGCTTGATAAGCAGAATGACTGGCATACAGCGCAATTCATTGATACTCAATGAAATGTCATATCTCCAAGATCAAGAAGCCTTTTCGTACCAGCAAAAGTACGCTCAAATGAACGCTACCCAGAAGCACGTATTTGATACCATCACCTCCTCCATCAACAGCAACACCAATAGCTCACATTTCTTTTTGCAAGGTCCAGCTGGCACTGGCAAAACCTTCATTTACAATACTCTTTGTCACTTTTATAGAAGCCAAGGAAAAATTGTTCTCTGTGTTGCCTCCTCTGGCATTGCTGCTTTGCTACTTCCTGGTGGGCGTACGTCGCACTCTCGCTTTGCCATTCCACTCAACATCCACGAGCAGTCTGTGTGTGCAATCAAGAAAAACGATGATCTTGCTGATCTCATTCGAGAGACATCATTGATAATTTGGGATGAAGTGCCAATGCAGCATCGATATTGCTTTGAAGCTTTTGATCGAACACTTCGTGATATTTGTAGTCGTGGTGATGAAGTTACCTTTGGTGGTATTCCTGTTGTTCTTGGCGGTGATTTTGCTCAAATTCCACCTGTTGTTAGGCAAGGTGGCCGTCCTGAAATCGTCAATGCCTCACTGAAATCGTCAAGATTATGGCCCAAATTACAAAAGCTGAGCCTGACTGAGAATATGAGACTTGCCAACTCCAATGACACAGATAGGCAATTTGCAGATTGGATAGGAAAAATGTCGTATGAACCATCCATGATTGGCAGCATTGCTTTGCCCTCTTTTTTGAGGCAGATGACTGATCTTGATCAGTTCATTGAAGATATCTATCCTCAGCATGTTCTGCAGTGTCCTCTGCAAAATAGTGATTTCTTCAAGGAAAGAGCTATTCTCTGTTCAAAGAACGTCAACGTTGATGCTATTAACAGCAAGGTGATGGAGAACGTGATTGGGGAAAAGGTCACTCTGTACTCTGCTGACACAGCTCAGTCTGATCTGACCAACACGGAGACCCAAGCCTATCCCTCAGAGTATTTGCAAACCCTTTCGCCTTCAGGGCTGCCGCCAGCAGTTTTGGAGTTGAAAGTAGGTCTTCCTGTAATGCTCTTGAGAAACCTCAACCCTGAAAGAGGTTTGTGCAATGGTACAAGGCTGATCATTCAGCAAATTGGACAGTATGTCCTCAAGGTGAAAATCCTCGGAGGGTCAGGTGCAGTAGAGTTGATTCCTCGCTTTACATTATCAACATTGCCTGGTACATTACCATTTATTTTGACTAGGAAACAGTTCCCTGTAAAAGTGTCTTTTGCGATGACAATCAACAAGTCTCAGGGGCAATCCCTTAGAAAAGTCGCTGTAGACCTCAGGAGTCCTGTTTTCACACATGGCCAACTCTATGTTGCCATCTCGAGAGCAACATCTGCAAATGGTATGACAATTCTACTGCCAGAAAATGCGACTCGGACAGAGAATGTTGTCTACCCAGAAGTATTATATAATATAAATGCTGTATAAAAAAAGTTGGTCTGTAACTCCCAACTCCTGTCGTCTCAATCAAGTTTCAAGTCTATTTTTTGTTTTAAAATCTTCGAATCGAATATAATCATTGTTTAAAACCTACTTGATATACCAAATTTTTATTATCTCTGATTTGAAATGTCTTCGGCCAGAGCCCGCAGGGCGACGCCGTCATCGAGCGTAGCGAGATAGATCGGCTAGTCTCTAATATATATACTGGAAAACTATGAAAAAAAAAAAGTAGACAAACAAATCATATCCTTTCAAAAATTTAAAGAATTAAATACCATACAAGGTGAATGAAGCCGGCATTGGGGAGAGGGTTTGGAGGAGGTGCTAAGCCCATCCACCAAGAACGTAACGCATCTAACCCAACATTTGGTAACACTGGCCTAGCAGTTTTACCGTAGCGAAGGGAAGGTGCAAGGCCATAGTATTTAAGCAGCAAATTCGGGTTTTCATTTCCATTGTTAATAAGCTTACCAGCAATATAATGCATCAAAATTTGCATGAAACAGCTTTACCAATATTAATACGCCTCCTCTTCGAATTAAAAATTACTCAAGCTACAGAACTGCCTTTCCAGTAAATTGCAACTACCAAAGATGTGATTTATGCCGTGTAAATAAACTCTATACAGCAATACATAACCAAGTTTGGCCGCTTTCAAGCCTTCATATCTTGACATATAGACCTTTATGAGCCATCGGAATGACGCCAAACAATTGTACTCGAGTAGCAGTAACTTCCTGGCGCTTTTGCTCAACTTTTTGAGTCAAAAAAAAATATGGCCAAAAATCGACTCAAAACCATGAGGGATACCTCATGATTTTCATCGAAAATCAAACGATCGCATTTTTCACCTTGAAAACGAAGACTTTTACTATGGTATATATCAAATCAAAATGTTTCTCTCGATCCAAAGCAACTTCTGAAACCACTTTTATGAGGTCTTCATATGCAAAATTTTGACTCTCTGGGCAAAAACCTTATTTCATATTTTCTTAAACTACTCAATAAGTTTATTTAAAACATCTATTTTACTTTGCACCATTGGAGGCGCCTTGAAAAGTAATCCAAGAGTGTATTGGGAAGCAGAGGGTGATCATTACAATCTTATAGTCGAAATTCATAAAATAGATTAAAGAAATCGAAAAAGGACGATATCTGTCCAATAGTGAACAGTAAAAAATAAGCTGTGTTCTAATTTATTATGTCGGCAGCGGCATTGCTGCTGGTTGGCCTAAATGCCTTTGTGTTGATAACAATGATGGTGTGCAATGCTGATTAAATGGGTATCATGGAGTTGAAAGAATAACTGCTTAGCTCAAATACCTTTTTGGGGAGGTTTGCCTCACGAAGGTGTCTTTTGCAATGACAATATCTCAAAGCAGTCGCTGTAGATCTTACACAAGTCCTGTGTTTACTTACGACCAGCTTTATGTTGCCATCCTATTAAGAGTATCAGCAGCAGCGAATGATATGGCAATTCTATTATCAGAAAATGGCAATTGTGATGTACAAATGCTACATAAAATTTGAATTTTCTTTCACATTGTCCCAACAATAGGCTTTGTTTGATATCAGTGTAAGCAAAAAGGATGCCGAGGGAGATACCTCCTCTCCTCCACCTGGTGGCTCTAATATAACCTTATTATTATTTTACTAACTAATAATAAATTGTCTAAAATCTACTTGATATACCAAAATTTTACTATGTCTGATTTAAAATGTCTTTGGCAAGAGCCCATACCATCAAGCAGCGTACCATGGTTTTATTGTATAATAAAAAAAAAAAAAGTAAATAGGAGCCATGAATCTATTATCACATCACATATCTCAATCTGTGTGCATGCCGATGGATTGTGTAATGAATCTGTTCATTGAGTTGAGCGTGGTTGACTAATATGTCGTTGATTAAGTTGGTCTCAATCAATAAAACCACATATCGTTGACGTTGTCTGAACTGACTGACTTGTTTAAATTGTCTGATTCCTACTTGTGTCATATAATGTGGCATTTACTTTTTCAATGTGCAACTAATTCTAAGCAGATGAAGGTATGCCATCATGAAGAGTTTTGAGAAATAAGATCCATAGCCAGGATCATGTCCACTTGTGCATCAAATGTCAATGTAACACCATTGCATCCACTGTTCCTTTGAAGCGTCTCGCAATAAAGCTCATTTAAAAGTCATGGTGCTATAATAGACATGTGCTTTACAGTTTCAGGGCACATTCAAGACATAAAATGCGGTCGCTCAACCCATACAACGTACAGATCAGGTTGCATTGCCTTTCACGCAGTAATAGCAGGACCCTGTAATCCTTATCATACAAGATCGCATATCACACTAGCCATTACTCTTTAGACCACCCAGAGAATGCTTAAATTTATTTTATGTATTAAATACGACTCAGTTTCAACGCATGAAACCAGCAAAAAAAAAACAACTATTAAATATGAGATTACAATTGCACATAGGCAACAACTAAAAGAGAAGACACGAGGAGGAACTTGGAGATTTGAACACCAGCGTTAGCGGCAGAGCTATTCTTGTTAAAGATACTGGCTGGTACAGAAGTGGTAGCTGCGGTTGTACCAGTTGAACCAGAAGGAGCAGCAGCTGATGAGGTAGGAGTTACAGGTGCAGCAGAAATTGTAATGGGAATGCTGACATTTGTTTGAGAGACATTATCAAGAAAGACAACTTGATAAGCACCAGCTGTTGTGTTGGCGGGAATATTGTACTATAAATGTTGAATATAACTCGATTAATAACATGTTATACATGTAATATTTCTGTTTTCATTTACATTAAATTGATGCTCATACACTGTAGCACCTCCAATTTGCTTTTGGTAACTGAAACCTTGCGAGATATCAGCAGAAGGAGTCAATTGAACAGAGCTGTTTGTGCCGACCAAGGAGATGGAGAGCTGGAGATCTGTGGTTTAACTGATGAGCACCTCATTTATTGCCAATTTAGCTCGCTATACTTACTATCAGCTGTTGTGTTGTCTGCAATATCATAGATACATGGAAGGATTTGACTGGCAACATAAGGGGAATTAGGGCTTGGAGAGGTAACATTGTACTGATAGTTGGGGGATTGCACTTGAGCATTGACAACCGCGCTCAAAGCCAAGGTGGAAAGTAAAATGATAGATTTCAACATTGCTTATATGTGATGAAGAAAAAAAAGAAAGAAAACCTCAAGATTTCCAAAAGAGAGAGCGAGAGAGAAGTATTATTATTTATATAGTGGGGTGAGGGGGGTCAAAGAGGAGGGGTTATTTTGTGTGCAATGTTACTCTTGCAATTTTTATGGATGCAAGGAAACTTCTCTGATTATTGGTTTGTTTAACTTTTGACATGGTAACACCGAGTGCGTGTTGTTGTGATGCAAAGTCTATAAATAGGGAGTTTGCTGGTGAACAGCAGAATAGTAGCAGAAATGTGTATTATACACATGTAAATAATGCATAATAATTCTCATCAGCTGTGAATTCAGACTGTCTACTTGCGTGATATCTCCACACTGTAATGTTTCCATCATCAACCCTCAGATATACTATACTACTTGCTGCAAACAAGAGTTTCAATCACAAATGCCGCCTGATGTTTCCTGATTTACAGTATGTCTGGTAGCAAACACACATCATTTGTATGTCATAAAAAGCCTCAAATGCAGTTATGTATACCGTGTTCTCTATCTCAATGCTCTTATAGATCACTCTATTCACTACAAAAGTTGACTATTCATCAGCATTTGAGTATTGTGTTACAAGCACATCAAACTGTTTCTGCAATTTCATTGTAACGCGCAAGATGTTGGTGGTATTTTCCTGAATCTCTGTTACAAAAGGATCTTGATTGATTTCAAACGTAATTTATTAAAAATTTACCCTGGATACAACTCGATTCCACACAAAATTTGATCTAATATGCCTAAAGCTCGATTCGGATGCTAATCCATTAGTGGTGAATCACGTTTGACCGCTATTATTTGATATTTGCATCAACAAGAGACTACACCAATAGTCAAAGATGATGGGATGATTTGTTATAAAAATAGTTTGATGAAAGGAAAGCCGAGCAAGAATATTCCAACATCGAAAAAACAAGTTATATATAGACATGTATAGTATCGAAGTCCTTGTACAAGAACCTTAATCTTATGTAAAAAAAACATCGTGTTACCATTTCACCATCCAACTGATTGGGTCGTCATACTGCTAGTACCAGCAATTGAACCTTCGCACACCATCATGTACTTTGCAATACCTATCTCATTTGCTTCCCAAGCAACTTTTTCCTCATAATTATACCATTACAGGCACTGATGTTGCCAGCGCCAGCAGCAAAAACCAGTTTAAATTCTCTCCCGAGATGAGGATTTTTGATCACTTTCTCCAGTTGCTCGAACCATTTTGTCAGATTCAACTATGCAAACTGTGGTAATCGTCCCATACTTTCTAATCGTTTTTTAGAGTAGTTCCTGAGGCAAATCTAATGGTACTAATAAAAAATGCTTTAAACAAACTTATCGAGCAATGTTTGAAAATATGAAATGCTATTTTCCATATAAAGGTCTCACAAGCAAAGATTCAGGGATTGCTTTGGATCAAGAGAAACATTTTGATTGAATATCATAACACAACATAGTCTCTAGACACTTTTACAATCATAATATAAAACGTGAGTAGCCAGGCATTTGTGAAGCATGGTCCATATATGATAAGAGGTTTTATATTAAATTACTATCAATCAACAATCAAGTTTCTTCTAGCATTTTAGCTATTATTAGTTCTGCAATATTAGCCAAAGACCCGTGGCAGCGCGAGCCACCTGAACGTAGGTTGGTTTCCACCAAAATAAACCATAGGTCAGGAAACTAACCGAAGAATCGAAATGCTCATCGTAACATAATAAATTTATGGTCCATAGACACTTTCAAAGTCTCTAAAAGGAAAGAAGCTGATCTAACAAGTATTTTGATAGACTGGCGCTATTAAATATAGAACGCAAGAAAAATAGCATGACTAGCGATAATTTTACGATTTGCCACCTACTTTTTATACGCTTCAAAAGCACTTATTACTGTATTTTCTTCATGATGAAAAAGGCATTGAGTTTGCCAGCCGGCATCACCAGCCAAAATAAATTCAAACTCAGACATCTGCTCTACTCCAGATTGGCCAGATTTTGGTACTTTTTCGATTTGATTGAACTACTTTAGCAGATTCGACTATAGAAATTTGATAATCATCCTATGCTTCTTTAAGCTTTCTTGGAGTGCTTTTCAAGGCGCATCCAATGGTACCAAATAAGATAAATGTTTTGAATAAACTAATTGAGTAAATTATAAAAATATGAAAAGAGGTTTTTGGCCAAAAAGTCAAAATTTTACGTATCAAAGTCCTACAAAGATGATTTTAGGGATTGTATGGGATCGATAGAAACATTTTGATTCAAGATATACCATAGTAAAAGTCTTCGTTATCAAGGTAAAAAACGCGATCGTTTGATTTTCGTTGAAAACCATGAGGGATACCTCATGCTTTTTGGTCGAATTTTGTCCATGTTTTTTTTTGATCCTTAAAAAGTTGAGCAAAGGTGACAGAAAGTAACTGCTGGATGAGAGCAATTCTTTGGTACTATTCTTACGATCTAAAACGGCCTTGAACGCGAGAAAGCGCAGCTCAAATGCACCCATATTTTGCTGTATTAGGCACACCCTTGATTAAAAAAGGATTATATCTGTATGATACTTGCCCATATATGAAGTAGCTACGTGTATATGGATGTAGAGCATCACATAAGAATCAGATCCACAGATAATATAAAGGGTTTCATGTGTAATTAGAGGGTCAAAAAGAAAGTAGCAGTATTTCAATAAGATATTACGCAAGGGCAATCGGTAGAGCGAGCTACCGCTGCGCAGGTTGGTTCTCACCTAAGCAAAGTAAAGGTAGAATGCCGTCCGAAGCATAAACACTCATATGCCCTAGCAAAAACCTTCATTGTCGAGGCCAAAAACGCGATCGCTTGATTTTTGAGGTGCCCCTCATGGTTTGGAGTCAATTTTTGACAATCTTAAAACGTTGAGCAAAGGTGTCAGTAAGTAAGTGATGGATGAGAGCAATCATCCAGTGCTATTATGGCATCTTTTAAAACGGCTTCTGATGCGATAAAATACGACTCAAATATATCCAGAATTCAATGTTTTTCGTATATATTTGAGCAGTAAGAGGTAAGGCTATTATGCTGTATACCTTTATATGAGTTCTTTTGGATAACACAGATGTGGAGTATTGTAAGAGAGATATAACTACAGCTACGGAATGTCTTCATCTAGTGTTGGTATGTTAAACAGTGACATTTCAGTATTGCTAGGATAACATTGAATTGGGTCGAGCTTCTTCCATTTTCAACCACACTCTTACAAGAGTTCTGAATTATTTTTCTCGATCCTCTTGTCAGCTCAACGTTAAAGAATCTCATTTCACAGTGCTTGCTTGTTAACAGAAAACGCATAGGGCGATCTCAATCATGAATGCCATTGTTAAAATGAATTCTAGTGCCAACCAACATGGAACTTGCTCGAGTACAAAGTACATTTTATACTGCACTTAAACATAGACACGGAATCAACGTATTCCATTTTCTCTTCTCAACCGTTGGATATGTCTCTCTTGTCAGTGCCTCAACGTCCGGCTATATGTCCAAATTATTCAAATCTATACTACAGAATTTATTCGTCTCTATCTTCAAACCAACTATCCATGTATATATATATATATATATATATATATATATATACTATAGGTGCATCCACATACGAACATGAGGTGTACCCGCTTCTTCAAAGATTTGATCATCACCCTGCTCGATTTTGAAACCAGTCTTTTCGTAAAACCCACGTCGAGGATATTGCGAATGCAATACAATAGTGTTGAGCCCACTGGTTTTGCAATACTCTACAAAGGCTTCAACTAACAAGCGGCCGATCTGAAGACCACGAGCATCTGACAAGACAGCAAGTCGCCCCAATTTCGCTACACCATCTGGCTTGGGTATCAAACGAACGTTTCCGATATCTACGTTGTGTTCAATAGTACCATCTGGATTCTCTTTGTCACATGTAGCAACCCAATGTTGGCAGACTGCATCTTGACTATATGTATGTATATATATATATATATTATACAATAATGCATGTGATTAGGAAAAAAAAAAAGGCACTGGACTGCCCCACATATACACATACCCATCAAGTTCAATTTCCTCTGAATAACCTTGTTCTTGAATAAAGACTTGTCTACGAACAGCAAGTGCTCTATGGATTTCTTCGGGGTATTGAATGTGGATGATCTTGACGTTAGTGTATTTAGACATGTTTTGACAGGTACAATATAAACGAAATAAAGTTGAATTATCTCTTACCCTTTTTTATATTCAACTCAATTTTCTCGGCCCTGATGAGTCAACATCATTTGATCGAATCCGTGGCTTGCTTTTTATTTCCGGAAACCGGAAATCATTGGAAATGCTTCTAGCACATTACCATCTGTCAGCAAGTCTGTCTTGCTGCAGTCGTGATAGCCATGCAAGCCAGGGCATCCGTCTTGATTGTTCCCGTGCGAATAGCGTTGTGGATGTGTCCAATGTCCAATGGCCATCCGTCTCAAATGTCTTATCTGAGACAGAAAGTCAGTTCAACCAAGCCAAAAAAATTTGCCATCCTTCTTCTTCGAATACCATACAAACTAGCATGTCCAACAGCAACAACGATGAGGACACCGATCAGCTTGAGTTGATGGGCGCCTCCAACGACAGTAATGCCACCCAATTTGATATTACAAAACTACCTGATTCGTTCCAAAAATTCCTCAAGGACAATTCAATTGATCCTCAAATCTACACTGTTGCAAAACTACCTCGATACATTAGAACCAATACACATCTGCCTGCTGATAAAAGACCTAGCTTGCAAGATCTCAAGACTCAATTCCAGACAGACAAGGTGTATGCGGTAGATGGGCTGGCTCACTTTTTTAGTGTACAGCTGGATGAGACTACTCAACGTATATCAGATGTTCCTGCGTAAGAGTGCTTCTTGCTCATGATGTTGCATTCATACTCATTTTGCTTCTGATTTAGCTACAAGAAGCATGCGATATTCGGTATTGATCTCAGTTCAGCCATTGCAGTTGAAGCTTTAGAGGTACAAAAAGACGACCAAGTGTTGGATCTATGTTGCGCACCGGGGGCCAAGCTGTGTATGATTGCCAACCTATTAGGACGAGATGGATTAGGCACAGTGACAGGCGTTGATCTAGCAGGTCATCGCTTAGCAACATGTCGATCGCTACTGAAAAAGTACAAGGTGGGCGAAAAAGTGAGGTTGTTTGAAGCAGATGGCACCGCATTTGGCGTGCCACCTCCCTCTCGCTTAGGAGGCAGAATGATCCACAACAAAAATGTAGACGAAAAAGACATGACGACCAGAAAACGACAAAAGTTGGATTTAGTGAAACCATTCTGGGCATCTCGCTTGCTTCGATTCGATAACCAAACACCCTCTCTGACCAATGCGTTGTACGACAAAGTGCTTGTGGATGCCGAGTGTACGCATGATGGAAGCATAGCGCATATCTTGAAATACGAGAAATGGGGATGGGACACATTTGAAAAGAACTTTATGGACCCTCATAGAATAGACACCATAGCAGAACTACAGGTGTGTATAAGCAGTGCTGACCATGGATAGTGAAGGATATTGACTGCTACTATTCTTAGTGCAACTTGATGAAACAAGGCTGGCATATGCTGAAGCCAGGCGGGATCATGATATACAGCACCTGCTCGCTCTCGATTCGACAAAATGAAGACAATGTCGCTTGGTTTTTAAATGAATTCAAAGACGCACAATTAGAAAAGATACCCAGTTTCAACATTCCACCAGCCGAGATCAAGCAGCAACAATTTCATCCCGCTTTGCAAGGTGACATTGAAGCGAATTGTCTTCGATTTGATCCCATTTCAAGCAACACGAGTGGATTCTTTGTAGCTCGTTTCGTTAAAGCTGCTTTATTTACATAAACGAATTTTACTTTTTCTCGTAAACCTCATTCACCATGTCCCATTCCTTGTCCAGCATCTTTGATTCAGTAATGGCTGAGGAGAGTTGCATCATGCTATCATCAGGCCCAGCTTCGAATTCTTCCTCTTGTTGCTGCTGTTGAAGTAAAGGCGTTTTTTCTTCTTCAACTTCTTCTTCTTCTTCTTCTTGTCTCTCAAGAATACCCAGGTCAATTTCCTTGCCCAAGTCCTTGATAAATCGATCAATTCTGCGATGGTATCCAAACAGAAGCATGTGGGATACACGCACCATGGGCTTCTTGATCACACCTTGCTCTGTAATTTTGAGATACACTGCTTTTTCCTCGCCTTCAACAGGCTCAATCAAGAATGTCCACGAGCCGCTGAATGTTGATTTTCTCTGTGGCACCTGTTCTCCTGGTGTGATGTAAGGTCTCTCCTCCAATACCCGTAATAGTTTTCTCTCGCGCTCTTGTTCAATATGCATGACGACAGTGCGTCGATCTTTTTTGGTATATTCAACGAATGTAAGGCGGTTGTCATCCTCGTACTGGTTGATCTCGTTCTCAAACTCGTCTCTTCTTACTGTCACTCGGTCAATGTTGGAACGCCAAGCAGGATAGTCCTCTACACTGGTCAAGATGGTCCACAGAATATGAGGCGTTGTGTTGTATTTTGCTGTACGAGACACGATATGACTACTAGGCAACAAGAGGCCAATAGCGTATATGCCAAGTGGTATAGCAGGTATTAATACCAAACAAATGATAATTGCAGTAAACGCACTGATCATTACTTTTTAGTGCAGAATAGAAGAAAAAAAGAGATAAAGGGAAAAAGAGAGGGAAAAAAAAAACCTGAAACGATTTATTTATCTACCATTTTTGAAAAGCCTTCTTTCCATCATCTTTCTCTCTTCCAAGAATGGCAGGTAAAATTCATGTCAAGCTGTTTTTTTTTGCACCAGAGAGGCTAAATGAACATCTATAGCACTCTATACTATAGGCATTATCACAGGTAAGCTTCTTGTTTGCTATGGAATCAAAGCATAGCCTCTGACATGAACCACGCAGTCAGTGACACTGCTGCTCAAGACAGCACGCTTGATAAAAGTGGACCTCTCTTGAAACAATTGTTTGCATCCGACGCGAAATATGCTGTCAAGGAGCACACCATTGTGCCAGATCAAGCACAGGATATCACCCACATTGTGACAAAGTGGTCAGACGTTTTAGAGATCAATGCCATCGTATTGACAGGAGGAACTGGATTTTCCGAACGAGACATCACACCAGAGGCCATTAAACCGCTGCTTACCAAGGAGACCACTGGCATCACACAACTGCTCTTGGCCACGTCACTAGCTATTACACCATTCGCTGCTCTCTCAAGGCCCATCACAGGTATCAGAAACAAGACATTGATCATCACTTTACCTGGCAGCCCCAAGGCATGCAAAGAGAATATGGAGGCTGTATTCAAAGTGCTGCCACATGCCTTGGACCTGATCTTGGGCAGATCTGTTGTAAAGGAGACGCACACCAAGATGCAGCAGCAACCGGAGCAGAAAATGGCGACTACAATTGCAAGTGCAGGACAGCATGTCTGCACACACCATCATGACCAAGAGGGCCACCCTAGTCAGACAGGCGTATCAGCATCATTAGACACACCCGTATCAAGACGTGCTAGATCGTCCCCTTATCCCTTAATCCCTGTGGAAAAGGCTCACAGAATAGTGGCTCAATTCTCGCATCCTCTGAACGTAGTCAGCGTCCCTGTATCTCAATTCTTACCAGGCTATGTTTTGGCAGAGGATGTCAAGTCATTGGAGCCTGTACCTGGCTACCGTGCCTCTGTTGTAGATGGCTATGCTATCCATGGTAAGTTTGCTTTGCTAATAAGCACTGCACCACCACAACTCACCATCTTGTAAATAGTGGAAGATGGGCCAGGCGTGTATGAGATAGAATCCATCTCGCTGGCTCAAACAGGATCCGATCAAGATCAGCCCAAGGTCTTGAGCAAGGGAAAGATTGCGCGTGTAGCTACAGGTGGCATGGTACCTGAAGGTGCAAATGCAGTCATCATGGTAGAAGACACTAAACTCGTCGAAAGCTCTCCCTCTGGCGATGAAGAGCTCAAAGTTGAAATCCTCGTCAGTGCTCGTCCAGGCGACAATATTCGAGAGATTGGCACTGACTGTGCTGTGGGACAAATTGTAGGTCATCGGGGGCAGCGTATTGGCGCTGAATTGGGTGTGTTGGCTTCAGTAGGTGTGCGCCATGTGAAGGTATTCCGCAAACCTCGCGTAGGTGTGCTTTCCTCAGGCAATGAAGTGCTGGATCATATCCACACAGATCAGTTGAAGCTAGGCCAAATCCGGGACACCAACCGTATCACGCTGCTTGCTGCTATTCAAGCAGCTGGATTTGAAGCAGTGGATCTAGGCATCGTGGACGATAACGTGGACGACATTGTAGAGCGACTGGAAGAAGCCACTGCCAAGGTGGATGTGCTCTTGACAACAGGCGGCGTTTCGATGGGTGAAGCTGATTTCATGAAGCCTATTCTGGAGCAAAAAATGGATGCTACTGTTCATTTCGGCCGTGTCATGATGAAGCCTGGTAAGCCTACTACCTTTGCGACTATTCCACAGGGTCCAAAGCGCCCTCCCAAGCTAGTGTTTGCTCTGCCCGGTAACCCAGTTTCTGCCACTGTCGCCTTCCACTTGTTTGTCTTGCCTGCATTGCGTCGTATGGCTGGCTGGGTCAAGCCAGAGAACGTCTTGGTGCCAGTACAGATCCAGGATACCATCCAACTGGACCCTCGACCTGAATTCCATCGAGTGCAAGTCTCTATTGGCGCTCAAGGCAACATGATTGCCGAGTCAACCGGTAAACAACAGAGTAGTCGTATGCTCAGTATGGTGGAGGCAAATGGACTCTTGCAATTGCCCATGAAGACTCCTGAACTATCACAGCTTACCAAAGGAACGACTGTACCGTGTATTTTGATTGGCACCCTTATCAACCATTAAATAAATAAATCAAAAGTTGGATCTGTTTTCTACCACCTAGGGAGTAAAAAAAAAAAAAAAAAAAAAACCAGTCGATAGCTATTTTTTCATCAAGGGATATAGACCATGGGTCAATTGAAGGCAGAAAGGGGACAAGTAGGGGCAGTTTTCTTTTGCAAAACGAATGGCATGAAGAGTAGTGCAAGTGTCGTTTTATAGGTAGGGGATACATAAATGAAGCAGTAAGAATATCTAGCATACACTCTATTACCGTTCAAATGGCCAATTGTTGCCAAGCAAACGCTTATTGTCAATGAACCCTTCATGTTGCCACTAGACGCCATCCCTTCTTTTTTAGACAGAAACAAGCAACAACGTGGAAATCGTGCAAAAAGCACACAAATGGCCATCCTATGCTAATCCCCTATTTTCTTCTCCACCGCATAAATAGCATGATTTGATGTTAAGAAAAAAAGAAAGAAGCATCCCTCAACTTGGATTCCCTGTATATCTGTGTTGGTATAAATGACACCATCTTAGCTATCCCACATGTCCCTTTTTTTTCATCTTTCTTCTTTTTTTTTTTCTTTCCATTCGGAAAACATGATTACAAAACTCACCATCGGCCAAGTCCTCTGTCAGCCTATAGTACCCTTTGCATTTCTAGTCAGTTTTGCTGGCCTGATCAGCTTCTTTTTCTATTGCATCAAAAGCGGCTTTACCAAGACGGATAAGCAAATCAGCTGGATTCTTACATTTGCGAGTAGTCTGGTTTGCACGGTTGTTTCTATCCCCTATTTCATTCAATTCTGGCGGTCTGGGTGGGACATGTCAAGGCTAGGCACAGACTCCAATGGGCACACAGCGATGGTGTGCTTCTTTATAAGCTACTTAATCTTGGATCTGTCCCTGGGCTCCATCTACTATAGAAGCCGTATCACCGTGCTGACTGGCTGGATCCATCATCCGCTATATATTGGCATTTTGTTTTGGTTGTTGAGGTGTCGATCCTCGTCCTTCTTTAGCACGAATTGTATATTGGAGTTACCCACATTGCTGCTGGCATTGGGCTCTTTCAAGGATCGCTGGCGATGTGATCTCTTGTTTGCTGCTACCTTCTTTGTGCTCAGACTTGTGTTTCATGCCTACATGATTCTGGCCCTGAAGCAATCACATCGTCTAGAGCTACTGTGGTTGGTAGCTGTGGCCGTGTTTCCATTGCACTTGTATTGGTATTACGGTATGTACAGACACGCTAGCATCGGGTGCCATTTACCCATCTTGACCCATTTTATAGGCATCCTCACTCAATTGATCAAAAGATACTCTGCCTGTATCAAGCTTGCCATCTTCAGCCCCAACTCGCTCGCTGACAACACAGCGTCTTCTGCTGATACTACCAACAAGAAAAGGAAAAGATCCAAACATGCGTTTCTAGACAGAATCTATACTTTTTAATTATACATACAATAAAACGCCTAAAGCACAAAATTAATCAATTCACCCTTCTTGGCTACAATCAATTTTCGAACAGGCTTATCAGAGATCCATTTTTTGCCAGCATCGGACGCTCTCACACGTCTCTCAATTTCAGCCGTGTTACCAATCAGTTCTTTTGGTATCGTGATGCTGGATCGTGTCTTGCCATTGATTTGAATAATGCAATCCAGTTCGCTCTTTTCTAATGCTGCTGCGTCAAATGTGGGCCATGCTTCATCAAACACGCTGGCAGAGGGGGTGTTGTGATTGGCTGCTTCCCAGCATTCTTCACTCATAGCAGGTGTCATGGGTGCCATCATCTTGACGATGGATTGCACTGCATGTTGGTACACGGGGGATGTAGGTTCCACAGTGGTAGCAGAAGAAGAAACATGGTTTGACAGCTTGATGAGATCAGAGATGGCTGTGTTGAACGAGTAGTTGGATGTCAAAGTATCGGTCACTTGCTTGATGGTCTGATTTGTGATTCTGTACATTTCTCTCTCGTCTTTGGTCATATCATTCATGGCGGGCAGTGGCTGGCCAGACTCAGCAGGCAACGATTGCGACATTTTCAAGACCTTAGCCAACCATCTCTGCATGCCAATAATACTGGAATCCTCCCACTCTAGTACTTCAGATGGTGGTGCCTTGTACAAGATGTGGAGTCGAGTCGCATCCACACCGCACTCGCTAACAACATGCACTGGGTCCACACCATTGTACTTGCTCTTAGACATCTTTTCAAACGAAATCAAAGGTGCCTCTCCTGTGCTGATCATCTTGGGATTTGCATAGTCAGATGCGTCCACTTCCTCTGGCTTCAAAAAGCGTTGGGTCTTTGGATCCTTGAATGTGCGGCCATGCACCATACCCTACATATGTAGTTAGTTGATCTGTACAATATTATGCAATAAAAACCCTTCAAGACGCACGTACCTGTGTAAGCAGCACATTGAATGGCTCACCGTGACCTGGCTTCTTTTCAGGAGTCTCGTTGAAAGCACCTTGCTTCAATAGGGCTTTGGTGATAAAACGGGAATACAGCAAGTGCAATATAGCGTGCTCTACGCCACCAATGTAGATATCCACCGGCAACAAGGCAGATGCTTTGACAGGGTCAAATGGCCTAGTAGAGCAGCATTAGTATGTGTCCGTATCTCTTTCCAATGCGGAGACTTACAGTGTCTTGTTGTGAGGGTCTGTGAATCGCATAAAGTACCACGATGAATCAACAAAGGTATCCATGGTATCGGTTTCTCGCTTGGCTGGACCTTGACATCTAAAGTACGTTCAGGCTTAGTATACGTCCATTCCTCACTGATATGAGGCTTGCTTACTGGGGGCACTGGCAATTCACCCAATCTTCTCGGCCAGCAAGGGGCGATTGACCCTTACCAGAAAACTCAACATCCAGTGGAAGATGCACAGGTAAGTCTTCTTTAGGCACAGGCACCACCTTACATGTTGGACAATGAATTACAGGAATAGGGGCACCCCAATATCTCTGTCTTGACAAGAGCCAATCCTTTAATCGAAACTGTGTGGCAGGATGCCCTACACCCATCCTTTGAGCCTCTTTCAAAATAGCTTTTCCAGCAGCGCCTGATTTCATGCCTCTATAAGGCCCTGATGCCTCTGTCAAGATGCCCTGAGCTGTGTACGGCGAACTGTAGTCCAAGGGCTGATCCACCTCCTTGATGGCAGGCTCTACAACAAATCGCACTTGATCTACGACATGGTTCACCTTACAGAACTCGAAATCTCGCTTGTCATGAGCAGGAACACCCATCACAGCGCCTGTGCCGTAATCAGAGAGCACGTAGGGTGCTACATAGACTGGGATATCTTCCTTGGTGAATGGGTTCTTGGCATACAAACCAGTAAACACGCCCTTCTTGTTTTCTTCTGCTTCATCCATGTTTTGTTTCTTCTTTAAATCCTCTACAAATCCTAAAACTGAATCAGCTTGTTCCTTGGGCAATATCCTATCAAAGTAGCACAAAGTGAGTGTGATTCCCATTGCTGACACCCATGTTTGTGTACGTTACGCCTTGCTGACCAGCGGATGCTCTGGTCCTAGCACCAAGTACTGCACGCCGTAGATGGTATCGGGTCTGCTGGTAAACACCTTGATGGGCTCTCTTGATTCAACAGAGTTCTATCAGCTGAAATGTCAGTGCACATCTACGCAGCTTTTGACACCTACCTACAATGTTGAATTCAAATTCTGCCCCTGTTGATTTGCCAATCCAGTTGCGCTGCATTTGCTTAACTCTGTCTGGCCAGTTCTCCAGTCTGTCAATGTCCTTTAACAAATCCTGCGACGTAGACGTCTGTTTAGCATGAAAACAACCATACATTACACCATACTCACATCGGCAAACTCGGTTACTTTGAAAAACCACTGCTTGAGCTTCTTTCTCTCCACCAATGCACCTGAGCGCCATGATTTCCCTTCTGGATCCACTTGCTCATTGGCCAACACTGTCTTATCCACTGGATCCCAATTCACCACTGCTTCCTTTTGATAGGCTAATCCCGCATTGTATAATTCCAAAAAGATGTACTGTGTCCATCGATAATACTCTGGATCACAGGTAGCCAGTTCCTAGAACGCAGATGGTCTGTTGAACGACATGTTTGCATGCAATGTCAAAATGCTCAGGCCGTACCTTTGACCAATCAAAATCAATGCACAATTTTGACATTTGCTCCTTCATGATGGCAATGTTCTTGGTAGTCCACTCGGATGGGTGAATGCCTCGTTCAATAGCTGCGTTCTCGGCTGGCAGCCCAAAGGCATCCCAACCCATAGGATGAAGTACATTGTAGCCATACATTTTACGAAATCGCTGAATGGTATCGCTGATAGCGTACACGCGGACATGGCCCATATGAAGCATGCCACTAGGATAAGGAAACATGGATAATGTGTAGTAATTGGGTTTACTTGTATCTACAGGCTTGGGTGTTTTGGCATTCTCCTTCCAACGAGTCTGCCATTTGGTCTCTATAGCGCTGAAATCCAAGGGCAATTTACGCTGTTGCTGTTGCTGTTGTTGTTGTGTTGCATAGTATCTAGAGCTAGTGCCCACGTACAGGGTGGCTGGTATATGTCGACTGACGTTCCTTGTCAAATGGGCCTTTAATAGTATCGACATGATAAATGCAGAAAAAGAAAGGGTAAATGTAAAAGGAACCCTTGGCCTTGATTTGTTTTAAACTTTTTTGGGATCCTTGCTGGCTCCCCGGTGCGGCTATCCAATTACCTCCATTTGACAGCTGCACAGGCAACCAGCAAGTTGTCCTCAACTGGCAAGTAAACAAATGTCGTACTGAGTGGCACCTTGCTTTTGCAAATGTTGTAAAGCTAGATTACGCGTGATTTGATCATGAGAAAATTACACTTGTAAGAAAACTCCCTTTTCATCTCTTCATCCATTCTTTTTGCATCAGTATGGATCATCACCACCACCACCACCACCACCACCACCATCAGGCTCGCTTCACAATATATCTTCCATCTCCATCAAATCAACATGGCCGTTCAACAATGCAATTGCACGCTTTACACTATATACCACCACCACCGCATCACCCGCACTATCCTTCTGCTCCTCCACATGTGCACTCGCGCTACTACATGCCTACTCAATGGCAGCAATCCACCTATGCGCCCAGAAGATCATCTTCACTGTCCTCTCAATCCACGCATTGCAAAAGAAAGAAATGTAGGTACTCATCGACATACAAAGCAATGCTCCTTTTGAATCTCAACATTGTATATAGCTCTTATAAGTCCAGCGCATGAAAATCGATTGCAACAGGAGCCATTTTCAGTGATCAGAAGCTTCAAATCAACAGTGCATTGGTACAGTAGCATACGACTTGCACACACAAACGCACTAACAGCAATCGAATGACATACAAACAGGATATCCAAGACATTTTGCTTCTGTTACAATGATGATATCATTGAATTCAACGATCACTATTACAAAAAGGATGAAAAATCAAGTTGAGAAAGTTGACTAAAGAAAGAGGGCATTTTATATTCAAATCAAAAAGTGAAATAAAATAGCGAGAGATATACAGACATAATTTAGAAAACAAGAGCAGCACCCTTGGTCTTCTTGTCACCACCCAATTCAAAGTGCTTACATCTCTTGATGGCGAGTTGCATCTTGTACTTGCAGGCTATAATATGAAAAATATTTTGAGTCTTCAAAAACACACATACACACGAAACGCAATCTAGAGCTTACCGGTACACTCGAGACGGAGGACAATCTTCTTGGTAGTCTTGGCCTTCTTGTGGAAAACGGGCTTGGTTTGACCACCATAACCGGATTGCTTACGGTCATAACGTCTCTTACCTTGGGCAAAGAGAGAGGCCTTACCAGCCTTGTATTGGGTGACCTTGTGAGGAGTGTGCTTTCTACACTTGCTACCCTTGCAGTAGGTGTTACGGGTCTTGGGAATGTTGACCTAATTTGCATATGTGTTTAATATCATCTTGCTTTAAAAGATCTCTCATCCCCATCATCATCCACATCATCGTCATCAATGCATGATTGTCGGTCCATGGTCGTCTTATTTCATCGTCATTTTTAGAGTTGCAAATCGGTTATAGATGGACGTTGCTGATTCATGCTGATGGATGCTGATAGTAGATGGATGGATGGATGGTTGTATAGTACGTACCATGTTTAACTTTATGCCAAAAAAAGAGAGGGATCAATCTTCAAGTTGGATACATTGTTAGTTCATACTACACCTTTCTATTACTTTCGTCTCCGGTCCGAACATTGCATGCCCTGAGTGTTCTTAGCTAGTATGATCTATGCTCTATATTGTCAATACATCCCAGCCACGCCATTCACTTGCCATGGATCTCAAATGCTTACTTATTTTTGGCTTGCCTTTTGCTGATAACTTTGCTAATTCAAAATACATTCTATCATTCCAAGATCTACAACTAAAAATCCCATTCCAAATGGCGTTTGAAATCTGTCATACTCAATAAGAACGCAATGATGCGAATTTGCTTTGTCGCTGTGCTATCAATATGACGGACTATGGCTGATTAGCAGGATTTCTACTAATATGGATTGAAGCTTCACTTCTTGACCTACTGCTCTTACGTACGAGTCCTCCATAACGATGGTTCGTCTTATTCTACGGCGGTTATGTAAATATCGACGCAAGCAACTCGTTTATGGGCACACAGCATGGTAGCAGTACCGTTTAATACCCAAATGTATGCAACGCACAGCAAAATTTGGAAGCTTTTGGGTCACATTTTTTTTTGTGTTAGAAGCTGTTTCAAGCTGCCAGAATAGCACTGGATGATTGCTCTCGTCCAGCACTTACTTGCTGACACCTTTGCTCAATTTTTTTTGGAGCCAAAAAAATATGGTCAAAAATCGACTCTAAACCATGAGCTACCCCTCATGAAAAATTCCAAAAATGAAACGATCGCGTTTTTGACCTCCAAAACGAACACTTTTACTATAGCATACATTATATCCAAATGATGCTATCGATTTAAAGCAATCTTTGAAACTATATTTGTGCGACCTTTATATGTAAAATTTTGACTTTTTGGCCAAAAACCTCTTTTCATATCTTCAAACATTGCTCAATAAGTTTATTCAAAACACTTCTCTTTATTAACACCATTAGGTGCGGATTGAAAAGCACTCTTAGATTGTATTAGAAAGTATAGGATGATCATCGCAACTTACATAATCGAATCTGGCAGAATAGATTTATTGAGTCGATTTTGATCAAAATCAGGCCAATCTTGAGCAGACAAAAAGCGGCATTTAAATTGTGTTTCCTAGCCTCCTAGCCTCCTAGCAGCGGCCAAAATTAATGCCTTGTCATCATGAAGGCTGTGGATGTTCCTGATGCTATCAAGGAGGAAATTGCGAGTTGGAAGCACTGTAATGCCAATTGAATAGGGTGGAACCAAGTACTTGATTGGATGAACACACACTGATATGTAATAGTGTCGCACTAGACCAAAGCGCAAGAAAAAAAAAAGTGAGTCGACGATATGACATGTTTATATTCTCAATGTGATTTCGTTACACCTTAGATAAACATTTTCACGAGTGGAACTTGATGAATCACGATACTATATTTTTTTTTTCAGAAGCTAAAATACACAAGCATGGCTTGAACCCAGATTTGTGGTGCAGTCTTATTTGGATGGAAATTTCCATTTTTCCTGCTTCAACATCTTGGTGCAAAATTGCATAGTTGCTTAGCAAAGAGTTCTTCTAACCCCCACATGCTCATTCGACCAACTATCCAAGGGACTTGTTCTACCGAGAGATTTCATTTAATTTGCTAATTATGTTTATGCAAATTTATAATGCTCCTCCTCCCATGGATGAAGATGCAGACATCCCAACAAATTTCATGTGGTTTTAAAATAACCTTGCAATAAATAAGCACTCATTTTCAAATGATTTGAGATTAACATGAGCAAGAAGTCTCTAATCTACAAGATAATCACTATTTAATTAGCAAATCAAGGCTTGCAAATGGTAAAATAGGATTAGAAAGTGTGGTGCTATTCATGCGTAATTTGCCCTGTAACAACGAATGAAATCCCGCTTCGAAAGTTTGTCAATAAATAGAGGCTGAAATACGCATCGTTTCATTTCTTTCTTTTTTTTTTACTTCATTATTATAAACTTATCTTATCTCTCTATCTCTTAAAAGTCAAATTATTCTATTGTATGGTCTCACACTCGAGAGTCGCTATTGTTGGTGCTGGTGCCGTCGGTGCATCACTCGCCTATGCATTGATGTTTAAAAATATTTGTTCCGAAATCTTGATCGTTGACGTTAGCCCTGATATTGTGAAAGCTCAAGTCCTGGATTTAGCTGATGCTGCTAGCGTCAGTCATACTCGTATTCGTGGTGCTTCTCCTGAAGAAGCTGGTCAAGCTGATATTATTGTGATTACTGCTGGTGCTAAGCAAAGAGATGGCGAGCCTCGTACCAAGCTTATTGAACGCAATTATCGTGTGCTTAAAAATGTCATTGGTAGTATGCAGCCCATCAGACAAGACGCTGTCATTCTAATGGTATCAAATCCTGTGGATATCTTGACTCACATTGCTCGTAAGCTCTCTGGTTTGCCTGCTAGTCAGGTGATTGGTTCGGGTACTTACCTGGATACAACTCGTCTCTGTGTTCATCTTGGTGAAATTTTCGATGTCAATCCACAATCTATCAACGCCTATGTTCTTGGTGAACACGGTGATTCTCAAATGATTGCTTGGAGTGCTGCTACTATCGGTGGTCAACCATTGGCATCATTCCCAGAATATCAGGAAATTGACAAAAAGGCAGTGTCCAAGGTTGTGTCTGGTAAGGCAATGGAAATCATTCGTTTAAAGGGTGCTACTTTCTATGGTATTGGTGCATGTGCTGCTGATTTAGTGCACACGATCATTTTGAACAAGAAGGTGGTTCATCCAGTCTCTGTCTACGTCGAGAAGTATGGCGTTACGCTCTCTATGCCAGCCAAGATTGGATGGGAAGGTATTCAACATGTGTTCGATGTGCCCCTCAGTAAAGAAGAAGAAGAAAGACTACAGGCATCGGCTGAGGCTCTCCGCGAAATTGAGCAACTCTACTAAACATGCATCGTTATTCCTACACCTCTCGTCTATACCCTCCACCGTCTTTTCCTTTCATGAATACAAGTATATGTATATATTTTATTTAATAAACAAAAATTTCACTCGACACTCATCATTATTAGCGTTTGTTAACAAGTTGTGTATGGCCAAAAGAAACTAATAGGAAATGTAACCATCAAAACTTCGGATCTCAAGTAGTGCTGTTGTTGTACAAGGAAGATTTTTTTTTCTATAAATATTGTTTACTCATGAGGTGTTGTTGATGTTGCACCAAGGAGTAAAACATCTGTCACCATTATCCGAGAAAGGGATTTTATGATGCAAAAAAAAAAAAAAAAAAACCGATATTTCGTCGAATCCAAAGGTGTGCTCTTGGCTAATATAGGGCTTAAGCAGTGATTGAAGCAGTGAAGAGATAGCTGGTTCAATTTAATGACAAGAGGTGCTTCGAGGCTGATAGATCAGCAAAAATGTAGATGATTTGACAGCAGCTGGAGCCATTTGGGAACTGTCATGAAATACAAGTGCAAATGCAGACATAAGCTACATCATATGACACACGGCATGCCAACAAGTGAAAGTGCAAGTGCAGTTTCTCTCATAGAATGCCACCTAAGCATATACACAAACAAATGCGTATGGTGGCATCTGCTAGCCAGCCAGCCACTACCTTTTGAACCTTTTTCCATGGCCAAAAAAGTTTTTCTTTTAGGGTTTGAATCGCCGTTTTTCTACTATTTAATCATGGATTTAGTTAATTTAGATGAACAACTGCTCTTTCTTCTTTTTATTCCTACTTATTCAAAGGGTGGAAAATGCTGTCAAATTCTAGTGAAAAGGAATCCGCATCTTTACCCCCTCCATCAGCCTTGTTTGCCTCAAACTACTACTACAGCCATCCCTCAGGTACACCTCCTCCTCCCCACAGCAGCATGGCAGTGGAGGCTCGATCTGGCTATATTCTGCCTCCTCCTTCAAGCCTGCCAGGATACCATCTTCCTCCTCCCCCACAGTATATTTATTCACCTGCATCTAATGCGACATCTAATAACAGCAGTAGCCAATACTATTACCCACCTACACCTCCCGTATCATCCACCCCACCTCCACATCCGTCACATCCTTATGCACATCACCCGCTCGCAGCAGCTGTACATCACCATACCCTTAAAGAAGAACCACCGCAACTCAAAAAAGAAAAGGCCCAGAAACGCAAACGTCGCCCCAAGGATCCCAACGAAAACCCTCCCAAAAGCAAGAAAAAGACGACACCACCATACCATTACGAAGTACTCGAATTGAAACAGCAAAAGAAGCCTACCAAGAAACAACGCAAAGAGAATGAGGCAGCATCAGCAGCCGCTGCTACATTGGCATCATTTGCATCGGTATCGCCACCGTTAACAGAAGAAGAGGAAGTAGATGAAGAAGAGGATGATGTTTTACATGAATGTGTCAAATTAGAAGCTTGTGCAGGCCAAGGCGGAAGATTTGAATGTGAGCATTGTGGCATCAACTTTAAGCATTTGAATTGTCTCCAAAAACATGGGTGGGAGCATACAGACATGAGTAAACAGCAGCAAACTCAACTTGTAGAGGTGATTTAAAATTTTTTTTCTCTTGGTTGTAATCCTTTCTAATCCCTCTGTGTATTTTTATAGGCGGCACAAATCTTAATGGACATTGCTAGATATGGAATGAAAATGAGATCGCTACATTAGATTTGTTTGTTGAAGAAAGCTTCCCCCTTTAAATTGTAAATAAAATTCTTTCATTTATACACCTAATAATCTGTATAAAGTAACAGCATTCGAAAAAAAAAAAAAAAAAAAAAAAAACAATTTCTTATAACTACAGAGCAATCGGCTCCATCTACCTTGGATTAACTATCACTCATGGGCAAATAGTTAGTAAAACCTTGTGGACACAATGTGGAAATATGTTAGGGTGAGCATTTTAGCCTTTTTTGATGTCAACAACCTTTGCATGGAGTTTTGGAGCTTCAGGTACAAACGCTGCGCAATTTCATGTTTTAAGAGTTCTCATAGCATAATTCACTTTATCAAACACAAGCCTACCTTATAGTAACTATGGCAGCCCAACAGCACATGCCTGTCTACTAAATATACGACATTTGTTTATTTATCTTTTCTCTTTCTTGATCAGGTTCGTATAGGTAGAAGATCGCCATCAGGTATGTAATGCAAATTTGACAGAGCAAAATCCAAAATTCAGATGCCGCAATCAACGGTTACACGCGTTTTTTGACAGAAGCTATCACTTTAAGCTGCTCTATCTCGTTCAAATCATACAACACATATGTAATTATTGATGCCAATAAAATTATACTTTTTGGCTTTCTAATGATGGTACTTTAGATTCTATAGTACGTCTGAAAAGCACAAAATTTTGGTTTGAAAACTATGTACTCCAAAGAAGCTAATGTCAGCCTGTTTCGTACCTTATCTAGGTTTCAAAAACCTCAAAAATCTTGCTAAAACGTAGCACATATGGTATCAAAAGTTGTCTTAAACTTTGGAGCATGTTTTGGTACCACTTTAAGCCTACTTGAAGCTTCTTGATAGTGTTATATTTGTATTTGTAATGAGTTCTGCGCTTACGGCGCGCTTTAAAAGTGGAAACCAGCCTACTTACTGTTATGCGTTGAAATTGCACAATGTGAAATGAATTGCACTTATTTCTTTAGAAATATATCATTATGGACTTCTGTCCGGAAGACAACCCATGAAACAGAACTATCAAAATTATAATATGCGCATTTAAAAGTAAACTGATAGACACTTTTACCTTAAATACCCAATGTGACAACAATCAAGCATACCTTATTATAGCAAAAATACCATTAAAACAGTGAAATGCATCCACTCTGATCTGCATTCCGATAGCCCATCCAGTTAACAGATTGAGATATAAACTATGTATGCACTGGATTAGATGCACGATACGGATTTATACTATAAGAAGGATATGAACTACTGATACGCTAGTCAGAAACACTTATATTTACTATTTTGACATAGAGTTACATTAACTAGAAGGCATAAAACATAAATGTTCATAATTGAAATGTTGGTTACTTGTTATAATTCTAAATAAAATTTGATTTACAATTATAATTTAAATTCAAATTAAAACTGTAATTCACAAAATTGCTGCAAATCAAAAACTACTTTATAACTATTCATACATTTAAACGGTTTTCAGTACTATAAGACTAGCCGATCAATCTCGCTATGCTAGATGACGGCGTCACCCTGCGGGCTCTCGTCGAAGACATTTCAAATCAGAGATAATAAAAGTCTGGCATATCAAGTAGATTTTAAACACTCAATTAATAGTAAAAAAAAAAAGGCTATATCAGAGTCAAGATGGGGAGTTATTTATCCGCTGATGTTGCTCTTGAGATGGCAGCATAAAGCTGACCATGTGTAAATGCAAGACTTGTGTGAGATCTACAGCAATTTTTTTGAGATATTGTTATTGCAAAAGACGTCTTTATAAGGAAAAACTATCAATAAAAAAGTATTTGCGCTAAGCAATTGTCCTTTCCATTCCATGATCCCCATTCAATCAGCATCACAATCATCATTGTCATCAACAGAAAGACATTTAGGTCAGCCAGTAGCAGCGAAGCCTGTCAAAATCAATTTAAGCTCAGGTTATTTTTTTCTGTTCAAGATTGGACAGATGTTGTCATTTTTCGACTTCTTTAATCTATTCTTTGATATTCGACTGTATAAACTGTGATGATCATCCTATGCTTCTTAATACATTCTTGAAGCACTTTTCAAGGCGCTTCCAATGGTGCTAATTGTAATGAGAGTTTTGGCTGAAATTATTGAGCAATTTAATAAAATTTGAAATGAGGTTTTTAGCGAAAATAGTCATATTTTGCATATGAACACTTCATAAAAGTGGTTTCAGAAGTTGCTTTGGATCGAGAGAAACATTTTGATTTAGCATGTACTATAACAAAAGTCTTCATTTTCAAGGTGTAAAATGCGATCGTTTGATTTTCAATGAAAACCATGAGGTACCCCTCATGCTTTTTGGTCGATTTTTGGCCATGTTTTTTTTTGGCCCAAAAAGCTGAGCATAGATGTCAGGAAGTTACTACTACTCAAGTACAACTGTTTGGCGTCATTCCGGCGGCTCATGAAGGTCTACATGTCAAGGTGCAAAGGCTTGAAAGCTGTCAAATTTGGTTATGCTTTGCTTTATAGAGTCTATATACACGGTATGAATCACATCTTTGATAGCTGCAATTTACTGGAAAGGCAGTTCTGTAGCCTGTGCAATTTCTAGTTCAAATAGAAGGAATATTGATTTTGGCAAAGCTAATTCATGCAAATTTTGATGCGCTATGTTGCTGGTAAGCTTATTAATAATGGAAATGAAAAACCGAATTTGCTACTTGAATACTATGGTTTTGCACCTTCACTTCGCTACAATCAAGCCCTCATAGAGATCAACGTTACCAAGTATTGGATTAGACGCCTTATTACCATGACTTTGCACCTTTGCTTCGCTATGGTAAAACCCCGTATAAATCAATGCTATTAAGTGTTGAATTAGATGCGTTATGTTCTTCCCCCAAATCCTCTTCCCATTGCCGGCTTCGCCGGTGGTTTATTCACCTTGTACGGTACTCAATTCTTTAGTTTGTCTACTTTTTTGAATGCTTTACAGTATATATAATGCTTCTAAACAGAGAAGTCTGGCTGAATTGACAGTTGTACAAATAATAGTGTTTTTCTATAGTGATTACTTACACATTCTACTCGAAAGTATGTTTTGTGGATTGTTAGAGGAATTCAGCTGAAAAAATCGTGCCATTATTGAGTCCTTCCATGTGAGCTTAATTCGGTGTAACTGCAAATGCATATAACAAATCACAGAGACAGAATACTATGATGCCAATGTATAAAAAGCCAAATCAGCCATAGAAATAATGCTCTGATCTAGCGTTAAGGTCATGTAAAAGCATAGTTTCTCCAGCATTTGTTTTTGTGACTACGGTGGGTAGGCTAATACCTGATGAATAATTCTATAGCGACCTAATAAACCAGCTTTTCTTTCTCTCTTTATACACTTGCTACGCTTTAAGATGCAAGGAGAACCTGCCTCTACACCTACATCATATAAACTAGTTGAATACGACAATACTATATATGAAATACCTATTCGATACATTGACCAAGAAAATGTGTTGCTTTTGAGCGACATACAAGCATTACTACCAAACGCAACGGCCCTCTTGACCAGCTCTAAACTGATTCCATTCAAGCTTCATCCTGACCACCATACAGAGCTAATACCGAAAAGAATCTCAATACCCGATATAAATGGCAACAGCGTGATTTGGCAAGCTCATGTGCCAGAAGAGAATGTATCCACCTTAATGGAAATGCAGAGAAAGATAGATCAGCTTGGTGAAAAGATGGATCGATTATACATGTCGTTGGTGCAGTCATCTTCAGATAGCAGTGATGATGATGTATCAGTAGTAGGAGCCAGTAATGCCCATACAAATACTCTCGCTATAGATAACCATCACAACGAAGACAGTAACCAGCATGAAGATCAAAATGAAAGCACACGAATCGATGATACATTAGATACTACCAGAGGTCATATGTCCCGGTCAAACAGCCCACCACCTGCCTTTTCAACACCTTCACATCTATCTGTTGCTGCCAATGGTGTTGGTGCTTCTTCTTCAGCATCTTCATCGTCATCTGCAATCCACCAACGTCAACAACAACAACAGCAGCAGCAGCAGCATGAAGCACCACCATCCTATGAAACATCAGTATTGAGTACAATAAAAGCATTAAACGCAAAGTTACGACTGTACGAATCACATATATCCAATCGACACAAATCACCCAAATGGCTTGCGAAGCGTGATGAGTGGATCTCTCGAGAACCAGACAGCATAGAGCAAATTGCATTTCAATTAGTGCAGTTGGAGATGGCCCTTTTATGGACAGCAGTAACGGAGTCATGGATACAAGAGCGGGAGACATGGTTGACATTGGTAGCGAGCTCACAATCAGAGAGACATTTGGCAGGAGCAATCATCAATTTGGAGAGACACACCTTGGTGATGGATGATGAGTGGCAGCAAATAAGAGAGAGATGGGTGAATGATCTTTTGGAGATGGTGGTGTTGCCCCTAAGTCATGGCTAGCTAGCTATTTGGTAGTGTAAATTAATACAGAAAATAGTTGATTTGTAATAAAACATGATTGTTGGATCATAGCGGCATTTTATACTAGCCTTTACAAAAGGATGATATCAACACCGGAAAGCCTAAGCGCAGGATATTCATTGTTGCAGCAGAATTACGGCTATCAAAGTGCCTGAAATGACATGTTGGATCACAATATTGAGCTTAGAGATTGGGACAAATTCATAGCACGAATCATTTGACAGATCAAGTTTTGAGGAACAAAATTTATTTAAAGAGAATGGTTTAGGTTAAAAAAATATAACCAACTACATGTATATGAAAACTACGAGGTCATTTATATGGATCACATTTTCTGTCAAATCCTTCAAACGCGAGGAGGGAAAGGTGGGAAAGGAGGGAAGGTAGGTGGGGGAGGGAAAGGTGGGAAGGTAGGTGGGGGAGGGAATGGAGGGAAAGGAGGGAAAGTTACAGGAGGAACAGTGGGAGGGAAGGTGGGAGGGAAGGTGGGAGGGAAGGTGGGGGGGAAGGTGGGAGGGAAGGTGGGAGGGAAAACTGGAGGTGGGGGACGAGTAACAGGAGGGAAGGGTGGGAAGGGTGGGAAGGTAGGTGGGGGAGGGAAAGGTGGGAAGGTAGGTGGAGGAGGGAAGGGAGGGAAAGGGGGAAATTGAGCAGGATCTGCACTTTCAGCGGGTTCAAGGTCTCTGGCACTATAAAATCAAGCAGATCAGCAAGTATATCAGGTTATCAAAAAGCCCTGTACTCGAAACTTACACCAAAGCGGGAGACGAGGCCATCTTGGAATAGTATTGATTCCAAAGATCTTGGGGAAAAACTTCAGAGGCGGACGCAGCAGCAGCGCCAGTGTCTTGATTCTCGACCGGAGCAGCAGCAGCTTGCAAGACAGTAACCAAGATGGCGACCAAGAGTAAGGCGATGGATGTGAAAGACTTCTTCATTTTGCTAATGCAAGTTGTTCTGAAGAATCTGAAAATTGGCAGCAACTCTTCTTGCTTTTATACAAAAATTCGAGACTGGATTCATTATACAAATCATAGCACTAAGACCCAAAGAGACCAATTTATATTTTTATAAACCAAACTAATGATCAAACCAAGTCCATACATTCACATTAAAGGGGGGGCAGTCTGCATGGCAACTTGACGTGAAACGGACACATGGCTATCAAATTAACGCACTGTCTTTCATTTTCAGAGCCGAGATTTTGGATGTATTATGTCCTCCCTCCCCTTTAATGTGACATTTCCCCCCCCCCCCATCGCTTTGGATTTGGACGACCAAAATAACCAGATTTACGAGCAAATGACGCAGAAAGCTGGTCTGATACAATGTATAGCATGAATTTATTCAAAGCCAAGTCCAAGAACATGACACGGGTCATTTGAGTTGGATGTATCCTTTATATTATAATTCTTAATTGATAAAACTTTTAATGCACATCCAGCGGCCAGGTTGCAGCGACATTAGTGATGATTGAGTCTATCAGGATGACTATTGAATGGGATTCGGTACAGAGCACACCTTTTCCCTTACACATATAAAGCAAAAACGCCAAATTACGTAGTAGCAATTTCACTGACATTCTCAATCTGTGGGACGAGATGGATAGCACTAACCAAGCGCAGAGTTCTAGAGGTGGATTGCATCGATCCAAAATATAACATCACGCCTATGAATTTTCAAGCAAAGTGTGTATAAAGAATGGAAATGTAACTAGGCATTACCACATTTTCTCTCTTCGCCAGTATTAATTTATAATGACCATCGTTCGATTTTCTTTTTGTGGCCTTTTGACGTTGAAAATGAAATGCACTTCATAACAAGTTGAGCACAAGCTTTTGGCAATTTGACAACTCGATGCTTTACTCAAAGGCATACAGCCTACTGAGAATGTGGATTAATTGTAGTTATGGTGATTTCATTGCTGCCCATGAGGTTGGGACAAGGCAAAATCGTTCAGCCATATCTGTTCCTGGATCAAACATATTATAAGTGCTATGGGATTGAGATAATTGCAGCTTATCACTATTGGTTTTCACATCGTTTTGACTAGATTATGCGACACAAGCTTTTCTGTACCACAGTATAACTATCTATCGTTTCAGAGCCCGTTCTATTTATGCCAAATTGTAATAATTGATCATGTTTTGGCAACATTTATGGTGATAGTATCCCTTCGAGGCATTCAGAAGCATCCACCGTTGCTCAAACATATTGGTAAGCGGAAAAAACAGCCTAATCGACTACCGGAAGGCATCATTAACTCGGTATGTGTGAATGTGGATACTGCTAATGCTATTCTTTTTGGCTGTTTATGGTTTAAGTGAAGCAAACTATTTGTTAGTAGTGTATGATTTAAAATTGTGATGTGATTTATTTTATGAAGGTACATTTTATGAAAGGCAGATACAAATGTTGGATGATATACAGTTAAATTAGTTGGAGGCAGGAGTGGTAATAGGAATAGAATCGACAGAGGCAACTGAGCCATGAGCCAACTCGTTGTAATCAACAGTGGTAGCAGATGCATTAGCAGTAATAGTGCTGTTGGCATCTTCAAAGTAGGGCTCAACACCGATACAATCGGAAACAGTGACGAATTCATATCCCTTTTGCTTTACATAGTCAACAAACCAAGGCACCAATGTCTTGACGGTGTCTTCATGAATATCATGCTCAAGAGCAATATGACCCATAGTCTTGTTGGCAACATCCTTGTCCATGACCTCACGGATGCGGGCCTGCTCAGCCTTCAAGCCCTTATGCTCCCAGTCCTTGGTATCGACATCCCACATGATGTCGTAATAGCCCAATTCACTCAAGACTTTGCTGGAAACATCATCAATGACACCCTCAGGAGGTCTCATAAGACGAACTCTCTTGCCAATGGCCTTGTAGATGATATCAGATTGCTTGTTCATTTGTTCCTTGACTTGCTCTTCAGTGAGGCCGACAAGATTCATGTGCTTCAAGGTATGGCTTGCAACTTCGTGACCTGAATCGTAGTAGTGCTTGATGACCTCCAGATAGGTCTTTTCACCTTCATCAGTCATAGTAGAATCACTGAGAACATTACTATAAAAAGGAGTATGTTAGCATGGAGCCAAATTTAGATCTACTAAATATACATACACAGAGTTGTCACCATTAAGGAAGAAGGTTGCCTTGACGCCTTGTTCCTTCAATGTCTTGGCCAATCCCCATGAATACTTGTCAGGTCCATCGTCGAATGTCAATGCAAACACACCAGGTCTGTTGCAGTGTTCGAAAACCTGTACTTGGCCAGAGGAGGAGGAGGAGGAGGAGGTCCCGGTGGCTTCAGCGGCATCAGTAGTAGATGTGGTGGTAGTAGGGCGACCCATAACCAAGGTAGCAGCATAGGCCAAAGTGAGTAGTAAGCTAGTAGTGCGCATGTGTTGTATGAAGGAAAAGACCAAGATGATATGAACCAAACCGAGTGTTGTTTGCCCTTGTATTTATAAGAAATCCAGGTATTGATCTGTTTTATTTTTACATTTGGCACAGTGTCTCCGATCAAGCTATTTCTGATGTTTAGAATTCTATACAGCATGTTTTTCTTCAATTTCAATATGAAACCCAACCCAATATAACAACAGTCTAGATTTTACAAGTGTTTGCCATTCATCTGTCATACCAAGGTTAAACGTGTATTTTTAGTGATTTTTGCTTTATTAAATATATAGTAATAAGTGTATAAACATGTGAAACAAAATGAATAATTGCAAGAGATGATGAAGTTAGTATGTTATAAAGAATCAGTGATTCCAATTTTCTACTGATAATAATCAGTAACGCCCAAGCATTCAGACATGGTAACAAATTTGTAGTTCTTTGATTTAACGTATTTGATGGCCCAGGGAACGAGGTCGTTCACTGTTTGATCATAGACTTCATGCTCCAATGTAATGTGTCCGAGCGTTGATGATGTATCCTTGTCCATGGTCTTGTATGCATTCTCTTCGTCATTCAAATTGTGAGTGGCCCAATCTCTAGTATCAATATCCCAGGTAACAACGCTGTAGCCGAGCGTTCTCAGCACCTTTAAGGCATTGTCGTCGTATGAACCAGCAGGAGGACGCATAATGGCAGGTCTCATTCCAATGGCCTTATAGATGACATCGGATTGTGTGTTCATTTGATACTCGATCTCGGCATCGCTAAGCCCAGCAAGTTCCTTGTGCTCATAAGTATGAGAGGCAATTTCATGACCCATATCCTTGTAATGCTTGACCACCTCCAAATAGGTCTTCTTACCATCCGATGTGGTAACAGAGTCTGTCAACACATCGACCCAGTTCTTGCCGTTAATGAAGAAGGTAGCAGCAATACCTTGCGCTTTCAAAGATTTAGCCAAATCCCAAGAGTATTCATAAGGTCCATCATCAAAGGTCAATGCAAATACACCAGGCTTGTTACAAGAGACGTACACACCACCTTGCACGTTAGCCCCTGTAGGGGCACCAACAGGTTGAACAGAGGTGGCAGCAGTGGTGGATGTAGATTTCTTGCTTATGGAAGCTGTGGAAGATCTCTTGACAGAGGCTAAAGTTGTACCAGCAGATTCATCACGCTAAAAATACAAACATTATTTTTAGCATATTGACGTTGTCTTACATCACTGTGCAAACTTACTTTATTATAGGGCATTGCCATGACAGCAGTTGAAGCCATAAGAAGGGAAGCAATAAGAGAAAGACGCATTTTGTAGATTGGATATTGTAACTAACGAAAAGAAAAGGGCTTGACTACGTTGGTAGGCCCATATTTATATGCATTGGGGTAAGTGGGAAGGTAAGTAGTGGATGTATGAATATGACACTATTTTTAAACACATCAATACTGGGATTCGTTGGGATCCAACTTTATTACTGCGGGTGGGAGTAATTTCACTTCCATTCAGGGAATGAATTGTCTATATTCTTATAATAATCCTTAATATGGAATAAAACTATATACTTCAAACAATTAAAAATGTATCATAATCATATAAAAACTGTATATAAATGATTATAGATTGCATTAGACTACATGTATCATTGCACACAAGTCCATGAAAGCACAGGCCACCCCTTGATTTCTCGGATAATCTAGCTCCGAGCTGTCAAAAATCAATCCATTAAAAAATTTGTAATGGTATTATAGGCTTGACAATTTCTTCTCCTCTCTTCCATTTCAAAGTCAATGCATTTGTGATTATAAATATTCACATAGCAAAGGCTATCCGTGGTTAAACCCATGGTTAATTGCTTTGGATTTATTGCCTATTAATTGAGACTATACTTTGTGCATGTGTACATGTGGAAGATCTCTTTAGCAGCCAATATGAGCACATCAATCATGCACATAAATGAATGTAACCATTGTTTATTCCCGGGTATCCAACAGGCATGTCAATCAGTTGATCTGTCCGCTCTTGTAAACAGGACAAATTACACAAGACGATAGTAAACATGGACTCTGAAATTTTCAACTTCAACAAATGTACGCACGATAAGGCACCTTAGTTTTTTTTTTTTTTTTTTTTTTTTTTTTTTACATGTATAATAAAAACTTTCTCAAGATGAAACAGACTATCACTTCCTCCTTAATTTAATTATTATGATGCAGATATATCTGTTGTTGAAGATCATTAGCGTTCAAGCTACAGTATAGTTTGCGGTATGATATGATCCTTTGCGCTTAATTGATTAGCAATGTCGATACAACTTCTTTCAAAAGTAATCATCTGTATTTGAAATCAAAACGGGATTGGTGCTAAAAATAGACCATGACATTCTAAATACGCCAGTTCACCTTGTAGATGCTCAAAATAAACTCCAATTCTACTAATAACACTATAAGTTGAATCATGATGATGAATGAATATGATAGTCTCTATTAAAATCATATGGGAGATTTGCCCTATTACCAAATTTATCCATGATGTTTCTCTTTAAACAAATGCCAAGATAATTGTGTTGTTAAAAACAACTCCAATCAGTCGATTCTTAACCGTACGCTGATATCATGCTCTACGTCAATATACGCTTCATGTTGCCAATCCCTATTGTAGGTGATGATAATTTTCTTCGACAGTATACACTACTAACAGCAGGCGGTTCTACATGCTGTTTTGAAACATCATTTTATATGGAACAAGTTCACTCAATGAGTATCAAATGACAGATGAGTGATCAGCTAATAATAGCGAGTATTGCGTTGACAATGGTTTACATTTATAAAATCACATCAGCATTTGAAAGCATTAGTTCATGCTTGCTCAGTTACTAAAATAGCGCCATGGATTGCTGTTTTAGACAGGAGGGTTTATAATGGTATACAACCTCTCTCTCAGATGATGGGGTTAATAGCGTTAGGAGAATTGATCATTATGCTATTCTGTATTGCTCATAGGAATGATAATGCCGTGGTGTACCTTATCGAGTCAATAGTTACAATGTTTTCGATTTGGTTTCAATGGGCTGATCTTTGCCACACACAGCAACGATATTTGGCTGCGATTGGAATGAAATGAAATACTGAATAATGTAGTTGCCATTGATTACACCTGGCATTGTTTGTTCAAAATTAATTTTGCTTGTACCATCTTGTGATGTTAAATGAGCAAATCATTGAAAGCAAACACATCTATTCGCCTGCCAAAAATCGCCCAAGGACGCATTAAGTGTGGGTAAAATATTAAAGATTTGCTAACAAATCGCCGGCCTAATAGATTTATCAATTTACGTTTCCATTTATTATCATATCATTAAATGTCTGATTGATTATATTTACTTTGTTTAATGTGTATTGCTAAAGTTCAAAATATATTAGTACTAGCCAGCCTATCTCGATACGCTCGACGGCGTCGCCCTGTGGGCTCTCGCCTAAAACATTCCATATCAGAGATAATAAAAATCTGGCATCGACTTGCGTGAGATCTACAGCGATTTTTTTTTTGAGATATTGTCATTGCAAAAGACATATTTATAAGGAAAAACTATCAAGAAAAAAGTATTTGTGCTAAGCAATTGTCCTTTCAATTCCATGATCCCCATTTAATCAGCATTACAATCATCATTGTTATCCTCATAGTCATATCAGAAAGGCATTTGGGCCAGCCAGCAGCAATGCCGGCGCCAAAATAGTTCAAACTCAGTTTTTTTTTCTGTTTAGATTGAACAGATATTGTCTTTTTTCGACTTCTTTAATCTATTCTTTGATATTCGACTATATAAACTGTGATGATCATCCTATGCTTCTTAATACATTCTTGAAGCACTTTTCAAGGCGCTTCCAATGGTGCTAATTGTAATGAGAGTTTTGGCTGAAATTATTGAGCAATTTAATAAAATTTGAAATGAGGTTTTTAGCGAAAATAGTCATATTTTGCATATGAACACTTCATAAAAGTGGTTTCAGAAGTTGCTTTGGATCGAGAGAAACATTTTGATTTAGCATGTACTATAACAAAAGTCTTCATTTTCAAGGTGTAAAATGCGATCGTTTGATTTTCAATGAAAACCATGAGGTACCCCTCATGCTTTTTGGTCAATTTTTGGCCATGTTTTTTTTTGGCCCAAAAAGCTGAGCATAGATGTCAGGAAGTAACTACTACTCAAGTACAACTGTTTGGCGTCATTCCGGCGGCTCATGAAGGTCTACATGTCAAGGTACAAAGGCTTGAAAGCTGTCAAATTTGGTTATGCTTTGCTTTATAGAGTCTATATACACGGTATGAATCACATCTTTGATAGCTGCAATTTACTGGAAAGGCAGTTCTGTAGCCTGTGCAATTTCTAGTTCGAATAGAAGGAATATTGATTTTGGTAAAGCTAATTTATGCAAATTTTGATGCGCTATGTTGCTGGTAAGCTTATTAATAATGGAAATGAAAAACCGAATTTGCTACTTGAATACTATGGTCTTGCACCTTCGCTTTGCTACGGTAAACCCCTTATTAGGATTAATATTACCAAATGCGGGGTTAGATGCTTAGTTTCCATGGTTTTTACCTTCACTTCGCTACGGTAAAATCCCCCTATAAATCAACGCTATCAAGTGTTGAATTAGATGCATTATGTTCTTGGTGGAGGGGATTAGCACCTCCTCCAAACCCCCTCTCCAATACCGGCTTCGCCCGTGGTTTATTCACCTTGTACAGTACTCAATTCTTTAAATTTTTGAAAGGATATAATTTATTTGTCTACTATTTTTTTTGAATGTTTTACAGTATATATATTAGATCAAGATGAATTCAATCATATTCAGATCATGGTATCAGTTGTCACAAGATGTAAGTTATTGACTGTATAACGGAGACGATGTGCCATAATTGCATATTATTTTCATCAAGTTGTCTAGATGTTTATATGTATAGTTTGTTGACGACGAGAAAGATGAATGAGTGAGAGATACAGCTCAAATTTACCCCTATATGAGCCTGTTGGCTTCGACTTTCAGTCTCTTCACGACATTTGATTTGGTTATCCATTCATTTTTTCTATAATATGTTGCGTCGAGAATGCTAAGCTACTATCAAGACATTCCCCATGATCATCTGATAGTGCTTCTCACATTGGAAGCACGATCCACACTGTCATCATAACAGTAGCATACCAAGGAACTGATTTTAGCAACCGACGGCATGGTTATTGTGTAATGCCTTCTTGAAGCAGCCATGAAAACGTGGTATAAAAACCCAGATCATCGAATCAGGAGCATTTAGACATGATCTTTCTCTGGCGCATGTACATTAGTTTGGTGCTTGCAATTGGCATCAGATGTGCCTACAAGATACCGAACATTGGGCATGTCGGGATGGTGTCCATCATCAAGGATGCTGCACATCACTCAGACGCTGCAGATGGATAACACCTCTTTATATAGCCTGCGCTTCTCGTCATCTATCCCTCCTATAGACAACGCATGCCATTGCCGATACAAGTGAGATCTATTCGATCCAAATGTGTGTTGGATGTGACAGTTGTTTCTAACATGAAAGAAGGGCAAGCAATGAGATGAACTCTTTTTTTTTTTTTTTTTTTTTTGCTAAACATTGATTGAATGCCAAATACAGAAATGAAAAAAAATAGCATTTCTTTTTTTTTTTTTTTTTCATCAACCACCACCACAACACATTTTTTTGAAAAATCAACATCTCGATGGGTTCAACATCGCAAGTGACTGAAGCAGGTACATTTCATCATCTTTTAGTCTCTGTTATAGTCTCCTTTGGATTTCAAAGTCAAATGTTGACACCTTCTTCTTAGGTGAACACCGGCTGAAATTCACTATAGACCCTCCTCTTCCTACCTCTGAAGACTCCATTTTCCATTCAAGGTGAGTTCTCCATCAATGGACATGACATGCAATGCCCTGAACAATCTCTTTCACCTTCAAGCCGAGTCAGTACACCTCATTCCAACATGTCAGACAGCGATGATAATAACAGCAATGAATTAGCACTGCAAGGGTTTGAGCGATTTCGAGAAAACAGCGTCAACTCGATCGAGACACCATCATCACCTACCATGCCCAACAGCCCACCTCCCAGCGACTCAATTGCAGAGTATTGTGCTGAATCACTGTATAGTTACAGTTTCACGCCACTTTCCCGAGTAAACAAAGCAGCAAAGATCAAGCGACAAATTTTGAGTCGAGGCATGGATTACATGCAACGTATACGGTGGAGAACGGGCGAAAGAGATACAGGCAGACGATTCTCTCAACCAGACATTGGTGTCTTGGATCAAACGCACGATTGGGTCGAGGATAACGAGGCAAATGTACCATTACATTCCACCACGGGCGTATCAGCGCAAACTGCACAGCTCAAGACATGTCCATCGCTCAATGACATTGCCTCCTCTAATCACCATGGTGACTACGCCTGCAATCCCATCTCGCCCATGACACCCTCTGCTCCTCCCAACACAGTATCCACCTCACGGCGCAACTCCAGCGCTGCTTCTGCCAGCAATTCTTCTAGTAATCTATTAACAGCATCTGGCAACAATGTCCCTCAAGATGCCAACCAAACAGACGATGACGGCTTTCATTTTGGAAGAAGACAGACCATTGAAGTGTTCAACAATTTGCCGCCCATTTATGAAGTGCCTAAACCCAGCACCTCCATGACTACAACATCAGCACAGTACATAAGAGCGTTACACGCACCATCTCGATTCTTACCTCAAAATCAGGCCATTTTAACTACGGACAGCGACGCCACCATCTTGCTGTTCAATGATATGGCTAGTTTGTGCTTTGGCATTGATAAATCGTACATTGGTAAATCCATATTGGATGCGTTGGAGGAACCTTTCAAGAAGCAGGTGCGCAACATCCTCAAGAGACGAAAGAGCTTGACGAGTATTGCAAGCCAGCTACCCGCACCTATGCGAGAAGGTCGACTGGAGAAGGGCCTTGTGCTAGTGTGCGGTATTGTGGTGCCTATACGCAAGATGAACGGGGAGACGTCTTCTGCAGCGTCGCTCTGGCTCAAGGAAAAGCTGACGGAAGAAGGAAAGAGTATTTATATCTGGATCTTTGAAGAAATCTATGAGACTTCACTATCGACTAAATTAGATGAGAAGGTGAGTTTCTGCAAGCGCTTACACACACATATATATTCTGTAACTTGCCTTTTCATTCCTAGGGTAACGTGCTAGAGATCATTGGTACGACAAAGGATTTATTCGGCTACGAGCCCTCTGAAGTGATTGGTAAGCCCATTACACAACTGATACCAGCATTGTCCAACGGCAATCTCGTCAATCCCGGTGTCAATTTGCGCAAAATTGATAAGCTTAAATTCTACGGTGGTCGATCCAAGTCGGGTGTCTGCTTTCCTACCATGGTCAATTCTGGATCTGCAATACCTGATATGATAAAGATTGTCTCGTTACCGTCCGTAGCTGGGTTGATCACTGTACACAACACTGGCAAGATTCAGAGCATTAACCCTGTACCCGCTAAATACCTGTTTGGCTACTCACCTGATGCTTTGGTGGAGAAGTTCAACATTGACCAAATTATCCCACAATTTTCCAGTGTCGTGGCTGGCTTGCGTCGTTGCAATCTGCTGCAGTTCTCCAGCACTGTCAACAATCATGCCTGCCGATGGGCTCTATCAGACATGCATTCCGCAGAGAAATACAAGGCAATGGAAGTGTCTCAATCACTCAAGTCGCTGGAAAGACAACCCTCTGTCAGTGCCAATGGACAAATGCTGCCTACCATTTTTGCTGTGCACAGAGATGGCAGCCAGTTCGAAATTCAACTGCAATTGAGATTGATCGAGAGCGAGCAAGAGAACCTGATCAGTATCTGGGTGACCTATGATCGCATCTATGCTCTGAAGCGAGCCAAGAGACTGCAAGCACAAAAGCTCCCGCCAACACACTCATTACCGCCTAAAACCAGCACGCAAAACTCGACTACCACGACACAAGTTCCTACCAAGAAGCTAGTACAAACAGATCAGCAACACATTTCTCACCCTCATCCTTTAAGTCCCACCACACCCTCCATCACTCTCAACCAAGGCGACGAGAAGCCCATTTCTCCCTTGGACACGAGCACCCAGCAGCAACCCGACAAGGCAACAGAGATGCCTATCATCACTAAAAAGAGGCCGCCTATTCGACCTTACGGCATTTCCTCATTTGGCTCTGTAGACCAAAAGAAGGCGCTGTTTCCTAGTGGTTTCCTTGAACGAGAGGACAGTGGCAGCAGCGATGGCCATGACACACCCTCGCCGCAACACTCACCACACCAGGAAAAGCAGGTGGCATCATTGGAAATCGAACGGCCAGAAAAGAAGAAGCCACCCCACCCTATGGATGCTTATGCCATCATTGGCACTTTAGGTGAAGGAGCATATGGCACGGCTAAACTTGCCTACCGCAAAGATGACATAACAAAGGTAAAATAGGTTGTAATACAAATAGACAAACAGAATGGCTCACACAATTATATAATGATTAGACCAAAGTAGTGATCAAGTTTATTGCAAAATCGAGGATCATCATTGATTCATGGATCAGAGATCGCAAACTGGGATTGATACCCCTGGAGATCCACATTTTGAAAAAGCTGAAAGAGTGTCCGCAAGCCAACTGCTGTGCGTTGGGTGAGTTGTTGCTTGTGTCTATAGTTTAACCTTAAATTTTCTAACGGCAACCATGTCCAGAGACGTATATGGAAGATGAGGACAATTACTTTGTGGTCATGAAGCTGCATGGACTCAACAGCATGGATCTCTTTGACTACATTGAGCTCAACGAACACATCAAGGAGGACGAGATCAGAAATATCTTCAAGCAAGTTGCACTGGCAGTGAAGCATATCCAAGAACTGAGGATTGTGCATCGTGATATCAAGGATGAAAATATTCTTCTGGACGAAGACGGCTGTGTTCATTTGATTGATTTTGGAAGTGCCGCCTATTTTAGAAAGGGTAGAACTTTTGATACGTTTGGTGGCACGTTAGATTACTGTGCCCCTGAGATACTGAAAGGCATGCCTTACGAGGGCCCCGCACAAGACATCTGGAGTTTAGGCACTCTGCTGTATACACTGATTTACAGGGAGAATCCGTTCTACAATGTGGATGAAATAATGGAACACGATCTGAGAATACCGTTTGTTCTATCCGAAGGTAAGCAACAGCATCATGTCATTTCTTGCATGGAATTTCTGAGTGAACGACGCATTGATAGATTCCTTGGACTTGATCAAAAAGATGCTGAATCGAGATGTAGAGAAGCGACTAACGATTGATGAGGTGCTGGCACATCCTTGGCTGAAGTCATGTACTTAGCGTGTATATAACATAAATAGTATCAACCTCCTGTTTGTAATAGAAATAAATCCATATATAGAACATCCTTTGGATAAACAATAGAGAGAGAGGATTTCCCGTTGTCCATGGTCGTATTCTCTTTGAACAGTGATTCCATGTCAGCTGATAAAATACTGCAGGCAATTACCATGACATGGATTGCCTGGTCATTGCGACGAGTCCAAAAGAGAGTGGCCATACATGACTGACGCTGTGCCTAGTAGAGACGTACACCCACAAGCACAGTATGCGGACAATCCTCTGCGAAACAACAACAACAACAACAACAACAACATCCACATCAAATTCATTTAACTTTTTTGTTTCCTTATCATCTATACTCGTTTCGGCAAATGGTGCTACCCCGTGAGATAATCGATTCATATCCACAGATAATTTCAATGAGAATATTTCATTGTTGCATAATAAAACTGGAAAAATTCTATACACTTCCCTCTTTCTCTTTCTCTCTCTCTCTCTCTCTCTCTCTCTTTTTACACTTTTTCACATCAAATCATCACACAATGGGAAGAACAGCTACTAAATCAAACGCAAAGTTGAAAATCCACCTAGAAAGCGATCAATTAGTCATGTACGGCTCGTCAACCGAATCGCCTGGCTGTGTCTTGAGAGGTGCCGTGAGTCTACGCTTAACGAAACCAACAAGCGTCAAATCAATGATGCTCTCGTTCTATGGCACTATCTCCGTCAGCTGGAATCAATGTAAGTATCCCCTTTTGCGCATCCTCCAGTGAAATTCATACACACATGTCAGTATTAGGGAATGGCTATGAGCGTAAATACAGTGATCAGCAAATCCTCATCAATCACAAATGGTCATTTTTACCATTACAGGCGCACAACAAACATCATCTACTTGAGGCTGGACACCACTCGTATGAATTTGAATTAGTCTTACCTGGTACGCTGCCGGAGTCAACCCATGTGGCCAAGTACTACCTCGTACAATACCAGCTCAAAGCAGTAGCTGAGCGATCAAGCTTCCTCTTGCCAAACTACACTGCCCGTCAGAGCATCCACCTGTCCAGACAAAAACTATCTCTCTCGACCGATTATCTGGATCCTGTTACTGTGGCAAATCACTGGGCTGACAAACTGGACTATGAAATTACATTGCCTACCAAGGTCTACAGCCATGGTGATACGATACCTGTCTCGATCCAAGCACTACCATTAGCACCGAATTTACAAGTCCGTTATATATCGTGTACGTTCAAAGAGTACATGACTTGCCGTGCTATTAATGGTTGGTTCAATGGCAAGAACAAATCCCACGGTCGCATTATCCACTATACAAGAAGAGATCAAGAGCAACAGGAGCAAGAGCAGCAGAGTCTATGGTCAACTGTCATGCATATTAAAGTGCCGGAGAGTCTAATGGACATTCAGTGTGATGCGCATAATGATTCTGTCAGAGTGCGACATAAACTTAAATTCATCATGTCAATTGAAAATGAAGATGGTCATATTTCTGAACTAAGGGCTGTATTACCTGTGATCATTGCTATTACAAATTCAATTGGTGGACTTCCGGCATATGAAGAGACTTGGAGAACCATGCCATACGATCCGGCCTTAATGATGGCATTGATTAGACGTTCAACAGAATCTGCTACAATTGGAAATCAAATCATCCATTTAATGGCACAAAGGAGGCATCATGATATCATACCCAGAAATAGTGGATTGCCCAGCTATAGTAGCATCACAACAACAACAACAACAACAACAACAACAACAGCAGCAGCAGCAGCAGCAGCAGCAGCAGCGGCCGTGGTAACTGGTAGCAACAGTAGTGACGAAGATGATGAGAGCCAACAAGACTATAGACAGCAGCGTTATTCATCAAGATCATTACCAAGTTATGATGACATTTACTAGATTATATATATATATATATATATATTATATGTACAATAGTTTATTTGTATGTTGCAGAAGAAATAAAATGCTTGTATGATAGACCAGACTTCAAGTAAGCTATGAGTTCATTCAGCAGCCTCGTTGCTACTTGCTTATCGTCGTCCAGCCATTCAGACAGGCTTTGAATGACATGCTCATCATCAAACATGGAATTCAAATGCTGCTGGTAGGGTATTAATAGTATCTTTACAAAGTGATCTTGCAGGAAGTCATCATATGCGTCTACGCCCACAATGATTTTCAACTCGTTTTGCAGAAATATTCGAGCTCTTGGTATGTATTCGGGCGTGATGACTGTAAAATCAGCATGCCGAGGCAGTGGATCAGGATATCTGTCAGGTTGCATCATGCCTTTGTATACGTTTCTTCGTTCAATCCGTAGTCTTTCTTCTGGCGAAGTATACTTTTTCTTGTACAGCGGTGGATCGTGCTGTTTCCTGTTTCCCTTGTCTTTGAGATAGTACTCGTCAAATGTGTTTTCTTCGTCGTCTATGTTGTACACTAATGAATGAATAGACTGCCGGCATATCGGGCACACTGACGAAGCAATGTTTATCCAATGCCGAATGCAATAGAAACAGAATGAGTGATAGCATGGCCGAAGAAACGTTCTGTTGGAGTAGCCTTGGAGGCAAATGGTGCATGTTGGTGTAATGTCGTCTTGGTGTTCTTGATCAGATGTCTTTCGTTTTGCGCCTATGGATGTCATTTGAATTCAAAAAGTGGAAAAAGAAGAGCAAAACTTTGTTCCATCACGCCCCCCCCCACCCTCTCTTTCTTCTCGAGTCACAAAAACTTGTTTCTCTCCTCCTGTCTATTCCAATCACAGGTGCCTTTTTTGTTTTCTTCTTCTTCTTCCTTTATCCACATTTTCCCTGAATTGATAAAATCGCAATGGGCGTAAAGCAGAAGCCATCGCAATCTACTCCAACAAACGGCATCAGTCAAGTGTCCGACAGAGACAGAGAGCGTGAAAAGAAGAGAAGAGCAGCAGAGTCCAATGTTGGAAAGGAATTTCAGACAGTTGGTATCTACCATGTATCGCAGGCAGCACCGCTAAATACTTGTGCTATAGATTGACTTTAATTCGATGGATATCTCGGTTCTTCGCAAATATGCTCGGGTGCACAAGATCAAAGCGAAATCAAAGGCCAGTAAAGAAGAATTGGCTGCCTCTGTATCTCGCCATTTCGCAAACCAAGCAGTAAAGGAATTGGACACAATCACCTGCTTCTTATATACCGCTCACTACAAGGGTAAGCTCATCGTTTGGGTGCTTGTATACAGCAGCTACTGATTGATTTGCATAGATTCCGTATTAAGGCTTCCGTTACATATTTAACAAGAAATCTAAAAAAAAAAAAAAAAAAAAAAAAAGGTTTTCTATTCTGTTCATCCCTTCATCATCTTCTCCATTTAGTCTCCGTTCATAAATCACAATAAACTAATTGTTACAACTGATTCTTTCTGCAAAAAGAGAGCGAGCGAACGACAAGGAGAGAGACACAGGGCAAAAATTCCCGAGGCCAGAGCAACATGTAACATGTAACAGCATCCCTTCATAACGTGCACCGATCCAATAAAACGACAGAGGCAGCTGCTCTTGAATCCAACCCGCTATAACACAGCATTCCTCCACTGGATTCAACATGAATGCTTAAGCTAGAGTATGTCATACTTGAAAGTCTAAAGTACGTTTATTGACCCTTTATTGACCCAATGACAAAATACGGTGTATATTTTTTTATAACATCAGATCTGGTGAGCATTCAGTTGTATATTTATATCTCTTGGATATCATCAGGTTTTGACATTTACGATCAAGAACTACATTCTGTTTCAAAGCCAATTTCCGTATTAGGCTTGAATATATATATATAAAACCGCATATTTCAGCTGAACCTTCTCCTTTTCTTTTCTACTGTTCTCTTTTTTTTTTCTCTCTCTCTCTCTCTCTCTCTCTCTTTCTTGCTTTACATGATGGATTTCTACAACGTGCTCGAGATTACGCCAGATGCTTCAGAAGAAGATATCAAGAAGGCATATAGAAAGCTCGCTCTTAAATATCATCCCGATAAGAATCATGAGCCTGGTGCTGCTGAAAAGGTAATTTTCTGTAAAAATCACTGTCAAGCATCGTCCAGCCATAGACTCACAATTGCTTATTACATGTATGCAAACAGTTTAAAAGCGTAAGGTAACCGATACACTCTTCCTGTAAGATGAAGTGTACTGAATGATTGTAATGTCTGTAGTGAAGCCTATCAAATCTTGTCTGATCGTAACGTATCATTGTCTGATGAAAACCCTTGAATTTATTAAACTTTAAAACTTGTATATCTTAGCTGAAAAGAGACGATTATACGACAACGAGGCCAGTGAGGATGCCGATGGCCTGAATCAACAAGATCACTACACAACATCGCAGCCATTTACTTCCACAACCACATCTTCTACAAGAACAAGAACATTTGGACGTGATCCGCTCTTTGCCACATTTCAGGTAATATAGAAAAACGCACTAAAAAGTTTTTGTACGTGTGTAAAAAACTAACCACATTTTAACGCTTACAGTTTCGAACCCCAGATGACATATTCAACCAGTTCTTTAATGGCCAAGATCCGTTCAAATTGTTCATGGAAGACCCCTTTCTGGGCGGCGGTATAGCTTCGAGTGGTATCCGTGCGTCTATGATACATGATCCATTTACGTCTCCCTTTGATCATCCACGCAATGCGAGCAACATCAGCAACAACATTTACAATATGAATGGTGTATCGGGGGCATCAAGAACAATGTCAACAACAACAAGCATCGTGAATGGACATAAACATACAATCACCAAGATTATTGATGCCAACGGAACTCGGATTATCGAGGATTATGGTGATGGACGTCAGCGTGTTACAGTGAATGGCGAAGAAGAGGTGTCACCCGCTCAGCAATCCCAACAACCACTTTCACAGCATAGAATCATTGATGGTCGACCATCTTATGACATGCCCGCTGTTATTAGGCCTTATGCAAGTGGTAAGTAGTTTGGTGAATACTTGAAAGGTTGTTGTACTCATGATATGCCGTTTTTAGTGGATTTGAACAGAGAATATGGGGATAATCATACAGCAGGAGACTATGATGAAGAAAACAATTCCAGACGTCGTAAAAGCCCACTGCATGAACTATGCTCCCGAATCTGCTGCTGCTTTTAGATAGCCTACACCAATAAATAATAATTTGACATGATCGAAACATTTGCATCACATGTAGCAGCTTGCAAGCTAGCATTGCATTACGAGTGACGCTCACCAATGCACATATTCCATACATGTATCTTGTTTGAAATACTATACACTGATTTGAGAACAAAGGACCGCATATAAGTAAGCCTGTTCTCAGATATTTTAAAGTGGTTTAAAGAAAGACATGTATTACTACGTTGAACAATATACACCAAACACTTGATATACATACCATTGCATTCTCCTTGCAATTCTTCACAAGTTTCATATAAGTTTAAAGGGAGGGTTACTATCAAGAATCAAGTAATTTTGAAGTCGACAGATTTCGGAACCCCATGGATCCTCATTCAGAACAATAAAAGTTCAATCTTCGTTTAGCCTTCGCATGTGTACACCACCCAAGCATGAATTTGACCAAGCATTTTAAAAATAGGAGCGCACCAAAAGGGCCATATTAACTTGCTGGTGTCAAATTATCAATAGATACTTGACATGTTGAAGAATTTAGTTGCTAAAACTAGACAACTGTTGCTTGCTTTAGTCTAGAGTAATAGCTTTTCCAATTTAAAGTATGTATACTCTCCTCGCTTAAAAACAACATCCCCCCATGTCGATTAGCTCATCAAGTAGGCATTTCCAATATAATATTCTCACTTAGAAGTTGCTCCAATATCATTATTCTACAACATATTTCAGTTTGATATGATTTTAATTTTTTTTATCTATGAGGACCTGGATGTACAAAATGCTTTTTGATTTTGAGGTTTTCAACTTTTGGACGATCGAACATCGATTTTTGAAAAAGTGACGCTAGAGCCTTGAGACTAGCATGTTCCTATACCAGTTTTTTGCCCTCTAAACGATGGTGTAATTGAAATTTGCGTAGATTGCATGGTTGTTGAGAAAAGGGAGATTTTAGAAAGCAGTTAATTTTGAAGAGATGCTGCTAGTAAAACCTTTTAAATTACTATATGAATGTGGAATGTATGGGTAGTAAAAGTTGTAGAGGGTACTTTTGTTGATTAGGGAGTGTTGTATTTGGGCTTGCTGAGAATGATGTCGATGAGTAAGGAGGAAAAAGAGTGAAAATGGACAAATTTCAAAGGGCCGTACCGGTTGATTTTACTAAGTGAACATGAGCTTCAAGCTTAATAGCTTCTGTTTCTTTTTCAATTCTCTATACGTTGGTATGGTTATTATAGATAAATATAAAAAAAGTTGAATATCTCCTGCTTGTAGCTCATAAAATATAAAATTTTGAGCGAATTCATAAAGGGAAGATACACCTGGTACCTAAAAACCCCACATAATGATGGATATAACGTAGAACTATTGAATGGTCTTTACTTTGTGCGAATCTGATGAGTATTTGTCGAGATACGGCCAAAAAAAGGTATCGTGCAAAATCATGGATTTTTGTTCAAAATTTACCTGTGATAGTAAGCAAAAAATCTGATGACGATTTTTTTGGTCAGGACAATATTGTCAATATTTCATGATAGATTCATGCCAAAACTTCAAGCAATAGCTCATTCGATAGGAAATGTTTTGACCTACAATGTCTAGTAATGCTTAACAAAATGTTTTGATGACAGATAATGATTAATCTTTTGAAAACAGTCAAAAGATTGCAAAAACAATCGTATCAAATATCAGATAGAAAATGTACACCAGACACTTGATATAAATACCATTGTATTTTCCTTTAAATTTTCTACAAGTTTTATATAGGTTTGGAGGGGCGTTTACTATCAAGAAACGCGTAATTTTAAAGTCGATAGATTTCGGAATCCCATGGATCATCATTCAGAACAGTAGAAATTGAATCTCCGTTTAACCTTTGCAAGTGTAGACATCACATTTACGAATTTGAAAGGTCATTTTTAAAATGGAAGCGTGGTATAATGGCCATACCTTGATTAGTCTATGAACCGTCTCGAATACGTAGTGTCAAAAGGTGAGAAGCCTATAGAATGATATGCCATCAAATACATACAAACCTTTCATACAAAAGGGAGTAGACACCAAAAATGAAATACGATTCATTTGAATCCCAAATGCAAGCAACAAAGGCTCCTCCGTCAGACAGATGATGCTATCAACAGCACCCTTAGTTTCATGATTTAGTAGTATACCAGCAAATATCGATGAATTTATTTATTTTTGATACTTGGTTATATGAAATTGAATATATGCAAAAGAGTATATAAGAAAACAGGTCTTTGAAAAAGTAAATGTATATACGGGCCTTAATGGAAAGGCGATTGAGATCTAGTATATTGACCAGGAGGAGGATGTGGTGCTTGATAATTAGACATTTGTTGCGCAGGAAGAGGCGGTGTGGAATAGCCAGGCGTGGATGACGGATACGGTGGTAAATTCGTATTAAATGCAGGTGAGGCTGTTCTGACGGATGGAGGCTGCATCATAAAAGATTGGTTGCTTGCTGCCATTGGATTGTATTGCTGCTGCATTCCACCACCGGGTCTACTGATGTAGCTTTGTTGGCTATAATAAGTGCCTTGGCTGTAACCAGAGCGTTGAGAGCCATGAGAACCCACAGAGGCATTGTCATTAAAATAACCACCACCAGCGTTCATGTCATCGTCATACATGCTCTTCTCATACTCGTCCCATGTCATAACGGGTATGCTTCTACGATCAAATTTGCCCTCGTCAGCCATGACAAGTTTTCTGCCCTTGTCACCCATGACAACACGCGTGTTACCCCAAGAGAAATCATCAAAATGCCAGTAGGAGTAAATGGGAATCATAAAAGAAAACACTGGAATAGCAAAGATTGAGACAATCATCCAAATAATGTGTTCCCATTTTCTGTGCAGCAAGAAGATGATGGCTTGCAAACCGTACACACCAGCAATGGTGATGATGGACATGACAGGAACACCAGAGGTCGACGTAGCCAACATGTAGATGAGATACACCAGATAGCCAACAATAGCGGGTTGCACCAACGTACTGAGCAAATCGAGCATGACTACAAATCGCATAGAGAAACAGCAGAAACCACACAACTGAGGCAAAAAGACCAATTCACCCAAGTTGTGGATGGTAGAGTTGATCCAGCGACGACGTTGAGAGAGCAGGACGCTCCATTGATCAGGAGCAACAGTAGCACACTTGGCATCCGATACAAACTTGGTCTTGTAGTTGGGGAAATGCTTTAAAATCAAGGTAGTCAAGTAACGATCTTCACCCAAATGGAGCAAGTTTTTCTTGTGCAGTGTGTCTACCTTGTTGATAGCATAGTCATCAATGATTTGATTGGAAATGAGCAGAGGTTGGTTCTTTTGAGGAGCACGAATACGATACATACAGAAACAGCCTGGTAGACAAGTGACAGTGCCAAACAGAGACTCAAACGCTTTGATCAGATAATGGGAGATAAAGTACTCGTAGACTTGGATCATGGTAACCCAACTGTCCTTTTCATTTGACAAGACCGTTTCGCCACAAAGACCAATAATCTTGGAGTCATGAGCAAACACAGATACCATACGATTCAAACCATCCGCCATGACCTCGGTATCCGCATCCACCATCAGTACAAACTCATAGAAACTAGGATTCACGCCAATCACATTCTTGATTTGATGGTACAGTTCCAGTTCAAAGGGTGTCATGGGAGAGTTGAAATGGACCTTGTTCAAGAAGCTCATCAAGATCAACTGACTATCACGCTTACCACGATTACCAGGCTTTTGTCTTTCGCTTGGTTTGCCCACCTTGGAGACGACAATGTAAGGGACAACATGGCCACGACACTCATAGAGACCAGAGTACACTTTGCCCATGTTGTGCTGCTTTTGGCCTTCACCGACAGAAAAGAAGGAGAGTGGCTCAGGATCAATGTTGGGGTCCACACCCAGGATGTCAAGCACGATACGAGGCGTAGGACGATCATTGCCACCACCAATAATCATACCATCACAGATAATGAACAATAGCTTGCGCTTGTCGTCATATTGTAAAGCACTGATGGAATCAATAGTCTTCTTTAGTTCGTCTTCGCCTTCAGTATAACAAGGCACTTGACAAATGACAAACTTTTCATGCTTTTCAGGCTCACGACGCGTACGGAATTGCAAAGCAGCCAAGAACTTGAAGACGATGACCAGACACAAGAACACAGTGATGATCAGCAGCAAGTATTCAGCAAACAGACAGCGAGCAGAGTTACGCTGATCGACACCACCGGCGTAGTAGAGGTTTCTCAGACATACTTCTTGACGATATTTGAGGTCAGCATCCAGGGGGAGTGCATTCCAGCTGTCTGTGATGTCTTGACCAGCCTTTTGACTAAACAGAGTGACAACCGCATTATCCAAAAAGTTGAGCTCGTTGCTGTCAGGAGCACTGACACCTGCAGGCAAGTTAAAGCGACGACCGCCCAAGATGTAGTACGTGAGATCATAGACATTGCCGTTCAAGATGGCCCATTGACGTGTGGTTTTGATGCCAGACATGTCCACCTGGTTGGCAGCTTGTGTAGCGATATCCTTTGGTGTATAGCCCATAGCACCCAGTTTATAGTTCTTGCGAAGATAGGTCATTTGTTGAAAGTACCAATCTGGACGAGGATCAGCTGTGTCTGGCAAAAAGTTGTGGTATTGCGCATTGGTATCCGTGAGATTAGGGTTGAAATCAAGAGAGACATAGGGAGACACAGTGCCCGTCGTGCCTTGACACAGAGCAGACACTTGCACAGGGAACAAGGAAGAAGCGTCTTTGCCACCGTACTCCAACACAGCGTCTTGAGGAATCACTTGACTGGCCCAATGGTGAGGGGCAAACTTGGTTAAATCAAACACTTCACCACGAATAGCGACATAGGCATTGTCCTTACTAGCATGGCTTTGTAGTTCGGATGTCGAGAACACATCTTGATGAGGACAGACAATGGTGCCAAAAAAGACCAAGAACCAGATGATGAAGCCAGATGTCAGGAAGATACAGAGACACAGAGTCATCTTTTCACGCCATGCAATCTGGATGTCAGGACGCTTCAGCTTACCACACATGACCAAAAAGACAGTTGGAATCCACCAAGTCATGAACCACACAAAATTGAGCCAATGTTTACGAGCACGAGACATCTTTTCGTCCTCCTCTGGTGCCTCTTCTTCCACAACAGCCGTTGTCAAAATTTGCTTCATTTCAGGAGTAGCTTGGCGGCCATAGAAATCAGATCCGCCGTATTGCGAGTCAGTTTCATGGTAGCTGCTTGGTTGTTGATAGTTGTGATAGTCGTCATCAGAGAGGAAAGAGCGTTGGTCATCCGTGTAGATGGAGCCAGAACCGCCAGCACCTCTAGGTAACGGTAAGCCAGCAGCAGCAGCAGCGGCAGCAGCATGATCGTATCGACGAGGGTCAGATAGATTGTAGTCAGATTGAGCAGCACCGCCAGCAGGCAGCAGGAACTCGGTGTTGGAGCCAAAAGAGACTTGCGACAGGGTATCAGAGCTCTGATCTCTCTCCATGTTCATCATAGGTGGAGCAGCCAGTGTAGCCATGTTTTCGGTTACTCTCTTTTCGTCCTTGAGCTTCCTTTGATCAGCCTTTTCAGCGGTACGCAAGCCATCTTCTAGTCCTTGCCAGACAGACTCGCTCAAAAAGATCTAGAATTACAAGACGTATGAATATATATATATATATATATATACATCACACTAATACACCAGCACATACCTTTGTTTCACCAATCGTGGCTTGTGCAGTGGACCATCCAAACAGAGCAATGGCTGCTTGGCACTGTTGCTTGACATCGCTGCTGCTTGATTGCTCCAGACCGCGGTTCTCTAGTGCTGTAGCGTATCTCTGCAAAAACTCATCGTGGAAGAGGAAACTGGTATATTGCATCTTTAAGCGCTGACAGATTTGAGGGATGCCCCAAGCCCTGACTTGAGATCGAACACGATTGCTGTCGAATTGATTGGGTGCTGCATTGTCGTTTGGCTTGACACAAAAGACGAACCAAGGCACTGTCTCATCCAGTGTGCTGAATAGCTCATCCATGGCCTTGTTAAGCTGGGATAGTACAGTGGAGACGTGGTTCTTTCTGGACGGTGTAGCTGCTGATGAGACGCCTTCTTCTGGTGTAGGCTCCAAGGTGGATCTTCTGCGCTTGGTGGATTTGGAGCGACGCATCGAAGGGCCACGCAAGGGACCGCTGGGCTGTTGTGCATTCAAGATGGCTGTAGTCTGCTTGGGGTGATTTTCTGTGTGAATAGAGTCGTTGGCGAACAATTCCAAAGCAAAACTATTGTATGAGGCTGGAGATGTGTCACTACCACGAATCAGTTGTACTAAATCAGCATTCAGCATGTCCTTGTTGGATTCTAAAAAATGGTGAGGACTGTAAGCTACTTGGCCTGCAAAATGCTGGATGGTAAAGAGTCGTGATCCTGTGTCTGCTTGCTTGGTGCCAAAGGAAGCGTGTGTGTTGTTGTATTTGACAAAGGAGTCGACCATGGCTGTGTCAGTGGACGATGCTGACTTGGCATGATGGTTCACGAGGTCGGACAAGCCGTGCTTTGGACGAGTCAATAGCTCCACGCAGGGCAAGTTGTTGAAATAGGGCACATCCTGTACTGTCAATCCTTCCATGCGGTACTCTTCTACATCGACTTCAAAGATGGAACGCTGGCAGAAATGCTGAAGACGCTCGTTGGCAATGTTGACACAGAAAGAGTTGAAGCTGTTGGACGTTTGGTGTAATCGAGGTCCCGGCAAATCTAGGATGCCAATAAAGTTGTGCACAGAGTCACTGCATAGTTTTGTGTTTATGTATTCCACCAGCCATGTGAACAGCAAGGAGTACAAGGATCTGACAATCTCGTCTCTCTGTCTAGCAGCACCAGCCGAATCCAGGATCAAGGTGGTGATGTCCTTCTTGATGAGCTGTGTCTTGTAAGTGAATACACTCTCCAACGCTCTAGGGTCCACACCAAGAAAGTCGGCACAGAGATCCAGCGTAGCAGCATTCTTGACAAAGGCAGCTTCCTGTACAAGCGAATCATCGACAAACTCGAGCTGGCCAAGATGAAGCAAACACGCCAAAAACTGCCATATTCTTGCCTGGTATTTTTTGTTGATGCCGAGTGCTTTCATCGCCTGCTTGACATGCTGGAACTGGCCAGCCTCACCGCCCGCAGCCGCCATGTTTCTGGGTATATATCTGTACATTGCATCGTCATCCAGTTGCAAGATCTGCTTCTCCTCGTTGGACACACCAGCAAACAGTTGGTAAAAGATGTGAAATGTTTGTTCGTGAGCAGGGCATTCAGTAACTCGAGACTTGTCTATTAGGTAATTGAGGAGTTTCGCACCTACCATGCGACCCCGCTCATTAAATTGCAATTCCAGATACTTGCCAAAACGAGAAGCATTTTCGTTTAGTCCTGTACGAGCGTTACCAAAGGCCTCCAACACAGTCTGAATGCTACTGATTTGAGCTTGAAGCTTGGTCTCCTTCTTTTGCGATGATAACTGCACCAGATGATTTAATATGGATTTGAACGACTCTGTTTTGCCACTGCCTGATTCACCGCTATCAAGAAATCAGAGTCAATACCATGCTCTTTTTGCCTCCCCGATTTCCTCCTCCCTTCCAACCCCTTGAACTCTAAATTTCTCAGAGACAAGGCCACTCAAAGACAAAGAAAAATACAAAAGTATGCAAGAGAATAATCAAATGAATCAAAGGGGATTAACACGATATTGTCAACAGTGATAACATCATTGATAATCTCCCGATATTTGGTTTTTCTCGTACAACAGCCCATCACAGAAAAAGAGAATGCAATAAAAGCCCCTTCACATTTTCGTTCAATTCATTTACCCCTCCCAAATAGAGAAACAAAAAATAAAACGTAAAAAAAAAACAACGCCTCATCCTCATCCTTATCCTTATCCTTATCCTTATGCTCCCAAACACGCACACACACACACACACACACATATATATATATATATATATATATACACATACACATATACACCAACATCTTCACTATGCTTACCTGAGTATCAGTGATTGATCGATGCCAGTTCGTCTCATGTGCAAATAAGCTTGATTTGTCAGTTTGTTGATGTGCATTGGTAAGGGCTCCAGAGCATCCGATCCGGTGTCTTTGTATTCTGCAACGTATTGTAAACTATGTGATGGCATTTGCTTGTAAGGGTTGATGGCTACAATGGCTGAATCACTGATGCGAGAATAAATCACATTGGAGGTGAAACCGTATTTCAGACACTGAGTTACGCCGTCTTCTGTGATTTGATCTTGATCGGATAGATCAAATTTGTTGTGTGTTGTTGCCATGGTAACAACGTTGTGATGTTGAGCAGATCAAAATGTGTGAGGAAAAGAAAAAAAGACAGAGAGAGAGAGAGAGAGGGAAAGAGAAATAAGGGTTTACAGAATTCAGATATGAGTAAAATCTTTTAAAAAAGCTCCTCCGTTCCCGTTAATTGACTATTTATATCTATTCCTTGTGTGATCTTGCACAAAAAGGTCAAAATCGTATGTATGGTGCAGTAAACGTTGAATGGCCAGTAAAATCATTCAGATGTCGATGCAGTTTAAAAGGGCACTTTTTTTAGTATGTAAAGACTCGGCGAGAGTTTATATTTACGAAAATGATTGCTGATCAAGCACTGATCTGGAGAAAGGATCTCAAATGATAGAGGAATACATATACCGGCATAAGGCATCACTGTGAAAGTGTCTCCTCAGACTAAGTAGAAACTAAAAGAGAGCTAAATCAAAGGGTTTTCATTTTCAAACATTTAGACCTGCTAACACAAGTTTGCTCGCCACCATAAGAATACTGATTGTCCATATGTGACCACGAGGATGTTGTTAGCAATCCACATCTTGAATGTCCACCACTAGAGTAGACCAAATACCATCCAAGAGAGAGATGACATCAATATAAAAGAATGCCTACCATAAAAGTAGGTCAAGTGCACCCACAAGACATAAACAGAATTGCGAAAAGAATATAAAAATGAAAGTGTTGGAACGAAAACAATGAACAACAGCCATAGCCATTTTTACTCTTAAAAATGAGTCGCTGAAATTTGAGCGTGTAGATCAACAATGGATCAAGGAAGCCCCGAGTAGTTTAATAAGCAGAGCCTGAAACTAGGAATTATTGCTTTTCGTATCGTCCTCTTAACACTTGTCGTATTAACAATAATTTCACATTGATCGTCCGTGATTTTTCACTGTTTATCCATACATTTATTAGCAAAATAGGTAGCAGAGCGTTAAAATCTAACTTTTCTCTTTCTGCCAGTGAATTTGGAATCATTTGCAACCACCTTATCACCTCTATCACGAGCCACCTTCTTCTTGTTATTAATCCACTCTTTTCCTTTCACTGCATTGCGATTGCCTTTTCTCTTTTTTGATACTTGTCTGCGTTTCTCGTATTGAATAGATCTAGCTTCATCGGGATGCATCTCTCCATCTTCACCTAATGCCTTGGGCATTTGATTCTTGACACCGGATTGCACACCTGCAAACAGACACAGATAGTACTTTTTGGCCTTTTTGGAGTTGGGATAATCCACCAGTAAACCACCTTCAAAACCACATTTTGTAGCGACATCAATGATCAGCTGGATTTGGTCATCATTCTCGGGATAAAACTGGAATACAGCTCTTGCTCCTTTATCCAATGATGCGTATAATGTTGTGAAAAATCGTTGAAGTCTAGCTTTTGGTCGGTTGATGGCTTTATCTGCATTGCAAAGCCATTGAAGGACGGATACACTATCGTATTAAGATTAATATCTTGCATTGCATACAATTAGCATAATATAATGGTACCCACCTAATGCAGCCATCAAATGTACCAGGTCTGAATGCTACTCCTTGTCCAGCATCTTGCAAAAATAAGTCTCCTTCCACTTCTCTCTCGTTGGCTACATCCAGCATGGATGGTGAAATATCCATGCCAACCCAAATGTGTCCTTCTTCCTCTAAAATCTCGCCACTCAGGCCGGATCCACATCCGATATCCAACAAATATTTAGGTCCTTCTGATAAATTCAACAATTCCAGAGCACGGTAAGCCATTTCTGCTTGAATGGCAGTGATACGAGAGCTAAAGAGCAACATTTCAGTCAGATCTGTCAAACTTGTGAAGCTCCTGTTGATTTAACTTTACTTGTCAGTGTATTTTCTGGCTTCATCATCACCGTAAAACTGTCATTGGATATGAGTTGACTGTTCATCTTGTATTCTATGCTCGACTTACGATCTCTGGTGGTGCAATGTGTTCTGGGCGAGACATCTTTGAGTCGTTGTATGAGAAGAAGGGAACCTCTCTCGTTGCTCATTCTCTTGATGTGAAAAATCCTTCTGTGACTCTGATCCTGCAATCCTGAAAGCAAACAGAGATGTGTGCGCTGGATGCAGTGGCTTTGAATTAATTACCAACCCCTCCTCCAATGTTGCCACCTTTACCTGTCGACTAGGGTCCGCAGACTTTGAATTTGAACCTGCTTTCCTATTTTTGTTGTTTTTCCCCTTACCTCTCTCTTTCATTTTTTGCGATATACAAATACGATGCTCCACTTACTTGGTGTCAATTTACCTGATAGAAAATTAGTAAGGTAGGCTTGCTTGAAAATACAGACATTTTGCCGTAATACTTACGCTATTTCAACAGCACTGCACTCCAATACTTTTACGGTATCGGCGAACCCACAGCCATTAAATTATGTCAAAAATTATCTATTCCACCCACATTAAAAGTGATTGAATTGAGCGAAGTGCAAGTCAACGAGTTAACAAACACCTTGGCCAACATGACCATCGAAACCGATTTGAAGAGACAAGTCAGAGAGCAAGTTATGCATCACCGTAACATCAATAACTTTATCGGCAGAAGACACGCTATGAGCTTACCTGTGCGTGGACAAAGAACCAGAAACAATGCTAAAAATGCAAAGAAGTTGAACGGTAGATGGGTACAACGCAGAGGAATGTCAATGTGGACACAGCTACAACAGGGCCCATTGAACAACTTTTTAGAAAAGTACATGTAGATTATCAAATATATAAATAAAAGCAAGAGACACAGTAAACCATCCAAAAGAAAGGGAAGAAAAGGGACGAGGGGGGGGGGCATGATTTTATAGTTCTAATTGACAGTGCACTCAACACAGCCGCAAATTATCGACATGCACAACTATACGGCCGACCTCCATATTCTTCTATGATTGGAATAGGGCATCATTTGATGGAGAAAGGGCTCTATCAGAGCAACAAGAGACTCGCAACCTAAAGATACCAAATGACGTGCGATCTAGGCTCGAATGCACTTTATAGCTGTTGGTATGGACGCTTCAGCTCCTTGTACGAGCTTCCTGGTTTGGATCCCAGCATTTTGACAGGTTGACATTGTGTGTAATGAGCTACCAGCAGTGAGAGTTGGCTGGGTGCGTGCTTGCGATCCATGCTTCATTAGTGAGATGACATTGATATAAAATGCATATATCTTACTGATTCACAATCGTTCAAGAAGTGTGTAAACTACCAATATTATCAAAACTAACGGCCAAGTTGAGTAAGCAATGTCGTCTTTAGATAGACCTAGGGTGGCTCTGGATTCATGGAATGTAAGTTTCTTTAGTACCTAGCAAGCTAACAAGAGCTCAAGACTATGATGCCCAACCAGCTGGCATTGATTATATTACACCAATTGTTCAGGTTGTTAGGACTTGTCAATTGAGTAGAGATCCAAAGGATTAGAACTTGCCTCATGCTAGCAATCATACAGCGTGTTCTCAATGTATGCACTTGTTTAAACACTGAATGATGTCATGGCGCTCGAGAGGCAATGCCATCCATATACGCTGGCAGTACTGGTTCCTATTTATGAACCCTGTCAACTATCAGAAACAAACCTAAGGCTGCAAGCCTGACATATCGGATTTAATGGCATGTTAATAGTCTTGGTTCCTAGCATTGAACGATTCTAAACATCCCTGTGTGACATTTCCAGTACCTTTTGAAACCATCAAAACCATGGAGCGACGAGTGAGACCAAAGATAATGGGGACGAACGGTATTGTCAGCCGCAGCAGCCTATGAAATGTACATTTCAGGTAAATTTGTGTGGAGCACCCCCCCTTCGCGATAACTTTAATATGACCTCAAATGGTTTCATGTCAAACTTATCAACGCTTATCGCTTGTTATCTTTAGAAATCCCGCTGAGCGCTATGCCTTTCTAAGGTCAATGTGTCAAAGCAATGGGATGGTTAACTTTTCTTCAATGTGCATTATCTGGAGTGTATGCTAAGCTTGTTCATAGGGATAAATGCTCGAAATCTTACCACACAATTCGTCGCCATCATGATTCATTTGAGTGATCTGCTTATCATACAGGCAATCTACCTAGTTACATCACTTTGATATAATTCAGGTACTAGGTTTACTTTAGAATCACTAGAGACTCGTATCAAATACGTGTTTGCGGAAGGATTAGTAATCTGTTCTCGCTCAGTTTATCGGGATATGAGAGATTAGCTAGAAAATGAGCATGGATCATGGCTCTGATCGGAGTAGATGTCCGCAACTCCCCTCTATTATAGTGAGTAGCTTATTGTTAATTCTGCTCGCCAGTGTGTGATATGTCAAGGCACACTGTGATAGTTCATCCTCTCCACATCATACACATTTTACATGACTTTTGGCGAAGTTGTTCAATCCACATACAATAACTAGGCGGCAGAAATCAATTGCGTGAATCTTGCAGGTCTATTTCGCCTGGCTGATTCATTTGATCAAGCGCCATTTCACTTTCAAAGTCAATATAGTTATCGCCCGTAATCTCTGCCTTGATCCCTGAGCATTGAATCAATATAAAAGAGACCACATTCCCAACTGTCAAATGTACATTACTCAAATAATTAAATATCAAACTATCAAACATGCCTTCTATTACTATCGGTGAACATCTCGTCAAGCGTCTCTCTGAAGTCGGTGTTGATACCGTCTTTGGTGTTCCTGGTGATTACAACATGGTAAGTGAGGGAATTGTTCATTTTTGGTAGTCATTGGATACTCATTCACAAGTAGCCTCTCTTGGATATTATTGAGGACAGTGGCTACATGACGTGGGGTAATAATGCCAACGAATTGAATGCTTCGTATGCTGCTGATGGCTATGCTCGTGTCAAGGGCTGTGGTGCCATTGTTACTACATTTGGTGTTGGTGAGCTTTCGGCCGTCAATGGTCTTGCTGGCTCTTACTCTGAAATGGTGCCTGTCATTCACATTGTAGGTGCTCCCACTACCAAGTCTCAACAAGACAAGGCCATGTTGCACCATTCGCTCGGTGATGGAGATTTCAATGTCTTTGTCAAGATGTCTGAGAAGATCTCTGTGGCTACTGCTCAGCTGACTCTTGAAAATGCTATTACTGAGATCGACCGTGTTATCCAAACTGCTTATACTAGCAAGCGTACCGGTTACATTTCAATTCCTATTGATTTGATCATGGCCAAGGTGGATGTGCCCGCTGTCCTTTCTCTTCAATTGCTGCCTGCCAAGAACCCTCAAGTGATGCAAGACATTGCCATCAAGAAAATCCTCGAATGTATCAACCATGCTAAGCATCCTGCTATCGTCGTAGATGGCTGTGTCCTTCGTCACCATCTCAAGAAGGAAGTCAATGACTTTGTTCAACGCTCTGGTTTTCCTACGTTTACGGCTCCCATGGGTAAAGGTGCTGTCGATGAAGATGTACCTAACTACCGCGGTGTCTACACTGGTAATGTTACTCTTGAGGGTATCACTGCTGAAATCGAACAAGCTGATCTGTTGATTGAGTTGGGTTCCATCAAGTCTGATTTCAATACTGGTAACTTTTCTTATGGTTTGGACCAAACCAAGACCATCTCTCTGCATAGCTTTGGCACTACCATTTATCATGCCGAGTATCCCAAGGTGGGCATGGTTGAGTTGCTGCCTCTGTTGACCGCTGCTCTGCCTGAACGTAAATCTGCCCTGACTTTTGCTCCTCGTATCAGACCTGCTCCTATCGATAACAGCACCGAGGAAATCACTCATAACTATCTCTGGAACAAAGTGCCTGAATACATCAAGCCCAACAGTATTGTCGTTGCTGAAACCGGTACCTCTGAATTTGGTGTATTCAACATGCAAAGTTCCAAGGACACTACATATATTAGTCAAATTCTCTGGGGCTCCATTGGTTACTCTGTTGGTGCTGCTGTTGGCGCTGCTATTGCTGATAGATCTCGTCAACTGTTCCTCTTTGTTGGTAAGTAACACAAGTGTATTAATACAACTAGACGACTAACATACGGCTATTTGATTGTAGGCGATGGCTCTTTCCAATTGACTTTCCAGGAGATTTCTGTATTCCTTCATCATGGACTGACACCTGTCATTTTCCTGTTGAACAACGACGGCTACCTTATCGAGAAGCTCATTCATGGCCCTGACAGAGATTACAACAACTATCAAATGTGGCAATACAGCAAAACTCTTGACTTCTTTGGTGCTCATCTCGACCGCAATTATTCGACTGGCTGTTCCAAGGTTGGTTTCGAAGGCAAGGTCTCTACACGTCAAGAATTTGAGACCGCCATGAACAGCATTTCTGCTCAACCAGAAAAGATGCACTTTGTCGAGGTTGTCATGCCTCGTTTCGATGCTCCTCGCGAGCTTGAACTCCTAGTCGCCACCTCTGAAAACCGTTAAGATTATATAAAACTCATTCATTAAATATCTCTCTCTCCATTCATCATTCAAATAAACATCACTTGCATTGCTATTATTTACACCGTGATACTTCAAATCCTCCTTTTTTTTTTGCCAGCCAAACAAAGATATAGAAGATGACCATTTATTATTAGTGCTGTGATGGTTGATTTAAAGAAATTTTGAATGTGGAATTTGAAGAGTAAAAGAGTAATAAAGAAACGTTAAATAGAAGGGATGCTTTGTTGTACAATCGATGTGTCAATCATACAGGAGTATATAGATAAACGAAAACATATATAAATAAAAGATATTAAATAGAAAGAGAGCCGTTCATTACTCTCTCCAAGTGTACTTGATGTTGGCAGGCTTTTCAGGAACAACAACCATGGAAGTGTAATCAGGCTTAGGAACACTCTTTCCTTCCAACTCGATATCAAACATACGGATCATGGTGGCAATGATGGTCTTGATTTGCAGGTAGCCAAAAGTCTCGCCGATACAACGATGACGTCCAGCACCGAAAGGCAGGAAGGGGTTCTTTGAAGAGATACCAACAGCACCGAAACCGTAGTCGACATCTGCATCATCACCAGCCTCCATATTATGAACGGGATCGTCTAAATCGACCCAACGCATGGGATTGTACTTGAGAGGATCCTTGAAATAGGTCTCATCCACTTGGGTTACACCAGGGACAGCGCAAAGAAAGTTGCCCTTGGGGATCTCATGTCCAGTCTTTTCAAATGTCACCTTTTCAGCAATCACCTTTCTCATCATTTGGAAGATGGGTGGATGAAGACGTAAAGTCTCACGAACACAGTTTTCCAACAAGGTCAACTCTTTGAGGTTTTCAAATGTCAAATCAGTCTTGAGAGAACCCAACTTTTCGATTTGTTCTTCACGCAAGGCACGAATAAGATCAGGGCGAGCGGCTAATTCGAGGAGAGTCCAAGCAGTGGTTGTAGCAGAGGTGTGTTGGCCACCGAATAAGACGGCAATCATCATACCAGCGATATGCTTGTCGGGAACAGGAGTACCATCTTTGTATGTGGATTCCATCAAAGCTTGGAGCAAATCAGCATTGGTCTGTGTACAGCCATTAGCTCCACAGTGTCTTTTTCCTGCCTAAATTTCTCTTTACTTACATTATCATTCTCGGCCTTTCTGCGTTGAATAATGCTAGAATAGAGCTCAGCCATCTTCTTACAAGCTTCATCACGTCTACGATATGAAGGCAGAGGCAAGTTGGAAAAGATAAAATTGATGGGCTGGAAGCCTTGATCAAGATCGTAATATAATTGTGCGACATTTCCATCCAATCCAGCACGGATCTCCTTGCCCATCAAACAACGAGAGGCAGTACAGATAATCAAAGAGCCAAAGGTGTGATAAGCGTCAAAAGTGCCCGTGGGCTTTTTGAAACCCTTGAAGAAATCAGTAACTTCATCGACAATCATAGGCACATGTTGACGGAAACACTCTGTATTCAAGCCAGCCTTGATGAATCTATAAGAAGGGCAAATGAGTTATGGTTTCCAGCTGATCGCTGCTTATAGACAAACGAACCTCTTTTGCTCCAAAAAGACGCTATGAGGAGCATCATAGACGACTTCACGGCCAAAGACGTATTTGGTCATGTCGTTGTAAGCTTCAGCAGCAGATGACATGTTTTGTTTGGAGTTGAAGACAAACTGATTTCCATCAGCACCCAAGAGAACCGTGACCTTCTTACCAACCATTCTAAAGGTGAATACATCGCCGTACTTCTTTTGACAGTTTTGCAAGAATTGAATAGGGTTGCTACAGATGGCACGCGTTTACATCAGCTGAAATGACGCTATTTCTCGTTTCTTTCTACTTACATGCCAAATTCAACAGCATTGCCCATAAAAGGAATCCATGAAAACACCACAGGAGGCTGTTTGGCATCCTTGGGGCCAAACTGCAATGTCGTTTGATCAGTTTCGATGCCACACTATCGTCTGATCCCTTCTCCACACTTACCAGTTGATTGACAATATCAAATACAATGTACACTACCAAGGAAAGAAAAGCATACAAGATAATGTTGGAAAGAGGGGGGAGTGAGGTCACCAAAGTGGATAATACAGCCATTTTTATTTCAATAGAATCACAAAAACAAAAAAAAAGAAAGAGCAAAAAAAGAAAGGAGGATGTGGTGCAAAGAATTTTATGTAAATTGAAAGAGTCACTTGGTGTAACAGCAGACGGGTCCTGTAGCAGAAGTTGTGCTTGCAAGGATTTCCGAAATCATTCGGCCCGAATTTCTAGCCATCATACTTTTTTTTTTACATGGAGAAGGGATCAATAGCCTCGTATTCAAGTGATTTCTTGATGTAAAAGCACATGTACCTGAATTTTGTTTATGAATTAAAATCCAGCTACAATACTCGATTTCTTGATCTCTACTTACGCCTTGCTATCAAGCACATCCTTCTGATACGCCACTGTTACATTGTGATCATCAAATCTAAACCACTGAGAAAATAGAGTTGGCATCGCACCATAAATTTTGATATGAAGATCCTGTTACCTCGTTTCTATGTTTTGCGTACATGGTATAGTGTCCCGTATCCATCTTGCCTTGATGATTCACTACGGAGAAGAGTGTGTAGACATTGTCCCTGCATAATACATGTAAGTGTTGTATTTCCTTGTTGTTGATATGTGCAGCTCCAACTTACGCATCCCTCTTTTTGCTACTTGTGTATGGTGTCAGATCAAGTTCGGCTGGAAACTTGATCTTGGTTTCAATTTTGCTCGTGGATGTTGTGCCATGCTCAAAGCGTTTCAATTGAATACTCAGCACTGGAGGTATACGCTTAATGGAGAGTTGCTTTGTTGCCTCTTGAAAGGTGTTTCCACATTTACTGCAACTGTATTCATTGGGTCCCAGCTTCTCTGGCTGTGTATATCGATCCAAGCAATCGAGCAGTGTATTGCCTTGTTTGCCTCGGATAGCATCGTCAGCGCTGAAACGCCGTCCATTTTTATCCGTTATGCCATTACTGTTGTTTCCACCTAGCAACTTGCTGCTGCTGCTGCTGTTGTTGGCTGCGACTGATCCAGGGGCTTGCTTCTTCTTTTTCTCCACAGGTCGCAAACCCAGACTGATGTCCAGCATGGGATCACACGTAGTGGTTACATTTCTGCAGCGGAGACATGTTACATTGGACTGCAATAGCCCCGCAAATGTCTTGTGGATAATACATTCGCAGTGAGATAGCTTTTGTTCTTCGCATCCAGCATGAATGTTGTTCAAGGCACTGATAAAGAACTCATGAGCATCCTGTTGAGCATATCCCGCTAGTTCTTTCAAACTCATCCACATGGATTGGAGGAACCGACATGGACCGTACGGCTTCTTGTCTTCAGAGTAAAACTGTGGGCAATACGGCTTCGTCAGTATAACCATGATATCTGCATGTACCACATCCACTGTTTTCCTACCTGCGTAAATAAATCATCCATCTCACAGCACATACAAAATTGCTTTTGACAGTTTTTGGGATTATGTCGATCGCTCAAAAAGTAAGCCTTCAAAAGTGGATTGTGCACCAGGCTCTGCAAGATCACATTCATAAAGCATGTATTGCCCATGTTACATAGCCCACGGATGCCTTGGCAAGAGTTGATAGCTGAATTCTTGACAATGGTGCTGATATCTTGATTCGTAGGTTCCCATAGTGTATATTGAATTCGCTGCTTCTTTTTTCTAGATTCTACAAATCACAAACCCTTAGTGTTGATGCTACATCCATATCAGAGTGTTTTGTCATACTTGATACAATCTCACTTCGCACAACCTTCTCATCTATCTCGATATCATAAATATAATCATTGCATTCGCCACAGAAAAGTGTATGTCGATCAAAGTCCATTGCTGATTTGCGTATTAGTGATCCCATTTATTGCCAAATCATCAACTCTGCTTGTTACCAAATGTATGCTTCTTCTCCTTTTGATGATCTTTCAAATGCCCTTTACGCCAGCACCCAATGTACACACAGTGCAGACAGGCATGCAAACGCGATAATGGATCAAGGCAAGTGCTGCACTGAGGCAAAGGTAGCTACGAATAGATGGAGAGTTTAGCTGTGTGTATATCGCATCATGTCTATGACAACTGGCTACTTACTTCTTTCAATGGCTTTCGCCTTTTTCCATCGCTTGTATACTTGATTTTTCTACTCTTATGCCATAGAATGGAGTACTGAACTAATGACCGATAGTTTTCAAAGATGTTGTTTTCTTGATTTCCATCGTTCTCTTTGAGCTTCTGCTTCAATTTCACAATATGAGGACAGGCGCCCAATTTAACCGGCTGACGAGACCCATAGAATTCAGGTGGGTTGTCGGCTGAATACAAGACGTCGTAAATCGTCTTTTGGTCTGTTGAATAGGCTGGTTGGAACGGGGAGGGTGGCGATAAAGGAGACAATGGTGAGCCCGGCGGTTGTAAATTGTTGGACATGGGAAAATGATATCAGCTATAGGCGTTATAGAGGAAGGTAATGATGACTAGCAAAAAAAAGGATATCTTTATGTGTATACTATGTATGTCAAAGCGAAAAGAAAGAGAGGTATAATGGCTTGCAAAAAACAACAGGACTTCTTTTATAGGGTCGAATACTAATACAACACTCATTTCATTGGCTTGCATGACGTTGGTGTTGCCGAAATTTGGTAAGCGAGTTTCCATATTGATGTTCAGACTTTATGAGTTGTATGACCTTTGAAGATTGTGCACTTGTGGAAGCTTGTGAAGGCGACACCAGTGACCTAGATAGTAAGAAATGTAGTATTTAATGTTAAATCAGATATGTCTATCCTGCTTGGAAGCATTGCAGAACGATGACAACCTACAATTTGATATCCATACAGCCCACTACATTCAGATCGAAACGAACAATGTGTTTCTATAGATACTTTGTGCTAAATTTATGGCTTTCCATTCAATAACGTACTAAATTACAGCCAAGTTTGGCTGTTTTCTAACACTGATATCTCATCGTACAGGCTGTTTTAGTCCGCCAGATTGGCACGAAACGATTGCGTTCGAGTAGCAGTTACTTCCTGATGCTATATCTCAATTTTTTTTTGGGTCATGACAAATCGATGAAAATCGTCATTTATCCATGAGTAATAGCAAGGGAAAATAGTAAAAAATCAAACGATCGTGTTTTTCACCCCAAAAGCGAAGACTTTTCTATGATATATATTAGATCAAAATAATACTGGAGATTCGAAGCATCACTAAAGATTATTTTTTTGAGAACTTTGTATGTAAAATTTCGACATTTTCGCCCAAACCCTCATTTCATATTTTTCAGTGTTACTCGATATCTCCATTTATAGAGGTTTATGAAATTAGTACCATTAGAAGCGCCTCGGCGAGCTGTCTGTTATTGTAGTAAGAAGTAAGGCATGACAACGACGACTTATATAGTCGAATTTGTTAAAACGTTTATTTATTTATTTTTAAATTTTGTTTATTGATTGAGCCACGAACACCAAGAGTAGGAGGTCATGGTGAAGAGGCGGGTGCAATTTAGATATGAACATACGGATAAAATATAAGATAAAATATACTAAAAAAAATAATAATAAATAAACTACCTATTAGATAGTTTATGTTACAGTTGGGAGTGGCACTTGAAAACGTTTAAAAGATGTTCAGAAATGATGAGTCGAGTCGATTTTGAAGCCTGCGAGGAAATGTATTTAAGCACCACCGTAGCAGCCTGCTTGGTAAGCTCCAAGGAAGTATGTACCAAAAGCTTATCTAACAATATTAAAGCAGCTCAAAAGTAATATTTAAAAGAATTCTTACGTGTTTGCGTATCATTTGATACCAATTTTGCTCAGTTTGCTTAAACTTTTGGGTACCGTCGGTCAAGATGAGAAATGCAAGCAAACTGATTTTGAATAGGTAAATTTGAAAAGCAAATTGAACAAGATCTAGACGTACTACTTAAATAATATTACCATCATTAAAAAGCCAAGCTTTTTTAGTTTTTTGGCGTTAATATTCACATTTCAAACATGTGAATTGAGTAAGCTACAGCTTCCTGAACTAAATCTTTTTACGCAAAAACACGAAAAAATAACGCTGTTAACGCGCTGAGCTGGAAAAACTGCTTCACTCAGAATTCACTTTTTCGATGTATACACAAATGTACTTGATCCAAGATCTACGCTTACTCAACCCGTACATTATAATGAACAAATAAATACTAAATATTTGATATCTATAGGAGTACTACAAGCTGATATTCACTGATTCCAATAGGGCGTTGTATAGCGTGAACGCTACTTCACAACAACTTTGTGTTGACAAGCAACTTGCTCTTGATAGGCAATTGATTCAAGTTATATGCTCGAGTGAAATGTGTTTGGTTAGAGAAGGGAACATTGAATTTAATCTCGAGCTTTCCTTGCTTATGATGCAGCGATGTAACATCAATGTAAGACGATGATTTGGTCGCACTGCCTGTGGGTTGGTTTCAATCCATCTCTCATAATTAATCACGCTAGTTTGCAAAATATATAGCTCATCTACAAGTAGCAGCTCATTTGAAAGCTCTTACAATCCTACTGCATTGTCTTCACGTCATGTTGGTCCATTCATTGATAAAACCAGCACTAAAAGTATGTATGAAGATTAATTTCACGATATCAATGAAGCCATCGAGCATAGGCAAAAGAAATTTATTTTAAGGTTACTACGAGCTCCTTACTTACGTTTACGACAGCTCGGATGGTATTATCAACAGGGCAGTTGAAATTTCACGTGAAATAGCTACAGACAAATATCCAACAAGCACATTCACAGCCAAAGGGGACCTGTGCCAATTGAAAGAATATGAATATTCTCCTGAATCCGAAAGTCTTGTCAACAAGTTGTGTAATGAAGACAAATCAGTAATGGGATGGCGCACAGAACTTTTAAGCCCTCATGTTTTCGCAAACAAGGGATTTGATTCAATCCCCAATGAAGACTGGAGATTGTCAAGTTTATCAAAGAACACTAGTAAATTATACATTTAAGAAACAGTTGATATTTTATCAACATTTTTGCTGAAATGAATAGCGAATCTACGGAAAATGCCAAGAATGATGGATTAGCTTGAAAGAATTAAAGGAAGCTCTGCTTATAATTAAATCCGCACAAACCCTTCGTTTCTGGGCTTCAATACCTTGTTAAAGTTGCTAGAAGCATTGTTTAATTATGTTTACCTATTGATGCTAGTACGCTTCTATGGCGACATACAGTCTTCGAATAGTTTAATTATCTCTCTATATATATACAGATGTCATTATCATTGTTTATTACGAGTGTTTATGCTTCGAATGGTTCTCTATCTTCGCTTCGCTTCGGTGAGAACCAACCTGCGCAGCGACAGCTCGAGCTACCGTTTGCCCTTGCGTATCTTATCATAATACTACTACGTTCAAGCTGACCCTCTACTTGCGCATGAAAACCCTTCATATTATATGTGGATCTGATTCTTATGTGATGCTCTACATCCATATACACGTAGCTACTTCATATACGGGCAAGAAGAATACAGGTATTTCCATTTTTTAGTCCTTAGTGTCCCTAATACAGCAAAATATGAGTGCATTTGAGCTGCGTTCTCTCACGTTCATGGCCGTTTTAGATTGTCAGAATAGCCCCAACCGGTTGCTCTCATCTGGCAGTTACTTTCTGATACTTCTGCTCAATTTTTTGGGGACCAAAAAAAAATGGCCAAAATTCTACCAAAAAGCATGAGGTACCCCTCATGGTTTTCATCGAAAATCAAACGATCGCGTTTTTGACCCCAAAAATGAAGACTTTTACTGTGGTATATCTTGAATCAAAATATTTCTATCGATTCAAAGCAACCTCTGAAATCATCTTTGTGGGATGTTGAGTCTGTAGCGGTTGCGGACATTCAGTAACTCAGCAAGAGTCGGATCATGATTTACATTGTTTCTCACTGTCTACATTAGGACATTAGGTTCGACACAGAAGTGAATCATATAATCGATTATGATGGTCTCTGATAGTGAAGGATAATGATGGCTACAGATCGTATCATCATGGCTGATTGAACGAATCAGATCCTTCAATTGACTGATATTAGATAAACATGATACGATGTAATGACTCAGTTGAAACAACAAGATAGATTGATGATTCATCAGTAATGATCTCTTATAAATAGGATGTGTTTGAATCAGTTAATAAATCTTAGAAAGTTTTCGTATCTGGTTACTTTTATAGTCTTCCTTTTTTGAAATCTATCTTATTTTGTTAATACTGTATCTTTGAATACAACATGGGACTTTGATATGTAAAATTTCGACTTTTTAGCCAGAAACCTCTTTTCATATTTTCATAAATCATTCGATACGTTTATTCAAAACATCTATATTACTTAGTACCATTAGATGCGCCTTGAAAAGTACTCCAGGAAAGCCTAAAGGAGTATGGGATTATCATCAGATTTTTATAGTCGAATCTGGTAAAATAGATCAATTAAATCAAAAAATGCTAAAATCTGGCCAATCTTAAGCAGACAGTTAATCAACATTTAAATTAAATTTAGCTGGTAAGGTCAACTGACAAACTTAATGCCCTTCTAATCGTGAAGGCAACAATAGATGCTTTTGGAGCTAAGTGGAAGCAGATGCATAATACTATTGTTAGACATGCTGTTTCTCTTTGAAGTATATATTTAATAGCGCCAGTCCACCAAAATGCTTGTAAGATCAACTTCTTCCTTGTTGATGCTTGAGAGTGTGAGGGTGCCGGATTTTAGGTTTGTGTGGTATTCTAGGTAGTCTTGGTTTGTTTCATTGGATGATTTGATAAGCACATCCGATGTGCTTGGCTTTTCAATCAACAAGGCTCCGTACATCATCCATGCAAAAGCTATGACCCTTATATTGCAGTTTTTTTATATATTTATTTATTTTTGGTGGATTGATTCCCTGTAAGGAATCATATTATTTATTGGCTGATGATGAGATTTTTGGGATCATCAAGGGGCAGCAGATGGTGGTGCTAAATACGACAGAAGGAGAGGAAGTCATCTTGCAATTTTATGGGATGAAACGCTATATATTTGCACTATCTAATGCGCAAACATCTTTTTATTACCTTTCAAAAGCATTAAATGCCCTCATAAGGGCTCTAGAGCCAGTTATCTTGTTACTAGATTGGACGCCAAGGGAATTACTGTAGACTAATCTATGTTGTGTAGCTGGATGCTGATTGCATAGTATTATCATATTTTCTCCCCACTGTCAACAACGTGAGATTATAATTTTGCGATTAAAAAGCTCCTAAATAAAGAAAAATGATTTAAATAATCAAAAAGAATTTTCCTCTTAAATCTAACATAAAATTTATTGAAATTATCTCGAGCATGCCTTGCTGGTACAGTATTTGTCAGTTTTTTTAAAATTAACACGATGGTGCAAATCATGGTGCAATTTTAAGTCTGGGCTCTTTTCAGCCATATTCTAACTTGTCAAACGATTTCGAATGGCGTTTAAACTTTATTTTTGGAATCCAGGTACCAAAAAATTTCGTGATCCGTATGCACAAAAAATTGCCAAGCACCGTACCTTTATTTAATGTGAATATCAACGAAAAAAGGCCAATATCACTTTTTTTTTTAAGCAAAGAGAAAAAAGTTTCGTGTACTAGTAAAGCATAACACGACTTTATGCAATAGTTGCATAAACAACGTGATTTGCAAATCAGAGTAATGACAACACAAAGTACACCAAACACGAGCGGATCAATGTTACAGAAAACAGGAAGAGGCTTAACCATCTTTGACTTTGAAAATCAAACAATGACTCCATCAATAATCCTCAAAACTGATATTTCAGCCTGATTTGGGAACGGGCCTCTTAGTCATGGGATGTTTTATGAATCTATACATGTAAAAATAACAAAGCAAAATTCAAATAAGCCATGTATTTTTTTTTCATTCAGGACAAGGATTATCTTTGTTGCCATTGGCAGGAGCAACTTCTTTTGAAAACAGCATGGCTCACTGGCCTCAACTTCAAGCCTATCTGATCTGGTCAAGTAAGCTAATATCGATCGATTCTTCAACGAAATGGACTCTTTTGGATTGAATTCAAACATGGCCCCTAATTTTCCTTGTATTACCCATCTGAAAGTGACGTAGACCTTTGTTGATGTTTTATGCAAATCAAACATGGATGATTATCTTTAGGTATTGGATTTCAAAACAACAAACGAAGGATAGACTAACTTTGACAAGCAATTGCAATGCCCTGATGGAACAGATAGAAAACATGTCAATGATCCATGCCAATCATGACAAGCAACAAGACAAGACTGGCTCTTGATCGGATGAATCAACTAGTCACATTGGGATAAATTTACAGTGTGAAGAGGTCCCTTCTTTTTCCCAAATCACCCTCCAATACTACACCCCATCTTTTTTTTCTCTTTCGCCTTTTTACCTCTCTTCCCTTTCTTCTTCCTTTTTTACTTTTATATTAACCTTCTTTTTTTTTAATTAAAAAGATTAAAAAAAAAGTGGGAATTTTATCTTGTTACTGTCTTTCTTTGAAAACAATTTTTTTCTGATACATCATTCATACAACAAGTACCTAAACAATCCTTTGAAATCGAGAAAAAATGGATAGAAATCCTGTTTTACAAGGCAAGTATCAAATCGTATATGGGATATTGAACAAAATGCCCAGGGAAAAAGGGGCGAAAGGGGGAGGAGTAAAAAAAAAAAAAAAAAAAAAAATAGCGAGAGATGCTTACTATTAAAATGCAGATTTACATACCTTTCATAGCACGGCAACTACATCAGCTCCAAATACTGATTATCAGGCAAATAAAATGACAATGCCAGATCAAGATAGCAGGATCGTGTTCTCCATGCCACCAAACACCAGCACAAATCATGCAACGGATACCCAGACTACCTCTTTTCTTGATGGATTGGATTTTGGATTTGATTCAAGATTGTACCAGCAACAGCAATTGAATCCGCAAATGCACCAACAGCAGCCAATGCCTGTTCATCAAAACGAGGGTTTATACTCGCCTAATCAGTTTTATCAAATGAGTCCCCAGCAGCAACAAATACAGCAAATGCATCAACAGCAACAGCACTATATGCCTGTTTATCAGCAGCACCCTCTTCCTCCTCATATTCATCATCAGCAACAGCAGCAACAGCAGCAGCAACCACAACATCATCATCCTCATCATCAACAACAAGCACATCATCAATTACATAATAATAACCATAACAACAGCCAAATACTGCTTCAGAGATACAATAGCAATGGAAGTACTACCAGTAGCACAAACTCACAGCCTTCTTATCTATCAAATTACAGTCCAATGGCACATTATAATGTATCGCTCCAACACCAAAATGATAGCAACCTGAACAAGATGCTGTATGCTCAACACCATCACCAGCAACAGCAGCAACATTTACAGCAATTGCAGCAGCCTCACAACCTACAGATGAACAAGAAACGCAAGGCCAATGCTGGTGCAAATAATATAGACTTGTTGGAGGATCATTTATTACAGCAACAAGCAGGAGGAGGTATTCAAAAGAAAAAGACCAAGGCTAAAAAGAAGAAGGTGCCCAAGGTTGTTGATCCCAATGCACCACCTAAACCCAAGAGAAAGACTGGACTGAACAAACCACTCATCTTGAGTCCAGCATTATCTGAGCTGATGGATGGCGAAAAGGAGGTAGTGTCAGAGTGCGTTGAGCGTGCAGGGATGTATATGCTCATATTATGTGTGTGTGTGTGATATAGCTTTCAAGACCGGAACTCGTTCAAAAGCTGTGGAAATACATCAAAGGCAATGATCTCCAGGATCCTGCTGATAGAAGATTTATCCTTTGTGATGACAAGCTTAAAAAAATATTTGATCAGGATCGTATTAATAGTTTTGGTATGAACAAGGATTTATCCGCTCATTTGACGAAAAAGGAAGAGCCTGCCATCAAGCAAGAAGAGGTGGAGGAAGGTAGCGAGCAAAAAACAGATACCACTGCTGCAGCATACACAGCAGCAAACACAACAACCACAACACCAGATGAACATGATGATACCAAAGACTTGAATACCGCAGTATCAGCCATTACCACTACCAGCGAGGACGTAGCTACCACTGCTGTTGCTTCAAAAGACAACACAAATACTACGCCTCTTCTTCTCCTGCAAGAAGCCACTCCATCTGAAGAACCCATAGTAACTCCAAAAGAAGAAGATTTTTTATTGAATTTATAAGTCTACTTCTCCCCCCCCCCTTTTTTTTTCAACACTTTTACGCCCCCTTTCTCGCTCACCTCCTCGTTTCCCTCCCCTTTACTAACTCCTTCAAGAAGAAGGGATCATACTGTATACATGTATACATCTATTCCACCTTGTTTCTCGCTTCTTCTATTGTGATAACCAACATTTAAAATACTATTAAAAAAAATCATAAATTTTTTCTTGCATTTCGTATCACCTTCACCTAAAAAAAAAAAAAAAAAAAAAAAAAAGGATATATCTCCATTGGAGGCTTCCCATTTCACTCTAGTTTTCCTTCAAAAATACGTCCATCTTTACCATGTTTGCAAAAATTAAATAAAAAAGAAATGTTTTCTCAACATTTATATACAAACAAATAAACTGCTCAACTGTATCGCAAAAGAGTGGTTGCAACAACAACAACAAAAAAAAAAAGGTTTGCTTTTGTGTTCCACCACCGGAATGCCCATTAACAGTGTTTTCATCATCCTGTTCCGTAAGGTCGCAGCAAATGGTTGATTTTGTACGCAATACCATTAATGGCTTCAATCGCATCTGTGTCCACTATGGCATGGTCATTCAGCACGATGCGTTTGGAGAAGAAGTAGTATTTGACTTTGATTGTTTCACCTGGGAGCATTGTTTGCAGTGGTGAATGCAATCGCTTGAGTGTATCAGCATCAATCTTGCTATTAGGAATGATGTGGTTTCGCAGGAAATCGTCGAGATGATCTCGGGTGTAGACATCCAATTCGTTTTGAAATGCAGAGTTCACAGGACAAAAGACAGTAAACTGATTATCTTGCGCATTGTCTGTGTTGTTCAGTAGCTTGAAGATGTCGTCCACTTGGGTCAAGACATCCATAAATGTGGATAATGCTGGGTCTGGTGCTAGCTTATCAAACAGAGACTGCTGAAAGCAGGATGCTCTGTAGTCTGGTGCATTGGGTTCGTACAAGAGGCGCTGCTGCTGCGACATGGCGACCAAGAAGGATAATAAGAATAGTAGCAATAGGATGGGCTGCATAATAGAGTTACAAAAAGGAAGAGAGGATTTTCCATGCATTTTTCTTTTTAGCTCGCAAAAAAAAGACGAAAAAGCTGACACGGATCCCTCTGTTGTTTATGATATCATTGGATAAATAAAATCTGATACTGTAACACCCACCCTTAAAGTGTTTGAAAGGAATTCGGAAGGTACTTCAATGTAATAAGCCCATGACTCAAAAGGGTTGGTTATCACACATATTTCACTCATAATAAACAATAGACTAAGCTTATAACATGTTGGAAATCAAATCAAGTATTACCTCTTCCTTCTTTTTTCTCTATATCACTTTTTTTTTTTTTACTTTCTACATTTCTTATATATCATGTCTGAAACCATGACTCCAAACAGTGACAATGTCGACACCCGGCTTGTCTTGATAGATCAACTCAAAGACTTTCTCGTCTCGGCACCTAATGAACAATCTGAACCCATCAAACAACACCACCTGCCATCTGGCGAGTGCATTTCCTGCGTGAAATGGCACGACAAGTTCTACATCTCGGGCACTGACATTGTGAGATGCCTTACATTTCGATTCCAAGCCTTTGGAAGACCCGTTGAGAATCAAAAGAAGTTTGAAGAAGGTGTATTCAGTGATTTGCGCAATTTGAAGCCAGGCACCGATGCTATCTTGGAGGAACCCAAATCTGCGTTTTTGGATTTATTGTTTAAAAACAATTGCATTCGTACACAAAAGAAGCAAAAAGTCTTTCACTGGTATTCTGTCCCTCACGACAGGTTATTTTTAGATGCCCTGGAAAGAGACCTGAAACGTGAAAAAATGGGTGTGGAACCTACTTCAAAGGCTGTGGCACACCCCGCTGTTTCCATTAATTTGGACACTACGCAAGCGATGTTTGATGAATTTCGCAAATCAGTATTGTGCGAGCTCAACCTCGATACCATCTACAAGCAAGAACAAAGTACCGAGAGCAGCACCATCTCGGATACAGACTCTGCCATGTCGTCCCTGGCCGTCTCATCACGTGAAGGTGATCTCCAAAAGGCTTCCTCTACTATATTCGGTCAGTTCTCTTTGTTTGAAGGCTCACCCACATACAAACAACGTAGACGTCGTGTAACTCAAAATGAACAAACAGCACTTGATGATAACACTACCCGATCCAGAAGAAGATCCACCGAATCAGCCCTAGCAACTCTCTCTGCGCTTCCTTCCACTTCATCTTGCCGCGTGACAACAACATCCAGAAAGCAAGTAGCCGTCAAAGAAGAGCATTATAACCACAATCAGCACCATCATCATTCGGCAGTGCGTCATTTTGAATGTCCCTTGCCTTCCTGTGGTAAAATTTTTAAGCGTTTGGAGCACATGAAGCGTCATTTGAGAACACATACTCTGGAGCGTCCTTTCCTTTGTGATTTGTGCGGCAAGCGATTCTCCAGATCAGACAACTTGGCTCAGCACAAGAAGACACATAAGCGCAACAAGCCATCCCAAAGCCAACTACAACAACAGCATGAAGAGGGAAAGTACCATCCTGATGAGGACATGGAAGATGAGGAAGCTCAAGGCGAAGAGAATGATGATGACAGCACAGGGGATGATGACGATGATGATGATTACGTTGACAAGCGAGTTCGTATCAAGTCTGGATATGGTGCTATCGGTGGTGGCCGACTCAATGGTCAAGCAAGACGTCGCATTAATTATGCAAAGAGTGATACAAAACCTTATTCTGCCGCTGTCGCTGTCAATCCACCAGTCTCAAGAGCAGCATCAGCCAGTAGGGGTCGTGTAACAGCTCGCACTCGCAACGGTCGTCATGGCAACAGCAGCAGAACAAGATCAGCACGTCGCCAAGCACCTTACAGACACCGCTCTGCATTGGATACTCAAGTCCTGTATGATACTGAAGACTGGTCAGCTAAATTTGAAGATGTAGAGTGTGTGAAATCTATCTTGTCGCCCACACTATGTCAACAACAAACACAGCAGCAGCAACAACAACAACAAACACAGCAGCTTGTGATTCAACCTACCTTATCTAATTCAACCTCTTCAGCCAACTCGTCTTGCCATTCCTCACCCACTATATTTGAAAACAGCATGTGTCCGCCCATCATCAAGCTGGAAGATGTGGATTTGTTCTATGACTTGTCCTATCAGCAAAGATCGCTGCAACAGCAACAGCAAGAGCAATTAGCATTGGTAGAAGAAGAGTTCCTGCCTTCCATCATGACAACAGACCGCAAAGACATCATGGAAGATGAGCAGTATCCTCAAGAATGGCAACAACGCATTGATTGGCAGCAGTACTCTTTGCCCACCTCGCCTACCATATATAACTACACAACAGAGGACTTGATCTATGATCAAGCGCAAGCCCACAGCGACATGTATCTGCTCCCTGCCTCTCACACACATCATCCATCAGCGTATCCCAATGCTTCATCCAATGCTTCATCGTGTCTCGCTTCACCTATGCCAGCATTTCTCATGACGCCCAACACACACAGTGCTGCTACCACTGTTGCCAACAGCCCCATCATCGAGGAAGACTACTATCACCCGTATTACTCTGATGAGAGCCCTACCATGACGCCCATAGACTGCTTGCTCCAATACTGAGCTGTCGTCGTCTATCCATGTAAAATGTAAATGTATATTTTGTAAATTTCTTTTTTAGATACAATTATGTTCATATAGTACAGAAAAAACCGAAAAAGACCTTAAAAAAAAAGCATTGCATTCATTCCACACACACACTTTCAAAAAAAAAATATCATTATCATCTTATTTTTATCATCTTATAGTTAGTAGTTATAGTCAGTAGTATCGAATAAAATATCAATCAATATATACAATATCAAAAACAATTGAAACGCGCTTCTTTCTAGTACACAGTGTATTCTCAGATCTATTAGGTTTATTTACTTTTGCCGTACAATGCTCTAATTCTTGGTGTAACTTTGTAGCCAAATGTTTCCATTTCTTCAAGCACCATGTGGAAGCGGGGATCTTGCTCATAAGCCAGCTTTTGTGCTAAACGAACATAGCAGTGTTCAGGTGGAACAATGTCGTAGCTCTTCATTTCTTCAAGATACACAAATGCGTCCTCATAGTTCTTTTGTGTGCATGAGAGTTCCATCATTTTAGCGTATGTATCCAGGTTGGGTGTGATTTCAGCCTTCTTCATCTCGTCAATCACAACATTGCCCATGCCCTTCATGCGAGTGTGGATGCATGCTTCGAGCACCAAGTTGTATGTATCTACATTGGGTTTGACACCTAATGCATGTGCTTCGCGGTAAGTGGCAACGGTGCGCTCTATATCCTTTGCATCAGCACAGGCTGCAACAACCACGTTGAAAGCAGATATATCCACAGCCTTGTTCTCCTTCTTGAGTTCTTCCAAAATGTAATAGGCCTTGTCAATGGCATCCACATCCTTGTCCAACTGTTTGCGAATAGGTAAAGTAGCACGCAATGTAGGAGACACACCAGACACTCGCATGATATCCAACACATTGAAAGCACTCTTGAGATCTCCCTTGACAATGAACGCTTCCATCAATGGCGTAAAGTAATGTTCTTTATAGGGGTATCCACTCGTACTCAATTGACGGATAGTATCGGTGGCTAGTTTGGTGTTTCCAGTCTTGGCAGCAACTCGAAGCACGTTGAGTAAGGTTCCTTCATCAGGGCGCATAGAATAGGTGCCAATCGCCTTATCCCAACAATAGTTGACAATCTCTTCGCTATCATTGTTGGCTCCCACACGCATAGCATCCAAATAAAGACGAGGTTGAGATTGCACGGGCAAACCAGCGTTCTCTGCCTCCTTCAACACACTGAAGGCGGTAGTTGCATCAGACAAACGAAGCGAGGCACTGATGATGGTAGCGTAACATGACAAGTTGGCTTGTACATTCATTTTCTTCATCTCCTCCAATGTGTCCAAAGCATACTCGAGTTCATCTTGCTTGCACATACCCCTCAGCAAATGGAAGTAGGACGATGTCGTCAAAGGCACTCCATTTTGCTTCATTTCTTCCTTCAAAATGTTTTGCTGTTTGACATGGCCCATATTAGCCAATGTCTCTAATACCAAGTTGTAATTGTCGACAGAGGGTGTCAATCCGTTCTGCTTCATCTCTTTCAAAGTACGCATCACGCCCTCTTGATCTCTGTTGCGAGCATAAGCGGTCAAAATGGCATAGTATGTGGTTTGATCCAATGTGAGGTTGTGTTGCTTGATCTCCTTGACAATGTTCAAAACGTTTTCCAAGAATTTCTTTGGTGCTCCCTTGTGGCGAATTTGATAGTCGAGACGGCTGTGAAAGGTAGCCAGTGGCACTGCAGGATGGCTTTGTTTAATAATGTTTCTTTTGGTGACATTGGCGTTGGCCATGGCTTGCTCAAGAACAGCTTCTCCGTTGCTGGCTTCGGTGCTTGCAAAACGCACTTGTCAAAATAGGCTTGAGTCGCTTTGATGAATGTACCCATTTAATTACTTACTGGAGTTTGCATTTCTTAATGCCCATTGCTTACTCTTTAGCTTTAAAGGCTGTGTAGCTGCTGTGCTGATTCTAGTGAGAATAAGTCTATTCATTGATGATAACTAAAATGAACAAGAAAAAAAAAACTAGGGCAATTAATTTTTGTCTAGGGGTGTGGGGGGGCCATCAAAAGTAGGGCTTTCAATCCAGGAAAGATGGTCGCCAGTCGTGACAGGGTTGCTGTCAAATCAAGGAAGGTATTTCAGATGTCGGTTCGTTTATTTGAGAGGGTATGCTCGAAAATCATAGGTTTGGTGAAATAACTCATAAAGTGTATTGTCATCAACAAATCATGAGCTACGCGACGGTGAATGTCCAAGAGACGATATACGTTTTTAAAGGGTCGATGTATGATGTACATCTGATGCTATTATATACAACTGTGGCGAAAGCAGCCGTTTCTTGAATAACAAGAGTGCCTATTGATATAGGAAATCGTCCCATAGCCTCACCATTTACAGAGCTATACCAGGCTTAATCTATCAGTTTCACCTACCTAAGCATATCCTCGGTCCCTTTCTGTCCTACCCCAGCGCCTCCGGAAATACCTCCTTCAATGATGTGTTGTGGAGTGAACAATTGACGTCTGGCATACCTTACTTGCTATGGCTGCGCGAATTTTGCTCTGTCCCAGACAGTGGCATGTAATAAGCAGGTTTGGCTATATTGTCTTTGCTGCTATTGCTATCACTACTGCCTCCCGCATCATCGTGCAAGAAGGGTTTGTGAGATTTATCGGTGTTGATGTAAAGTCTAGTGAACTCTGATGCTTCCATCTCGTTAGATTCCTATAAAGCTTCGTCTTAGCACCGTATTAAACATAAACAAAATAACACTTACCACTAGGTACTTGGAATGCTTAAATGTGTCTAGAAATGAAGGCAACTGATTTATGTCAGGTGGAAATTGCAGGTTGCGCTGGCTCACAGCAACATATACATAGACACAGTTTATGTACCTTTGAAAATCAAGCCTTAGACCCTCCATCTTTGTAAACTGCGAAAGCCTTGTTCGCTTCAACCGTATCCACTATGAATCATACCAGAATGCTGATTATTTCAAAGCATATAATTTACCATTTGATGCTGAGCAGATAAAAATTAACTCAAGAGTGATGGCGTTGCGATTTGCTTATGAAAACAATTATTTACATCATGTTATAAATGCACTTTGACCGCTTCAATCCAAAGCCATGAACACTTGAACAAATCTCGCTAGATACCCCTCTGGTCCCTTCTTTTAGAAACAATCTACTGATAAATGAAATAAAAGCTGGTTAGCATGAAGTAGGCTTTATGTGAAATTGTAATTCAATCTCAGTATGCCACTAATACCATTTTTCTTACGTGCTTTTGAGCAAAACGACTCACTTTGAGATGCTGTAGCTTCCTCAATTCACATAGCTAATATGCCAAAATTGACGCTCAAAAAATGCAGCATCTTGGCTTTTTAATTATGGTAATATCATATTTAAAGCATGTCTAACTTTGGCCCAATTTGATTCTCGAATTTAACTGTCCAAAAACGGTTTGTTTACGCTTCTCATCTCGACTGGTGGTATACAAAGTCCTAAGCAAATTGAGCAAAATTAATACCAAACAATACGCCAATATGTAATAATTTTTTTAATGCCACTTTCAGTTGTTTTGAATCAGCTAGGTATGCTTTTAGTATGGTTTTCCTCAACAGTTACTAATACACTGCGCAGCAGGCACAGCTATGGCGGGGCCTGAATTGTACCTTTCCCAGATGCTCAAATTCGACTCGACTTTGCATCTGTTGGCCGTTTTTGGCAGATTCGACTATATAAGTCGTCATTCCCATACCGTACTTCTTAAGACAACTATGAGTAACTCATCAAGGCGCTTCCGATGGTGCTAATTACATCAATCTTTATGAATAAAAATATTAAATAAAATCTCAAAATATGAAAAGAGGTTTTGGGCGAAAATGTCGAGATTTTATATACGAAAACCCCATAAAAATGATATCAGGGGTTGCTTTGGACCAAGAGGAACATTTTGATTGCATATATGCTATAACAAAAGCCTTCATTTTCGAGGTCAAAAACGCAATCGTTGAATTTTCAATGATTTTCATGAGGTGTCCCTCATGCTTTTTGGTCGATTTTTGGTCGATGTTTTTTAAGTCCCAAAAAAGTAGAGCAAAGGTGCCAGAAAGTATTCGCTAGACGAGAGCAATTATTTGGTGTTGCTCTGACAGTTTAAAACGACTTCTAACGCGAGAAATCACGGCTTAAATACACCCAAAATGCGCTATGTTTTGCATACTTTTGAGTAGCAAGAGATATATCTTGTCGTAATCAAAGGCAATTATGACTGGCAAGTAATCTCTTACGGTAAAGGTTGATGACTAGGCAAAAGCTCTATTGATAAAGTACTTTGACTACATGAACACAGGACTTACCTGTGCTGATTCATGACTGAGCTTTTATCAAAGGTTGCTGCTGGGAACTAGTCTTTCGAAAGCGGTTTGCCACTGATTCTTGAGCAGTGTATGTATATATCTACAGGTATAATACAAACTTTGATGTAGGTAGTTTGCATTAAAGACAGACTTTCGGTAAAATATATAAAATAGATCCAGATCTGACGCATGGATCACAGGTCTCTAAACTAAGGTGACATCAATAGCTGTGGATATAGGATGTAATCACAAGTGATTACTGCGTTTAGAGGATACAGCACTTTTTAAATCGGTAAGTGAACCATGCTCATAATTATTGCGTTAACGATGGATAAAATAGGATCGCAATATTGAACAAAACCTTCAAATGTTACAAGCTATAACTGGTTCAATGTAAGCTGCCTTTAGATTGCGCATTTGCTGCCTTATTCTACGTACCTCTCGCTAATATCGCCATGTTTGTGGATCCAACTTGACATCACTAGTTTGAAGGAAGCAACCATATTTTTTTCGATCGTTGCTTTTCGGTGATCTTTTTATTGAAACATCTTTATTCAGCCCAAAAATCATTATTGAAAGGAACTGTAAATAGCATCTATATTTCGATGCTCTGTAAAGGTCCCCATTTTGTGTATAAGCGATAGCCATATTCAATTCATTCAGCCTAGAGCATACTGACGACCAAAACACAGCGTCATTTGATGATGCCGAGCCTTGTATGCCTCTTTGCGAGTATAAACCAGGGTTGTATTGAACGGTTGCTCTCAAATCAATGCATCCTTCGTAAAAGCCATTTAAACACAGTAGCCACCATGGTTTAAATCACAAAACATGTACACTGTATTGTCTTGTGATGCAACCCCAAACAATCGATACAAATTGTAATAGATTACAAACCATTATCATGAGTTAACCCGGCCAAATCAAGTCTCTATCAACTCGCTTTTCTGTGTTATACAGAATTTGGCTGTCGAATTTACAGAAAGATTCTCTAGAAGGATATTAATTGGGAAAAATCTTCCCGAGGTCATGTATATTATACAAACATACAGGGGTCAATTGATAATTGGAATGTTTTTTTTGTCTGCCTTTGAAAAGAGCACAGATGTATGATCTGTCTTGTAAGAAAAAATCAGAGGAAATACGTGGGTACAGCATGGCTTCAGTGTATATTCTCTTATCAGTCATGGTAGATGGGTATATTTTTTGACAGATTTCTGTATGAATTACATAATCAAATTAGAATACATTTCATATGTTATAGGGTACTTTTTTTTCCCGTCGTATCATACTCTTAAATTGCCCTTTTTTTTAACCAAATCACTTTTAACATTTCCTGATCTTCTATGAAATTAAAAATAAATTTGATCTCCAGGAAAAATGCCCAGAGTTTCCGTTGTATGTTTCAATTCTTATCAAATCAAAAGACTTCCTTGCTAGACATAGTTGAAAGCCTAATTCGAGTGTAACGTGGAAAAATCTCGGTAAATGCCTTATAAAGTTACAGATGTAAATACCAACGAGTGTGGGGAAACTTGAAACTAGCGGGTAACTGTGTGAATTTGTCGTATTCCATGAATTAAATTCCCATTTGTAAGGCGACACTAAATACTAAATGGATAATTAGAATGGTCTTCTGGTCATATAGTAGTGGTGCAAACAAAACAAATATAGAATAAAGCATGAATAATTTATTAGAAATATAGAAATACAATGGAGCATCTTTTTCGAATGCTATTAATAATGGGGTGAGATATAATTGTATGGTACAGGGTTAGAATTCATCTTCGCGAGGAGGAGGTGTGTGTGTCTTTTTGGCATCCATCTCTTCGTCAGCAATTTGCTGAGAGGGTTTAGGAAGCATAATCTTCTTCACTTGCAAGAAGTGGGCAACCATACACATGAGAACCAAAGCAATTGTCATTCCCATTGTTGTAATTTTACCGGTGCGATAAGCAGGTGCTTCAGTAATTTTCCAGGCTTCGACATTGACAAAGTTAGGAACCAAATTACCAAGAGCGTTGACGATGGCAATAGCTAACGCACGAGTTTCTCGATCGCACGAATACGTCTCGTTAAGCCAGGTCATCATGATAGGAGAGACACCAAAGATAGGGGGAACCATGTAGGCACATACTAGCAAGAGAGCAAAAGGTACATGACCGCCATTAACAGCTACCAGAATGATGTACCAAAGTAAAGTGAACAAGGAACCACCAATGATGTGATAAGCACGAGGGCCCCACTTGTCAGAAAGCTTGCCTTGGATAATAATGACAACACCAACCCAACACCAGATAGGAACCATCATGTAGTTGGCAAATGAAGCACTGTAGCCAGAAGTCTTGAGAATGATGGGCAAATTTTGGAGAATACCCATACCCATTTGCATACAAATGAACATGCCAAGGAACAAGTAGATGAAGGGAGTTGCGAACAAATTACGGAAAGTTTGCATGTTCAATCCAGAGACCAAACCGCTGCGACCTTGGCGCTCGAGACGAAGCATGGCAACTTGACGCATTTCACCCTTAACAAAGCGAGTGTTGTGAGGGAAATCAGGGAGCACAAAGAAACCAGCAATGCCAATGACAACAGCAATCAGACCTTCAATGATAAAAAGCCACTTCCAACCACGCATGCCGTGAGCACCATCCAAACCGCTAGCAATAGCACCAGAAATGAGACCACTGAAAGCACCAGAGACTTGAGAACCAGCGACAAAGACAGCAGTACGAGTACCTAATTCTTCGCCAGTGTACCAGGAACCGAGCAAAAAGACAATACCAGGATAGAAACCAGCTTCGGCTAAACCTAGACAGATACGGAGACCATAAAGACCTCTAAAGTCCTTGACCAAAGCCATGAAGCAAACGACAGCACCCCAAGTGAACACAACCATAGGCAACATGATACTAGGACGCACTTTGGTAATGACATAATTGGCAGGAATTTGCAAGACAATGTAACCGATAAAGAACATGGTGATGGCCCAATTGTACTGGTTACTAACAAGATGCAAGTCCTCACTAAGACCAGTAGTTTGAGCATTTGGCATGTTGTTTCTGTCTAAACCGTTGGCAAAGTAGCCCCAGAAAGCCCAGATCAAGAGACGGTAATCCAGCAAACGCACAAGCTTCTTTTCAACTTCTTTTTCGCGAGCAGGATCATTCAAGATGGTATCTTGCAAGGGAGCAGGTTGATCTACACTACCAACATCCTCGTATTTTTGGCTGTCAACATGACTTTCTACTTTCTCTTGATGTTGCATAATAAGCTAGAAAATCAGAAAGAGAGAGAGAGAGAGAGAGAGAGAGAGAGAGAGAGAGAGAGGAGAATGCTTGTGAAAATGTAACAATGTGAGTTAAGCTTATATAGTTTTCGATCTAGTACAAAAGTCGAGAAATTTCTCCCCGCATTTTACACGCCAATGAATGCAATTCCATGGCTTTTAAACGGGAAACCAAGCTGTGTGGATCAGAATACCAATCAATCATCCGCTACCCTGAATTGGGAATATTGGGAATTCTCGATCTGTGGGAAAACGTTATGCCCTTAAGCAGTTAATATATCAGAAATGGATATTCCCAATCTAAAATGTACAAATTATCTCTATGAAAACGCTCTACTAGTTTGGGTATCTAAATTTGTAGATAAATAGTAGACGAAATCTGGGGAAAAGCATCTTTGCTAGTAGATGTACAAATACGCTGCATCTTCTCATGTTAGTAAGTTCCAAGTAGCACAATAGCACTTGCTGTAGGGACAAAAGGGACCCACATTATTTTATGAAATCCGCCATTACTAATACACTCATTGTTGGGGGGCACATTGACACAGGTTGAGATGCTTCCACACAACCCACATTACTTTAGCTTATGTAATTACTGTTCTCCGAGGAATACAAACAAACAAAAAACCTCTTTATTTTATAATTTACAATGACAAGATATATATATATATATAAGAGTACTATTTAACAATCCCAAGGCTTCTCAACAGTAGCTGCCCATGATCCGCTCTCTGCTTCTTCTTCTATACCCCAGGGTTCAATCTTGGCCTGGTCTCCCCATTGACCATTGGGTTTATCATCGCCCCATGAAGCATTGGTGATATTGATATCGGGTTTCTCTACAGCAGGCTGCTCCCAGTCAGTAGTAGGTATCCAAGGTGCTTCATCGTGCTTATGAGAGTTCCATCCCACTCGTTTTTGCTTCTTCTTGTTCTTTTGAACTAACTTCTGGAATGATGAAGGACCGGCGGATGTAGGTGGTTCATGATGTGTTGTGCGACTGAATTCGCGGCTTGATCTTTTATTGACACTCTGATGATGTCCTCCGCCGCCTCTGGCTCCTCTATTACCTCTATTATCAAGCCGTTGGGGTGGAGGTGTATATGTGGTCTGAGGTAAATTGCTGTGTAAATCATCCATGGCAAAAACATCGTCATTTTGTTGATGTTGCTGATGTTGATGTCTATGGTTTGGAGGATTGTAAGACGCTCTTCTTTGTCTAGGCTGTGGAGGAGGCGTTTTTGCTTGATACGAAGGTGATTCATAATGATGTCGACCCATAGGATTAACATTGGTATTTGGTCTGGGCATGTCCGCACGAGTGGGTGGCGTGCTGTCCTTGTCGATATCTTGAAGCCATTTACGCTCTGTATGTCCACCAAAGGGCGATCTCACGACAGCCGAGTACTTTCCACCGTGAATCGATTGAGATAGGAACTGTCTCAATAAATCATAGTTGGGCTCCTCTGCGAATCGTAACTTTCTAGCGTATTCAATAAACTCCAAAAATCCCTGTGGTAGGCCTGCACATAGATCGGCCATAAACGTATCTTCCTTGATCTGCTTCATTCTATCCCATCCAGCACGAGAGTTGCGTGCCTGGATGCCTGTCCAAGGCAATGTCCCAAATACCAAATCCAGCAGTAAGTAGCCTAGACTCTCTATATCATCACGACGAGCATGCGTTTTTCCTCGATGAACATTCAATGACGCATATCTTGCTGTTCCTGTCTTGTTCTTGATGTTTCTTTTGACCTCTGGGTAAGGCTTGTCTGTGCGAGGATCTCTCCACCATGTCGTCAATCCAAAGTCGACAATGTAGAGCTTGGGATGCGGTTCATTCCACTTTTTAAAAACCTCTTCACACGTTGGATGTACGTACTTGATATGTGGCATACCGTGATCGTCGGATATTTCGACCATCTCTGCTTCAGGCAAATGGCATTTAGACGAAAATAAAAAGTTGTCTGGCTTAACGTCTCGATAAACAAGGCCTCGTTTGTGAATGTGCTCTAATATTGTCACCTAAATAGCTGGTTAATTGTTTTTTAATGCAGATTGTGTGAGAAGGCTTGTTACCATTTGACAACCAAATTCAACGACAGTGTCGATGGAAAAGGTTTGAGTCGCTTCTTTTAGCTGATTCACGTTGGGCCCTAGCAGGTCGATAACGATGCAGTCGAATCCTTCATGTTGGCCATGCCAATGGCACTGTGGGATGCCAGCTAAAATGAAAATACGTCAATGCATTGCTTGCCCGTACTCAAATTTGAAATACACTTACGTCCGCCAGCCAATGCATCATAAATGATGCTTTCATGCTTGATTTGAGGATGGCGCATTTTGAGAGGTTCTCTCTTGATTGCGTAGCGTCTAAAAGTATCAATGTCTTCAGCTAGTTTATATAATAAGCGTAAGTCATACTATGCTTGCCATCTTTGATAGATACACATTTACCTTCAAATACTTCACCAAATGAGCCTTCGCCAATACGCCCCAGCACGACCCATTGACCGGCGATAATCACATCTCTGCTGTTTGCACTTAGGTCTGTACGAGTGCTGTCAAAAGAAGCATATTCAATGTTTAGACCATTGTTATAATGCTTGTCCATTGTAGAAGACGCTTTCAAGTGATTTGTGTCGACGGAACGGGACAAGTAGCCTTGGGTTCTCAAATTTGGCTGTTTAATATGAAAAGGACTTGACATTTAAACAGGAATAGAGATGAGATTATCTTGAAGTGTTGTTCATATATTTATGTAGATTAAGCAAAAGAAAAATTTCTTTTAGAAAAAAATAGTACTCGCCTTTTTTTCCATATTTATTCGAGCCACGTTAATATGATGCTTTGCTCCTGAGTGTGTATTAGCTGAAGGCATGAATTAGAGCCCAGGCAAGCATCAGTTCCCATCTTTCTCGAGCTCATTTATCGCCAAACTTGAAGAGGCCTTGGGCTCAAACAGGCCTACAAGTACAGTAACGGCTGCTTTTGGTCAATATGCTATCCAATGCGTGCAAATCATCATTTAAAGCATCGGCATAGGAATTATTGGAAGGAGTTCAATGTCCCTTTATTCGACTCCCTCAAGGCACCAATTGCTATATATCCTGATCTCTTTCACTTCTTTCTCGCTATTCCTCTCTTTTTTCTTCTTCCCACTTTTTCTTCCTGTCTCTCCTATTCTGTTTATCATAATCAATATGCTCCATGTGCAAGAATCATTCATCAATTCTAATCTACTAATGACTCCACCGATGACCGTCATTGTTCAACCTCAACCAAGCAGTTCATCCAGATCAAGTAAAGTGATTGAGCAGTTGGTCAACAAGTATGAGCTCATCCAAAAAGACTTGGCTGCAACAAAAGCACAGGTGATTTATAAGCTTATAGTATGCGTACTTCATCTAATAGTTAGAGTAGCTCGAAATCATCCGTCAGAATAAATTAAAGCATGAAAAAGACACGCTTAATTATACAAACTCCAACAAAGTGTGTCGAAACCGCATCAAAGAGATTATGCAAGTACTCGAATCAAAGCAGAAAGCGTTAGAAGGGACAAAAGGATCATCCTCACAGCTCGAGCTTAAAGTGAAACAATTGAAAGATGAAGCATTGGCATCAAGACGGCAGCTGGAGGATCTAAGAAGAAAAGAACAAGTGCTTGAACATGACCGAGACACTTCAGTCAAAAAGAAGAACCAGATCAAATACAAGCAGCATGTGCTACAGGACTCCATTGATCAGCTCTGTGTTCGCTGTAACAGAGAAGTAGCTCTATTACAGAAAGATCATTCCATCCTGGTTGACCAAGCACGCTACATTACTGAGAGAAACGAACATATGGTTGAATTAATTAGCTTGAAATTAAAGCAACGTCGTCAACACATTGAACACTTGGCATTGATGAAGAGACAACTTAGGTCGAATACGGAAGCATTTATGCAAGATGTAAGAAATCATCTGCAGGCTTTGAAAGTGGAGATAGACGACTCTGCATTGCATACCAAAGACTGCGCGGTGGCTGAAATCCAATGTCGAGGTGAAGTCAATGGCCTGGTTACAAGAATCAAGACAATTGCTGCTGAGATAACTGCTTCTGAAGAGCAACAACAACAACAACAACAACAACAACGATAATTTCATGTTTAGCCATCTTACTAGCATTTAGCATCCATAATCATTCATAATAATAACAGCATCAAACCATGCGACCATACTCTTGCTCTCCTATTTCTATATTTATTATCTACATTTGAACTGTGCTCCTGTATTTGATCCTTGTATTTGTAGACAACACAAAACCAATTGCACTTGAGTTGAGTATTTGTTCTACATATATATGCTACTACTATAATCTTCATATTAGGCCTAGTGTCAACATGTACACCATAGTAGAATAAAATCAGCATGAAATATCATCTCTAATATATACAGTGAACTGTATATCCTGAAAAACTAACGTCGGAGTAACCAATCAGAGATCAACAGCCCCTTCCCCAAGAACATACGCATCTAATTCAACATTTGTTAGCATTGACCTACTGTACAAGAGGGGCTTACCGTAGCGAAGCCAAGTTGCAAAACAATGGCAACTAAGCATGTAATCCATCATTTGGTAGCATTGATTTATATGAAACCCTTATCGTATCAAAGCGAAGTTGCAAAACCATAGTATTCAAGCAATAATTTTGGTTACTCACTTCCATTATTATCAAGCCTACCCAGCAACATAACGTATCAAAATTTGCATGAATTAGTCTTACCAAAATCAATAAGCCTTCTATTTGAGTTGAAAATTGCACAAGCTGGAGAACTTCCCTTCCAGAAAATTTCAGCTACCAAAGATGTGATTCATGCCGTGAAAATAAACGTTATAGAGCAAAGATATAACCAAATTTGACATCTTTCAAGCCCTCACATCTTGGCCTATAGGCCTTTATGAGCCTTCGGAATAACGCCAAACAACGATACGTGAGCAGTAATAACTTCCTGGCACGTTTGCTCAACTCTTTGGGTCAAAAAAAATGGCCAAAAATTGATCAAAAAGCATGAGGTATCCCCTCATGGTTTTTTACGAAAATCAAACGATCGCATTTTTGACCTTGAAAACGAAGACTTTTGCTATGGTGTATATTGACTCAAAATGTTTCTCTCGACCCAAAGCAACCTCTGAAACCACTTTTAAGAGGATTTCATATGCAAAATATGGCTATTTTCGCTAAAAACCTCATTTCATATTTTACCAAATTGCTCAATAAATTCAGTCAAAATACCTATTACAATTAGCACCATTGGAAGCGCCTTGAAAAGTACTTCAAGAATGTATTAGGAAGCGTAGGGTGATCATTACAGTATATATAGTCGAATCTCACAGAATAGATTAAAGAAGTCGAAAAATAGACAAAATCTGTCCAATCTTGAACAGAAAAACAACCTGAGTTGGAATTAATTTTTGGCGGCGGCCTTGCTACTGGCTGACCCAAATGCCTTTCTGATGATGACAATGATGATTGCCATGCTGACTAAATGGGTATCATCAATTTGAAAGGACAATTGCTTGGCTTGAATACCTACTTGATATAGCAAATTTTTATTATCTTTGAATTGAAATGTCTTTGGCGGGAGCCCGCAGGGCAACGCCGTCATCGAGCGCAGCGAGATTGGTCGGCTAGTAAATGCATACAGGTAGAAGTATCAGAAAAAAGAAGGGCCTTTCTTAGAATTAAGTTACCTCCTGAAAGAATAGGCTTGCACAATGTATATTGCATGTGCTGGCCACGAACACGTATTCTATAAAATCAAAGTCTTCTGAAGGTTCATGGAACTGCCTATGGGTGGCTATCACAACGCGCGCAATGGCCAGCTAAAACCTTTTTTGGGCCAGCTCTGAAGAAGTGGGTGTATGGCCCTCTCGATGGATGATGGGAAAATCTGAATATCGCAAGACAGCTTGAAGAGATTAGACCTTAACCGCGCTGAAAAGCTCCTAAACCAGTACAACTGACGAGATACTTGCAGGCCATTTGGACTACACAATCTTCGTCGCGTTCTTGCTGAAATCTATTCAATTTCATCTCTCCGCGTTGTTGTCCATCTATCACAGGGATATAAACATTCAAGCCTGCGATTACTTTGGCTCCAAAGTTTTCTTATTGCTCATCTGCAAGCAAAACTGCCGGTACTATAGTTGTTGAGGATTAAAGATCACCATCTGTCATGATGCCATTGCCTATACCTGCATCATTCGAACCATCAACATCATCACCATTGTTGCATTTCAAGACGAGCAGCGTTTCTCGGTCGCTCGAGAGAGTATCAAGATGATCAAAATATATTGGTTGCTTAAAACAACAACTGCCTCTTGGCTTGAAGACACTTACAAATGTAGGTAATAGTAGTAATAGAAAGAGAACACACGTTTTATTGCTCTACAATGAGAGAAGATAGGTGTTACTTATCTGTAGCAAGGAGGTGTAGTTCAAGTCAGTAAAGGCTGATAGATCAAGACGTTGGAGTAAATTTCCGTGTCTTTTTTTCTATTCTCTGTCTTTCTGCTGAGGATGCTACTACTAACGGGATAAGATGTCGAAAATAGTGATGTCTTTAAGAGCTTTATACCTGGGCAATTACTAAATATATGTGCATCAAAACAACCACCTGTACCGGATATTCAAGCTATTCCGAAAACAAATAGACCCCAACAAAAGGTCAACGTTGATGATTGACTCTATCAGCAGTTGCAGTTCACATTCTGTCCCATCATCCTACCTACTTTTCTCAATCACAAGCAGCACTTTTCTTCTTTTGCCTCTACATATCCGTATTTAATGACGGTCATATGCCTGTAACCAAAACCTAGATCTCTCCTCCGAGCATGTAAAACATATAAAGAGATGACAAATGACGGCATGTGAGAACCTTGCACTAAGCAGTAAGGTTACACGGTACAATGCAGCTTGAGCTTAATTCAAGGTTCTTTTACCCGGGGAGGTGAGGAGCATGCATCATGCACAAGATTCCTGTACTATGAGATATATATATATATGTGATATGATCCAGTTGAAGGCTGGTGTTCATATACTATCAGCTATTAGAGCCATTGTATGTACCTGTCTGAAGAAAAGCGTCCATTATCTGATCTTGGAAGCTTAGATAGACACACAGTTCAAGACTTACCAAATGAAATTCAAACTAAACAAGATCAGATTAGAGGAATTGCAAGATGGTTGGTTTTGTGACACTGATATATTTAGGGATCAGATTAAAAAAATGTTGTTATAATGTGAATACAATAGCTGGTTCCCATTTTTTTTTTTTTTTTTTTTTTTTTTTTTACAACATTCTTTTCATAAAAAAGACACATTCTCGGTGACAAAACCAGAGTGATATATACAATGGGTAGAATTGAACAGCCGGATTTGACATGGTGGAACGTGGGAGAGGCATCGACAGCTGTACTCATTGCAGGTAACTGAAATCCATGGCACCTATAGATGGTTCCTAGAAAAAACCACTTTTTGTTTATCAATGTCTATACATGTTTAGCCATTGTCAGTTTATGCCTGGGAACCAAATTGGAATTATCGTTGATTATCAGTGGCATGCGATGTGTGGTGCAATTGTCCTTGATGGTAAGTGTTTTTCTTGATCACTGTCAATGTGTATACCAAATGTTGAATGGGATGTTTGGTAGGGCTTCATCTTGGATGATGTTTTAAAAACACAACATATGAGTGTGGTGATGGCCATGTCAGGTAAGCAATCACTGTCTTGTTTTTGTTTATATTTGATTAGCTAATAACTGTCTGTAGTGGTTTTTGTTTTACTGGGTTCCTATGAAACTGTATTTAACCGAACAAAAAAAACATTCAAGGGCATGGTAATACAAAGTCTAAGTACTAGTGCTGATCCTGTTTTTAGCTAAATCCAACCTCATTAGTTTCCTGTCATGTTTGGCATCTTGTTGATTAGTAATCTCTTCATCACGTATATCGGTACCGCATTTGTCTTGAAAGCAGATCCATTTTGGGATCCACCTACATTTGTACCTGTCATTGGCATGTTGCTAGGCAACTCAATGAGTAGTGTTGCTATGGCAACGGAACGCTGTTTGGATCAATTTAGCACACACGCGCCCATGCTGGAGACAAGACTATCTTTTGGTGCTTCAAGATATGAAGCTTCATTACCGCTGGCGGTGGAAGCTATCCGACTTGCATTACTCCCGGTTATTACCCAGTTAAGTGTTATGGGCATGATCAATATTCCTGGTATGATGACTGGTCAAATCATGGCAGGAACGCCAATGATGGAGGCCGTCATTTATCAACAATGTATCATGTTTATGATTGCGGCAAGTAGTGGTTTTGGTGTAGTCATGTCAGTTGCTGTAAGTATGAACTTAGAGTTTGTATGATCCTGTATACTAAATCTATCGCCTAGGCTTGTATGAGTATACTGATCGACAAGGATCAAAATATGAGACATGATCGAATCTTGAGCAACAAATCTTTCCATCAATATTTCCCTTTCAAGCGCCTCCGCCATGCATTCTTATGTAATTGCAAAATTGTCAGTTGCTGTTGCAGTAAGACAAGAAAACCACGTAAATCGATATCAGATGAAGCATAGAACTCATCTCGTGCAGATACAATTATCATAGACTTTATACATAGTACATTATACCTTACATTATTTCACACTCGTGGCCATTGAATCATCCTACTCCTGCTACAGCCTCCATTTTCGATCGATATGGATTGTTACCAAAATAAAAATAAAAAACAACATTATTAAAATCATTCTTGATAAACTCGCTCTAATGGAATGCTTCATATTTCAAATGCTTAGAGTTAGCTATCCTAAATTGTCATATATATAATCAGCATTTATTGCTAAACTCTCATCTTTTCCATCTGATAACAGCATGGTTAAATCAAGAAAACTCTTATTTCTCAGTCTGGTCTCCAGTGGACATGCTGTATTTGCCAATTACATACCACGATCGCTCAGCGAGGTTTCATCCTTGTTCAGCGCAACAAGTAGTAGCAGCAGCATTCATCACTCTCTCAAAGCGCAACCCTCACCTTCACCTTCACAATTTATATCCCATGCTGGCACTGAACAAGCATTGCCATTAAGCCTGAGAGAGTCTGCTATCATGCAAGTCGCAAACCATGGATCCAGTAAATATAGTCATAGAAATATAGCTTCTATATACTAACAACATGATAGACAACACCAAAGTTGTCATTTATGATTATGATGTTCAAATTGGCGAGACAAGCCTGGATTCAACCTCTCTCAACATTTCATTAGGAGCATCTCATAAGCTCAATATGGAGTTGCTAAGTTTGGATGCTGGTGAACATATTTTGTACTTAATCCCTCGCTACAACAATGGATCTCATGTGTCATTAACACACATCAATGCGGATGTGCGTCTGTTGCCAAAGACAGAGTCGCGTATTATCAAGAGATGGAACAGCATTGAAGGCGGCAGCGCGGATACCGCGGATGCATCTTTTAACGCCATTGTTGAATGGACAATTGATCCTGAACAAGATGAAAACGATGATTACAAGCATGAAAAAGAGCACGATGATGACGATGACGAAGACGACGAAGATGATGAGGGTGATGAGGAGGATGAGGGTGATGAGGAGGATGAGGAGGATGATGAAAAATCCTGGAAATGGGACAACGGCTCAGGTTGGAAATTGCAGCCCAAGAAATATAGACTGCACAATAGGATTGTCAAGGTCTTTGTTCCTGCAACTGTTTGCCCAGTCCCCCCGTTACTCAGCATCGTTCCTTTCATATCACCCACCAGTTCTGCACCTATCTTTCTCAATTCAGAATCATCATCCAGCTCTAGCACCATTGAATCCTCCAGTTCCTCCTTAGCAGAAATAATGGATATTATTTCACAGAACCAGCGTCATCTACAATAACCAACCCCATCAGCTCCTCCTCGACTCCAAATCCTACGCCTGCATCTTTGCAATTGCCCTCATTTGTAATCACTCCTAGTTCTAGTTCGTCCACTACAGACCATCCTGAATCCATTATCGAGAAGGTGATTACCCGTACCGAAACCATTGAAGGCAACGTAGTAACAGTGATTGAAGAACGCAGCATTACAGTAACGAATACCGAAGAAATCACTGTGCCCGTAGAAAGAGCCATCAACAGCACTGAGAAGGAAACTATCGTTGCCAACACCATCACATTTACTATCGATACAGTTACACAGCCAGGACAGACATTGACTCAAGCAGGCGCTACCGAAACTGTTGCTGGTGCCACTGTGACAGTAGCGGGCTCTCCCGTTACCTATGTTGCTCTCACAGAAACTGTGCAAGGTCCTGGTAAAACGCTCGCCAAATTCATTCTGCAGCAGACGACCAAGACCACTGTGCTGACACAAATCAATGACCTTGTCACCGTGACTCAGACACAAATCAGCCCAGTGTATGAAACTATGTATGGCTCAACATCCACTCGAACTGAGAATGTTATTGTTACAGTCATCCGCCCTACTACTACCACTGTTACATTTATGTAGACTAAAATGCTCAAATCACCATAGAGCTTAATAAAATTAATTTATATCGAGATAGCATCGAGATGTAGTAGTGTTCTGAGAAGCAACCCATTTGATCACTGGTTTCTATGTGAATCGAGATCGATCTTTATTGTCAAGAAATGCCTCAACTATATATATTTATCCTGTAAACAAAACATTCAGCAATGCAACTTCAAATCGATGAAAGCTATGATAGAGCCTTAGTATACAAGCTGAAAACCAAAGATTGCGGCAACATGCATACAGTATGGTTTATTGGTATAAAGTTTGATCAATGATAAGCAGCCTAAAGATCTTTGAAACTATACAAAATGCCAGATTGTATGATGACTGCAGGGTTGGCTATAAGCTACATCAAGCCGTGTCATACTGCAATGCCACTAAAAAGTCAGCACCCCAAGGTATCGTATTTCCCTTGATACCCACTCGCTTCCAACACAATCGAGGTACACCCACATCCACCAAGTACAGATCGCCCGTAATGTTCGATGACTTGCAGCCTGTCTTTGGCGCACCGAGACAAATAGTCCATTTGGGGTGAATGGTATAGTCAGGGTGATGAGGGATGCCTGTGCTTGCATCGATGCCACTAGGAAAATCGATAGAGAGCACGGGCTTGGGTTGCCTGTTGGCCCACTCAATCGTGTTACACACAATATCAAAAGTAGATTGATCCTGAATGTCTATCAGCTTGTCATCCACACCCAATATAGCGTCCACCACTAGATCCGATTCACCTAAATCCGTGACAGTATACGTAACGACAACACCAAAGCGACTTGCCATAGCCTCATATCTCATCACAGCGTTGCATAGGTTTTCCTTGTTGGCAGTGATACAGACTGTCACCAGACATCCATGATTGACCAAGTGACGAGCAGCTACCAGACCTAATGCACCGTTCTTGTTGTTGCCTGCTAAAATCACAACAGAAGGAGATACAACATCCATCTTGCTCAGCACTTGTAGAGCTAAAAGAGATGTACCTCGACCGCCATTCTCAATAGCCAGTTCTCCAAAAGAGTCCGATACCTGGACGCATTCATGTTCTACGTGCGCCATTTGAAGGGGAGACACCGAAGGACATGCAATGCCTCCTACTGCAGTGACAATGCTGGTCGTCTTGCTGTTGTTATTGCTTAATCTCTTGAGTGGTAGAGATTTCCTCTTGATTCTCCTTGCAAACTCATCAGGCGTTTGAGAGTCGTCGTCGCTTTCATCGCCAAATTCACCCTCATCATCATCGTCGTACTCTTCTTCCTCCTCCTCATCTTCATGGTACACGTTTCGCTCTACCTCCAGCACGTTCTCGGTGGGTAACAAGTTGACCTTCTTCTGTGGTAATCTATTCAGAGTAACAAGTAGCTCTTCTGGTGCTGTCTTGTCCGATTCCTGGAAATTGACCAAAAAAAAACATAAGCATGATATGATCCTGTTATTAGCACTATGGAACCTACTCTAATCTCAGCAAACACCTTGGCCTTATCAAACATGTCTAAATTCTTTTGGAAATCAAATTCTTCCTCTCTAAAGATGTCCACATCTTCACCAGCCCAGCCGTCTGAATTTCGTTTACGATACGCTTGCTGCGATGGCTGCTGTGATGCCGATGGCTGTGGTTGCCTGGACTTTCGGTCTAATGCAAAATGTCAATTGGCTATCCATGCGTCGTGTGCAATTTCAGTTTTCACTTACTTTTCGATACAGACTTTACTGGCGTCAATATCTATATAAATAACCCGGGGAAATTTAATTACTATTGTCCACATGAACTAGCCAGAGCTGGGGTAAGCAGTAATTACCTTTTCAGAGTATTGCTGTTGTTGTTGTTGTTGAGGAATAGGTGGGGGTAAATTCTCAAGTAGATGGTTATCCAGAGATTGGATCATGTTGGGATTGACAGTGGGTGATTGCTGAGGCTGACTAGTAGGTACTGCTGCTGCTAGCACTTGGAGATCTGTGATATCCTTACCAACAACGCCATAAACAGGTGTATAGTGTGGTGGTTGTCCCGAGAAGAACAGGGTTACTAAATGCTCATTAGCATTCGCTCTCACACACACAATTACACACACACACACACACACACACACACACACACACACACACACACACACACACACGCTCTCTCTCTCTCTCCCTCTCTCTCTCTCCAAAGAGCGACTTACCATCTTTCAATGTCATTTGCTGTGTTGTAGGTTCAATATGCGATACAGTGCCTTCTAGTTTCACACCCGTTTGCAGCAATACTGATACTTTTAACCCTAAAAAAGCTTCTGCCATGTTTTTTTTTCTCGAGAAATGTGTATAGGTGTTGTGGGATGTAGGAGAGAAAGAAAGAGAAGAAAAAAAAGTAGCGCGTTATTTTACCATGTAGTAATTATAGACAGAGTACATCATGTCCGATACACACACAATTAGGGAACCAATCAGTGAAGCACGAAAGATCAGCCTTTCCTCATGTCTTAGATGTTACAACTCGATTAGAAAAAAATCCTTTTTTTTGCCCTTGCTTCTCTTGAGAAATCTTTTGTAAACTAGACATTTTAATAATGGATTTTAGCTCTTTTGACCTTCAAGATGATGGAGATCTATTTAAGCAAAACTTTCAGCTAAACGCCGATAACAGCAATAACAGCAATAACAGCAATAACAGCAATAACAGCAATAACAGCAATCAGATTCAAGACAATACTGATTTCCTTCATTTTATTTGTGAAAATAGCGCTCAAATCCATGGCAATTTCCAGACGCATCAACATCAGCATCAGCAGCATTCTCATGGCTCTTACTCAGTGCCTCAGCTCAGTCCCGATGGACAAGAAGGTAGCTTTACTAATAGTAGTGTCTTATCAGGACACAACCCAGAGTTCAACATGTCCCCTCTGCAAATCGCATCGCACAGTACTCCACAGAACAACAGCAATAATAACAGCACTAATACGATGATTCAATCCTATCACACACCAATGCAACATCCAGTGCAGCAACAGAATATGCCATTAGAAGACTTTCAGGATGAAGAGGTAACTATAGAATGTAGCGTCGCTGCTGCCATAGACTGATGCCGGGCATCTAGGAATTCTTCACTCCACTAGTATCACCAGCCATGGCACCCACTTACAATGATCATACTTATCAATCACTCAACGGCATCAAAAATCATGAAAACATCTTTTCACCGCTTTCATCCCCTGCCTTGAACCCTTCGCCCTCGATTGGAGATCAATCCACACTGCAACAGAAACTAGCCTTCATCGAAAGACAGCAGCAACAACTTCGGAATATGCACAATCAATTAAGACCTGCTGTATCAAAAGCATCGCCCATCCTAAAGAGTACAAACGGCTATACAAGCCCTCTGGTTAACTTTTCATACGATTCAAATAGCAACAGCAGTACGAAAATGAATACCAAAAAAGCCCTGCAGCAAAAAATTGCCATGTCTAGTCCTCAATTCAATGGTAGTCCAAGAAGCTTCGCTATACCAAAATCAACGAAACCAATGGAAAGCCCTTTAGCTTTAAAACCTCTCACTCCTCATACATCCTTTGTCAACAAATCTCCAGCAAAATCAACCAATACAAGCTCGAGTAGCAGCAGCAATAGCGACTTTATTGCTCCCGCTACACCTTCACTGTTAATGAGGCTTGGAGGTGGAGGAGCAGGCAACAACAACATAACCTCTTCACCATCCAGTGTACCTACCATCTCGTCCTCAGCTGCTGTCGACAATATGCCTGTGCTTCCAGCTGCCATGCTCGAAGACGCTCCTTCTTCCAGCAAATCAAAGCCTGAATCATCTAAACGTCGCCGCATTTCTCAACAATCTGCAGTGTTTTCATCTCCCGGTTTATCACCAAATGACAATAATAGCCTCATCTCCCCTGCTGGTCCTCGTCCTCAACAATCCCCTAGAGCACTGAAGCCCCTGATCTCTCCTTCTTTACATCCCAACGGCAAGAGACTTTCTACTATCGAGGAAGAAACGGCTCGTGCCCTGCTTACATCTAAATCAAACTACGAAAATCTCAAGGAAGGCAAGGCAAAGAGTCTAGGCATCGATTTCAATACAACCATCCAATCTGGCATCGAAAATCGTCGTTCAGCACATAAAGCAGCCGAGCAAAAACGCCGTGACACACTCAAGCAGAGTTTTGATTCATTGCGTACCGAGATTATCGAAGCTATGGTGGAAGAAGAAGCGGAAGATGTTGTAGATGTAGAGGAATTGCGTAACACAAAAGAAAAAGATGTCAAACAAATGAGCAAAGTCGTGCTACTGCAGCATTCGTATGAATACATTTTACGACTCAAGAACGATAATAAGCGCAAAGATGAAAAACAGGCGCAAATGCGTCAAGAACTCATGGCGTTGCGCAAACAGTTGGGTTTGCCTGAAGTGACAGAAGAAGAGAGAGCTCAAGAAGAGAAAGAAAAACAGGATGAAAAGGATAGAAAAGAAGCTCGACTGCAACGTTTGGAAACGGCCGCTGCTGTAGACGAAGGTAGCAGTTGATCATCTTCATCATTTAATACTGTACATTGCATTTTATACACATCTTTTCGCTTTTAATCTCTTGTAATCCAACGCTATATCATATTATAATAAATGTTCAGTCCCTAGACACTTTTGCAACCCTAATATGGAAAATAAGTTTCAAGGAATCTGTCAGGCCAGGCTCATATCATCATCATAACATAATAAATGTTCAGTCCGTAAACACTTTCAAAGCATCAAAAACGAAAGAAGTTGATCCAGAAAGTATTTTGATAGACTAGCTCTATTAAATATAGAATGCAAGAAAAATAGCATGGATAACGATAATGCTATGTAGTTTGTCATCTACCTTTCATACGTTTCAAAAGCATCTATTACTGTATTGCCTTCATAATGGAAAGGGCATTGAGGAGTCTGTCAGCCGGCCCCACCAGCCGCCAAAGTTGATTCAAACCCAGAAAATTTTATCTGTCCAAGATTGGTCAAAACTTGCCTTTTTTCGACTTGATTGAACTTTTTTGTGAGATTCGACTATATGAGTTGTAATGATCATCCTTTGCTTCCTAATACGCACCTTTCTTTCGTCTAAATTGTTTTTAGGGCCTTTTAAACCCCGAAAACAACATCATCAAGCAGTAAAGATCCAAACAAAACCGACAACAAACACAGCTACAACAAGCCAGTCAGGTCTGTCAAGCCAGCCGACACCTACCGTTACCTCCAACTCCCGTCTTACTTTAGCCAAACAGACGACAACCGGCAACCGAACCTCTAAACTTCCCGTTGCTTCTAGGAAGCGGCGTCACTCCACTATCAAAGCTACCACGGTACCTTTACGTAGATCACCGCGAAGCCAAGCACCTACTGACTTTATGGACACTATGAATATTGCAACACCCGTTGCTCCTGCCCCTACAACCGCTCCCACCAGCTCCACTATCAATATGGTCGTTGAGCCTTCCACTAATGCGATCAACCCACCTGCCTTCCTTGAAGGCATGAACCCACCTAAACCAGACGAAATCCATCAGTCTCCCCTGATGCCCACTTGGATTCAGGAGATCTATTCACGTCTTGCCTCTGTCACCACTCACTTGCAGACTCACGACTCACAACTGGAACAGAACCAAGCTTTGATCAAACAGACTCAAGAATTGATCAAAAAGAACCAGGAACTCCAACTGGCTTTGGATAAAGCTCACCACGAGATTGCGCAACTCAAGTCGGCTGCCAATCAAACCTCGACACCTCCATCTGCTACTACGCCGGTGCTCGAAAGGAGCTCCGAGGGCACCTCAGCCTCTCTATGGGCAGATATGGCTGCCAAACCACCAGCGGATGAATCAGCTCCAGCCGTTACTAAACGCAAGGAATCCAAGCCCAAGGCTTCCACTTCCACCAAACCAGCTCCCAAGGCCAAAGCCAAACGGCCATTGACTTTAGAGCAGGTTAGCCGGTTCTACTCTCTTCCCTCGACGACCCACGGTTACCAATTCCTGTACTTCACCTCTCGTGGACGTGAAGCCATCTCGAAAGTCCGTGCGGGTTTCCAGGTGCTTGGTTTATCTCAAAGCCGCATTCTTGATATCCATTACCCTACTAATAACATCATTAGTTTCTTAGTTCACAACGACTATGCCTCCACTGTCGTGGAAGCAATGGCTCAACTCCCTGACTCTCAACGGATTACCGACTTCGACCCTTGTGCACCCACCATCCTCAGGGATCCCAAGTACGCCAACCATGCTGATCCGCTCTTTTTGCAGTCTGAGGCGGCCCGCATTCACCAAGAACGATTGCTCCGCATGATTAAACGCCTCAACACTCCCAACATCAAATTGGCCGTCGCTCGCGACTTCTGCTTCAAACGTAAATGGATATCCGAGACTATGTATCAAACATTTTACCGTGAGATCTACCCTGCCAAGGCATCCAAGACTGCCTCATCTTCTTCAACGGATGATGTTAACATGGATGATGCTCCTGCTTCTCAAGATTCTACTTCCCAACCTGCTGCCTCCCCTTCCTCTATTAGCCCAGCTGACGGCGTCTCAGCCCCCTTGGTCTAATGAGTACTACTTCCTTTGAATCACCCAACTATGCGAATAATATGCCCCATTATGACACGAATACTAATTCTTTTATGCACAATCACAATCTAAATATAGCTTCCTTGAACTGCCGCAATCTCGTCAAAGCATCTACGCCCGAGATTAGCTCTGACTTCATCCGATACCTCCGTTCCTTACATTTGGACATCCTCTGTGTTCAAGAATCGCATGCAGTCGAGGCAGTTCAAGATCAACTCAATTTACAATTTCAAGCTCATGACACCTTATGGACCCAACATTGTGGTATTATTTCATTCAATCCTTTAATTCAATTACATTCGTTAGACTTAGATCTAGATCAACGCATCATTGCCTGTAAGGTTGTCCATGCCAATGCGTTGTTTCCACCCTTTACGCTCCTTAATGTTTATGCCCCAGCCCAGTACTCACCCCGAGTTCGGTTCTTCAGAGACCTACTTACGTTGCCCCTTTTCGACATTCCTTCTTCAACCTCTCGGGAATCCCTATCCTCTTTATCTACCTTGCTCGATTCTGATCCTTCCAATCTTTCTCCTATGCTTCTGATGGGCGATTTCAACTACCATGCTACCTCCTATCTGACCGACGATAGTGATGATCCGGAACTTGATACTAACAATATTACTTCAGGAGCTGCTATTCACAGACACTTCCACCGACTCATCAATACCCACCTCTTTGAATGCACTCATTCCAGGGAAGAGGGTCCTCTATTACCAACCTATCGTAGACGAACTGGTCAATCTACTATCGATTACCTTTATGCTTCTAATTTCCTATTTCAACATCTACATTCGTCTGAAATTATGTTCCTTGACTCCTCCTGGACGGATCATGCTCTACTACGGGCTCGATTTGTCTTTTCTTCGGATCGTCAGGGATCAGGCCTTTGGCGTGCTAACCCAAATCTTTCGACTAACCCATATTTCATTGACCAACTGTTTACAGCTCTTGATGACTTTTTCAATACCTTGGAGATCTCTGCCTCTATCGATATCGCCGCCTCTATTCCTCCTGCTTCCCCACAGGACAATTGGGATGCTCTCAAAACCTTGGTCCAAGAAATTGTTCGTCGAGTCAGTCGTGATAGAAGTAGTGCCTTGGGACGTCAATGCAAACGACTCCAACGTAAACGCAATCGCATCTGTCGACAATATACAGATCCTCGGATCCGCGCTCCTCTACTCTCGACTATTGAAAAGCAGATAGGTATTCTTCAACGGGAGATAGCTTCCAACTTACGATTACGTGCTGGTAAACATTGGCGCGAGCAGGGAGAAACCTCTGCCGGATACCTCAAACGTACCATTGCCACTCGTGCGGTCAAAAAGGCGATTACTAGCCTCATCAATCCAGTTACTAACTCATTATGCACTGACCCCTCTTCAATGCAGACAGCAGCCTCTAGTTTCTATGCAACATTATACTCCTGTGATGCCGTGGATTCAGCGAGTATCGACTCTCTGTGTGCCACTATTCCGGATTCTGACACCATCGCGGATGCCGATCATGATACCCTTCAGCAACCTTTCACCATTGCCGACTTATTGACTGGTACTCATCGTACCAAGTTCCAATCCAGTCCTGGTATCGACGGTTTACCTTACCCCATTCTCAACATTATCTTCAACCACCAGAAGGCCGCCCAACTTGCTGTTAAGGTGTTTAATGATGCCCTCAACCTGGGTATCTTCCCTTCCAGCTGGTTGCAAACTTGCATTTGTTTACTACCCAAGTCTGGCGACCTCTCCAACCTCAAGAATTGGCGTCCTCTTTCTTTGATTTGCTGTGATGCCAAGATCTTCACACGATTGCTTAATCAACGCCTTATGCCCTTCATGAACAAGATCATATGCCCCCAACAATCTGGATTCATGCCTGGTCGTTTTATCGGTGATAATGGTATGATTCTCAACAACACTCGTCTCATTGCTGCTGAAACTTCATCGGACAGTATTGCGCTGCTCTTGGATCAAGAGAAAGCGTATGATCGCATCCACCCTGACTACCTTCGGGCGGTGATGCAACGATTTAACCTTCCTACTAACATTATCCATTCATTAATAACCCTTCTCTTCTCTACGCAAATTCACATCAACATTAACGGCCACATATCCACCTCGTCCATCACCCAACAACGTGGTATCCGCCAAGGGGATCCCATCTCACCCCTCCTTTTCAACATTGCTTTTGATCCTTTCCTTCGTTCCATTCAACAAGATCCTCAGTTTACTGGTTTCAACCTGCATACTGAAGCTCCACCTCCTACTAATCAAACTACATCTGACGATATTTCAGTTCCTATGCAACAGTTGTTTCCGGACAATGACGGCCTTGCTGTCAGTCCTGATACTCCTGCTCCTCCAGATTCTCCCTCCTCTGCACCTCTGGCGGTAAAAATCCTGGCATATGCGGATGATACATTGGTATATCTCCATGATACGCAGGACTTTCATCGCTTGCAGACCGCCATCACCATGTATATGAAAGCTTCTAACGCATTATTGAACTATCACAAGACAGTAGCTACATCTCTCTCAGGCAATCCTTCAGCAACTTGGCAAGCCTTACTCGCAACCTATGGCATAAACGCCTGGCATGATCGAACATCCGCCACTCCCCTCATTTATCTCGGTTATCCCATCTGTTCCAGCATTACTCAACGCAATGTTGCCTTTCAAAAACTATATGATTCCATCCGAAATGCCATTGCTCTTCACTCACAACGCAACATCTCCATCCGTGGCCGTGCTACCATTCTCAATTCACTCATTTACTCCAAATTATGGCATGTTTTACGACTAACGACATTTACCAGGGCCCAGTTGCTCTCTTTACGAAGCCTGGGCACCTCCTTTATTAATTTTCGCATTTTCCCTAGACTCTCTTTTGCTACTCTCTCTTTACCTCGGTCAGCCGGCGGTTTGG